AGGGGAGGGGCCAGGGGAGGGGGAGGGCCAGGGGATGGGGCCAGGGAGGGGCCAGGGGGGGAGGCCAGGGGGGGGGCCAGGGGAGGAGAGGGTGACGGGGGAGGGCGGAGGGCCAGGGAGGGAGGGCCGGGGGGGGGGGGGGGAGGGGGGGAGGGGGAGGGGCCAGGGGAGGGAGGGCCAGTGGAGGGGAGGGGCCAGGGGAGGGAGGGGCCGGGGAGGGCCAGGGAGGAGAGGGGCAGGGGGAGGGGCCGGGGAGGGGAGGGGAGGGGAGGGGGGGGGCCAGGGGGAGGGGGAGGTGACCAAAGGTGCGGTCGAAAACAAAGGTCTTCAGCCGAGACCTGAAAAGAGGAAGAGAGGGGACGAGGCAAAGGGAGTTCCAGAGCCTCGGGACATAGGGGCTGAAGGCACGGCCGCCGAGGGGGGAGCGGAGGCCTCGGGGGACGAGGAGGAGGTCAGACCCGGAGGAACGAAGGCAACGGGTACTGTTTTGAGGAGAGAGGAGGTCAGAGAGGTCGGGGGGGCAGAGGAGTGGAGGGACTTGAAGACAAGGGTGAGGATCCTCTCTGGGACAGGAGCCGGTGCAGTCTGGCCAGGACTGGGGGGATCGGGGAGCGGGTTGGGGTGGGGGGGGGAGGGCCAGGACTGGGGGGATGGGAGGGTTGGTGGGGGGGAGGGCCAGGACTGGGGGATCGGGAGAGGGGTTTGGGGTGGGGGGAGGGCCAGGACTGGGGGGATCGGGGAGAGGGGTTTGGGGTGGGGGGAGGGCCAGGACTGGGGGGATCGGGGAGGGGGTTTGGGGGTGGGGGAGGGCCAGGACTGGGGGATCGGGGAGAGGGGTTTGGGGGTGGGGGAGGGCCAGGACTGGGGGGATCGGGGAGGGGTTTGTGGGGGGGAGGGCCAGGACTGGGGGATCGGGGAGAGGGGTTGGGGGGTGGGGGAGGGCCAGGACTGGGGGATCGGGAGAGGGGTTTGGGGGTGGGGTGAGGGCCAGGACTGGGGGGATTGGGGAGAGGGGGGTGGGGTGAGGGCCAGGACTGGGGGGATCGGGGAGAGGGGTGTGGGGGTGGGGGAGGGCCAGGACTGGGGGGATCGGGGAGAGGGGTTTGGGGTGGGGGGAGGGCCAGGACTGGGGGATCGGGGAGAGGGGTTTGGGGTGGGGGAGGGCCAGGACTGGGGGGATCGGGGAGGGTGGGGTGGTGGGGGAGGGCCAGGACTGGGGGATGGGGAGGGGTTGGGGTGGGGGGAGGGCCAGGACTTGCGAGTTCCAGATTTTCACTATCATTTGGGTGAAAAACTGCCTCCTCATTTCACCCCTAAATGGCCGAGTTCTGATTTTAACCCCATGCCCCTGCCCCAACCCCCTCTCCTCTCCCTCCCCCTCCCCCCGCCCCTTCCTCCCCCCTCTCGCCCCCCCTGACCTGTGATCTTGTTGAGCCGGGCTCTCTTGGCCTGGAAGGAGCCCATGGCGGTGACTGGCCGCCTCTTTGCCCCCGAGGTTGGGGCTGGTGCCGGGCTCTGCTTCACCTCCTCCCGGGTCAGCACTGGCTCAGACAGTCCTGAGGGAGAGACAGCGGCTGTGAGTGTTGAGGCAGTGAGTGGAGGGTGGAGGGCGGTGGAAGGTGGAGGGAGGAGGAGGGTGGAGATCGGGGGAGGGAGGGTGGAGGCGGGGGAGGGCGGAGGGCGAGGGAGTGCGGAGGGCGAGGGAGGGCGGAGGGCAAGGGAGGGCGGAGGGCGAGGGAGGGCGGAGGGGAGGGAGGGTGGAGGGCGAGGGAGGGTGGAGCGTAGGGAGGGTGGAGGTGGAGGCGTGGGGAGGGTGGAGGGCAGGGGAGGGTGGAGGGCGGGTGGAGGGCAGGGACGGTGGAGCGTGGGGAGAGTGGAACGTGGAGGGTGGGGGAGGGTGGAGCGTGGGGAGGGTGGGGCGAGGAGAGAGACCGAAAGCGAGTTTGACAAGGAAGGTCTTGAGGTGCGTTTTGATGGAGGTAATGGAGGGGGTGAGGCAAAGAGACTGGAATGGAGTTCCAGAGGGCGGGGGCAGGACAATGAAGGATTTGCAGCCGAGCTGTGGGCTGGACGTGGATGTGGATATGGCTGGAGGGTGATGGTGGCAAGATGACCAAAGGCCCGGTCGAACAGCAAGGCCTTGAGATGGGCCTTGAAGGAGGCGGGAGAGAAGGAGAGGCTGAGGCAGAGGGGGCAGGGCTGAGGGGGAGGGTGCAGGGCTCTGGGATGCACTGACCTGAGATTGCCATCGGTGTGGGCTCCACCACCATCTTGTCTTCCTCTGTTTGTTTGACCTCTGAGACGTGGGCCTCCTTCCTGAAGTGGGCTCCTCTTCCCACTCTCCTCTCCTCCTTGTCCTTGTTGCTCTGAGGTTTGCTGATGCCCTTATTCTTGGCAGCGGCTGCGGTGGCAGCTTTAACAAGAGCCAACCAGTCCTGTAACAAGCCAGAGAGAGAGAGAGAGAGAGAGTATGAGAGAGAGGGACCAGTCCTGTAACAAGCCAGAGAGAGACAGAGAGAGAGAGAGTATGAGAGAGAGGGACCCAGTCCTGTAACAAGCCAGAGAGAGACAGAGAGAGAGAGAGCGCGAGACAGAGACAATCAGAGAATTATACAGCACAGAAGGAGGCCATTCGGCCCATCGTGTCTGTGAAAAGAGCTTCCAATTCAACCCCACTCCCCCGCACTCTCCCCATAGCCCTGATCAACCCCACTCCCCCACTCTCTCCCCATAGCCCTGATCAACCCCACTCCCCCGCTTCTCCCCATAGCCCTGAAACTTGTCCCAAATAATTATCTATTCTCTCTTAAAAGTTGTTATGGAATCGGTTCCCACCGGCCTTTCAGGCAATGCATTCCAGATCCCAACAACTCGCTGTGTGAACACATTTCTCCTCCCCTCCCCTCTGTTTCTTTTAACAACTATTTTAAATGGGTGTCCTCGGGTTACCGACCCACCGCCAGTGGGAATAGTTTCTCCTCGTTCACCCTATCGAATCCCCTCATCATTTTGAAAACTTCTATTAAGTCTCCTCTTAACCTTCTCTGCTCCGAGGAGAATAATCCGAGCTTCTCTACCTCTCCTGATAACTGAAGTCCCTCATTCCTGGTACCATTCTGGTCAATCTCCTTTGCACCCTCTCCAATGCCTTGACATCCTTCCTACTGTGTGGGGCCCACAACTGAACCCAGTCTCTCGCTGAGGCCTCACCAGTGTTTTATATAAAGGTTCATCATAACTTCCTGACTTGTGTATTCTATGCCCTATTTATAAAGCCGAGTATCCCGGATGCTCTTTAACAGCTGTATCTGCCTGTCCGGCCACCTTCAGAGATTTACTATATGACCCCCAGGTCTCTCTGTCCCTTCACCCCCATTAAGACTGTACCATCAGCTTATATTGCCTCTCCTCATTCTTCCTCTCAAAATGCATCACTTCACATTTCTCCACATTAAACTCCATCTGCCACGTGTCTGCCCGTGTTACCAGTCTGTCTCTATCCTCTTGCAGTCGGTTACTATCCCCTCACTGTTTACTACTGTTTCCAGCTTAGTGTCACCTGCAAACTTGGGAATTGTGCTCCATATACCCAAGTCCAGGTCCAGGTCATTTATATAGATCACAAACAGCAGTGGCCCCAATACTGACCCCCGGGGGGACACCACTGCACACTTCCCTCCAGTCAGAAAAACAACCGTTCACCACCACTCTCTGCTTTCTGTCTCTCAGACAGTTCTGTATCCGCTGCCACTGTCCCTTTAATATCGGGGGCTTCGATTTTGCTACAAGTCTCTTATGTGGCACTTTATCAAACGCCTTTTGAAAATCCATATAAACTACATCAACTGCAATCCCTTCATCGCCCCTCTCCGATACTTCAACCAAAAATTCAATCATGTTTGTTAGACACGATTTGCCTTTAACAAATCCGTGTTGGATTTATAAAACCAGTCCTTAACAAGCCAGAGAGAGAATGTGAGAAAGAGCGAGTGTGTGAGAGAGTGTGTGTGTAAGAGTGTGAGAGAGAGAACCAGTCCTGCAACAAGCCAGAGAGAGTGTGAGAGTGTGTGTGTGAGAGAGAGACAACCAGTCCTGTAACAAGCCAGAGAGTGTGAGAGAGAGAATGTGTGTGTGAAAAAGTAACACAGAGAGTGTGAGAGAGAGACAGTGAGTGTGACACAGTGAGTGTGAGTGATAGTGTGAGAAAGAGACAGTGAAGAGAGACAGTGAATGTGTGAGACACAAAGAGTGTGTACGTGAGAGAAAGAGAGTGACACAGAGAATGTGTCGAGAGAGAGACAAAGAGAGAGACAGGCAGAGAGAGTGACAGAGACAAGAGAGACAGACACACCGAGAGTGCAAGAGACACAAAGAGTGACAGAAAGCAAGAGTCAGAGAGAGAATAAGAGAAGCAAAAGCCAGAGCACACAACTACACTATCCCACATGAAGGGTATAGATGCAAGTTGTTGTTTTTAAAGAGAGAGACAGAGAGTGAGGGAGAGACAGAGAGTGGGGGAGAGACAGAGAGTGGGGAGAGACAGAGAGTGAGGGAGACAGAGAGTGGGGGAAGAGACAGAGAGTGGGGGAGAGACAGAGAGTGAGGGCGAGACAGAGAGTGAGGGAGAGACAAAGTGAGGGAGACAGCGAGTGAGGGAGAGACAGAGAATGAGGGAGAGACAGAGAGTGAGGGAGAGACAGAGAGTGAGGGAGAGACAGAGTGAGGGAGAGACAGAGACGGAAAGAGAGAGAGCGTGCACACCAGATCTGTTTGTTACCTGCCCTTTGGCGTCTTCTGGCATGGATTTTATATGAATTCTCTTCACAGAGCGAATGACTCCATCATAAAACTGTACAGTATAAATCCCTGTAAACGGGGGAACAAACACAAATACTGTCAATTATACCGAAAGGGGTGAAAGCTCAGGTAATTTTCCTCACTCCACACGTCTGTTTATCTAGCAAAGGTTGATTGGCGGATTGCTTTCCAGAGGTAATAATCCCTTAAAAAAATAGTAATAATATGGTCACTGAATCCACGACTGTTTGTGGGACACTGCTGTACGCAATTGGTATATTCTGTGCAGTGCTTTGAGACGTCTCAACGACATGATAAGGCGCTATATCAAAGGCAAGGATTATTATTATAAAGGCAAGATCCTCCGGTTAGAGAGAGAAACCGGGCAATATTTCTCTCCAGACTCTTGATGCAATTGAATGCAAGGCTGATTTACAGTGCCCTGTAGCCCCATTTACCAATCTAATCCATGCATTTGATATAGCGTCTTTCATGCCGTTGAGACGTCCCCACAAACAGCTATGAAGTCAGTGACTAATATTATTCAGGGGATTGTTGTCCAGGACACCGGGAAAGAGAGAGAAACTCCCTTCTCTTTTCCAATAGCCCCGCGGGATCTTTACCATCCACCTGAACAGGCAGACGGGACCTCGGTTTAACGTCTCCTCCCGAGGACGGCACCTCCCACAGTGCAACCCCCCACCCCCCACAGCGCTGCATTGGAGCATCAGCTTAGACTGTGATTCCAAGTCCTGACGTGGAGCTTGAACCCACAACCTCCTGACTCGGGAGGCGAGAGATGCTACCACTGGGCCAGGCTGACACAGTTGGTGTGGGCGGCGCATCTGAAACTGGATCTGCTGAGGGACCGACCGGCCGGTTGTCAATGGTGCGTCACAGCAAGATGTCCCTTAAGCTTGCAAAACCTGCTAGCGTTCAGCCAGGCCTGGTGTCAGCGCTTGTAGTTACCCTGCTCTTTGCTAATGTCCTCAATCTTGGCAGGATAGTAGCGGCAATCTGTCCAGCGGGCCAACACCTCATCGCCGGCTCGTAATTCCTGTTGAGAAGAAAGAGATTTCTTTTAGGGAATCAATGGCGGTCGATAGCCACTCGTGGCAAAGTATTTCATATTACAGTAAAACTCAAATAAATCGTATCAGTCGGGAACATAACATTTCCCATGACTTACACAAAGTCCGAGTTACATGCAAACTATATAAGTCGTATAAAATGTGATTTAATCAATAATCTACACGGCTCACGCATTATTTAATGCAGCTGGGAAGTACACATGCAGTGACTAAGTTTCTTGTAATTCGATGCGTCTTGACCAGACCATCGCATGAGCACTTACCAGCAAGGGTTAGAATCACATTGAATCGCGGGAAATAAAGTTCTTCTGCTCATGTGTCAATGGGTCAGAAAGTCATTTTCCGCAGTTCAATCCAGCCGGTAAGTGTGGAGTAATGGAGGGCAAGGGAGCCGTGTTAACAGTTGGAGGTGATTAATACGAGTCGTGTAGAGAAACCTAAGACACTATCAAATGCGAGGATAATTATTATTATAAACATGTGTCTTAATAATAACAATCCTTGCATTTGATATAGTACTTTATCACGTCTTCTTGACAATTCAAAGCACTTTACAGAGTATACGGTAAAGTGAATTGACTATATTTTGAGGTTGAAACAGCAGCCAATTGCGCACAGCAGCATCCCACAAACAGCAGTGGATTGAGTGACTAAATTACTACTATTATTATTTTTTTGAAGCGATTATTACCTCCAGAAAAGCGATCCACCAATTGACTAACAACTGGGTTCCTACTCACTGCTGGTAAACAGAGGCATGTGTGTGGAGTAAGGAAACTTGCCTAAGGTTTTACCCTTAGGCAAGGGTAAAACCAGATCCAGATCCTCTCGCTTGCAAAGCATGTGGTCTAACCACTGAGCTATAGGACTCCATGGGTTTAAGGATAGGATTTTAGCGCAATGAAGCTGAACACAGAAGGAATAGTGAAGTGTGGGTGAGGAGGGCTGTGGCCTCGGGCGATCACTCACGCGGAGCTCGTGGTCACCTCGAAGCGCTTCCTTCTTCAATGAGGGTGTGTCTAGTGGCCTCAACCGGTGGCTGTCCCAGTAAATCCACTCGTCGTATCGGTGGCTCCATCTCTCAAAGTGAATCAGCATCCGGCCCTCTTCATAGTCCATCTTCTCGATGCGGGACGTGTACCTGCAAGCGGGGTAGGGTGGGGGGGGGAGAGGCAGCAGCCAAGCTCAACAAATGGAGACGCCCACAGAGCACACAAGTCGCTCACTTTCAGATTCCACGCTGGAGCTTACTGAGACACGGCTTCTCGAGCGACGGCCACGGGGGGAGCAGAGCTGGGGCCGGAGAATCCCCCACCCACCACTTACAGGACAGACTGAGGATGTTCATCCCCCTCTCCCCCCTTCCCCCTCCCCATGTACAGGGCACAGATGGAACCCTCCCCCACCCATTACTTAAGACTTACAGGAGCGACGCTGCCCCCCATCTCCTACCATGTACAGAGATGGAAGCCCCTACTCCAACCAACATGTACAGGGGAGAGGCATAGACAGAGCCCTCCCCACCCACCGCAGACCCCTCACTCCCACACGTACCATTTCTGTAGGTAATCCTGGGCCTCCAGACGAGCTCCCACCTCAAACACGATTCCTGGCCGCGTTGGGGGCTTTTTGCTCATCCTTATAGTAATCACCCTCTCCTCACCGCCTGCGGGGAAACACAGCATGCACTGGCCGTTAGATGGTTAAACCAATAGGAGTGACTCCCGCACACACTCAGTGCTGACTGTCTGTCTGTGAGGCCGGGTGACAGCAGCAGACGGGCTGCTCGTCTGGTTGTTATTTCCAGTATACGGAGTCCTGTAGCTTGGTGGTTACAGCACTCGCCTCGCAAGCCAGAGGACCTGGATTCCCGGTAAGACAAGACGTTGGACAAATTTCCTTCGGTTTCCCAAACTTGCCCAAGTGAGACCCTGGAGTGATGGTGAGGCAGGAAAGTGGTTCAGATAATAGAATGAGCAATAATTGCATTTGATACATCGCCTGTCGCGTTATTACTGTAAAGTCTAGTGATTGTGTTACATCAGCAGAGGAGGCATATTCAAACAGCAAACCATGTAAAGTCTCAAACCTTTCACAAGCACAGTGTCATTCCTGTCACCCATCCCCACCTCTGCAAACACACACAGAAAACTTGCACAATCGAAAAGGAAGGTCTTCAGGCGGGACTTGAAAAAGGGGAGAGGGGGCAAGGCAGAGGGGCAACTGAGGTCTCAAACAGTATTAATAATAATAATCCTTCATTTGATACAGCGCCTTGTCACCTCATTGAGATGTCTCAAAGCGCTTCACAGAATATACTGTTAACTCAATTGACTGTATTTTGTGAGCGAAACGTAGCAGCCAATTGCGCACAGCAGTGTCCCACAACAGTCGTGGATTGAGTGACCAAATTTTTTTTTCTGAAGGGATTATTACTCACAGAAAGTGAGCCGCCAATCGACTAACTACCTCATTCCTACCCTACTTACTGCTCCCTACTTACTACCTACTAATTACCTAGTTCCTACTTACGGTTCCGTACTCCTCAACCCACCGACCTAACCTTAAAACTCTCTGAACCCGTGCGTAACTTAGTAGGCATCAGGTTCGATCCCCAGTTATCCTTCCTCCCCCATATCTGGTCCCTGACCACTGCTTTCTTTCACCTCTGCCAAATTGCCCGTCTCCGACAATACCTCACCCCAAAAGCTGCCAAAACCCTTGTCCGTACCTTTGTCACCTCTCGGCTGGACGACTCTAACCCCCTCCTCGCCGGTCTCCCCGCCTCCACTATTCACAATATTCAGCTCATTCAAAACTCCGCCGCCGCATTCTCACCCACACCAAACCCCGTACCCCGATTACTCCAGTCCTGGCCAAACCCCAACGGCTCCTGTCACAGAGCGGATCCACTTCAAGATCCTCACTCTAGTGTCTAAACCCTCCATTCCTTGCCCGCATCTCTCTAACCTCTCTCCCCACAGCAGTACCCACTGCCTCCACTCTACTGTGTCCGGCCACCTCCACGTCCCCTGAATCCTCCGCTCCACCATCGGTGCCCGTGCCTTCAGCCACTAAGCCCTGAAACTTTGGAACTCCCTCCCTCAACCCCTTGGCCTCGCCCCCTCCTTCCCCATCTTCAGGTCGCGCCTGAAGACCTTCCTTTTCAACGGCGATTACGGTCACCTCCCCCTCCCTCGGCCTCGACCACTGTTAAGCTCTGAGACGCCGCCCAGCGTGGAGGGCGCTGTATGACTGTTTGTGGGACATTGCTGTGCGCAATTGGCTGCCGCAATCGCCCACAAATATACAGTCAATTCGCTTTACAGTATATTCTGTGAAGCGCTTTGGGACGTCTCAAAGACGTGAAAAGCGCTATATCAAATGCAAGGATTATTATTATTATAATAATAAGTGCAAGCTGCTGTTGCTACTGCTCGGTAAAGAGTCGTGTGGAGTAAGGAAACTTGCCTAAGGTTTTGTCCTGCAAGGATATATTTCAAGGATAGCTCCTATGCCAGCCATTTCTGTTCTCTGTTTTTCTTTGGGTTTGTGTTTTTGTTCTTGTACATAACTTTTCTGCACTGTAGATATCTGGCTGTGCACTGAAACATCTGCGGAATGGATAATCTTGACTAAGATTTTGCCCCGCCCAGGAATCGAACCCGGGTTATCTCGGTTGCTAGACAAGCGCGATAACCACTACACTACAGGACTCCGGAATTAACAGTGGGCCCAAGTCATAGCCTGGGACTTGCTTGCATAAGCCTGGCCAGCTTAAACATTGAAAGAATACTTGTATGCAGAATAGACAACATATGAAGGTCAGGCAGGCAGACAGAGAGACAGAGGAAGGCAGGGAGACGACAGACAGACAGGGAGAGAGAGAGCGAGAGCGAGAGAGCGAGCGCCAGGGATCTTGCTGCTGAGCTGGCTGTTGTATCCCTGACATGTGTCAGCCAGGCTCAGTTGGTAGCACTCTCACCCTCTTGAGTCAGAAGGTTGTAAGTTCAATTTCTAAACAGGGACTGAGAGCTCCGGTCCAGCCCGACACTCCAATGCAGCACTGGGCTCCTTTGTCTCCTTCAAGACCTGTTTCAAGACCCTTCTCTTCGACCGAGCCTACGATCACCCTCCTACCCCAACCCTTCCTGATCCCAACCCCCAGTTTGGATCCATATCCCTATCCAGCACCTTGGGAAGCCCTCTCGACGTAAAAAGCACTGTGTAAATGTCATTTGTTGTTAGCCAATTGACTGCCGTATTCGCCTACAAAATACAGTCACTGCACTTTACAGTAAATCGTGTGAAGCGCTTTGAGACATCCTCCCCGATGTGAAAAACAATATGTCAAATGTAAGGATTCCCGTCACACTCACCAACACGCCTGTCTTCATTTCCCGGCAGCCCGCCGTCTCCCCATCAAAGGCCAGTGTAGCAACAAGAGCTGGTTACGTCCAAACACATCCCTTCAGGGAGAAACAACAGATCTCAGTCACAGCCCTCACCACATTACAGTCAGTCTGTAATCACCGGGTACAATGCAGTTGCAGGTAGGCATTCACATCACCTGTACATCAGCTGACACTCCATTTGGTCAGCCGGGTGTCTGACACCAGCGGAACCCACTCACCACGATAATATAATACTCACATTTGATATAGTGCCTTATCACGTCTGCGAGACACTTAAGAGTATCCAAATCAAACTGGATTTGTAAAATCGTAAGCATGATGATGGGTTTCCGCATGTGTCAGACACCTGACCGAGCAAAAACTTTTGACTTTCCAATGCAGTACTGGGGGAGCACTGGAACTGTGAGAGGTGCCGTCCTTCAGATGAGATGTTAAACCGAGGTCCTGTCAGGCTGTTTAGATGGATGTTAAAGATCCCGCGGAGCGATTCCAAAAGATTCCCGGTGTCCTGGCCAACAATCACCCCAATAAAATGGTCACTCGCTCCATGGCTGTTTGTGGGGACACTGCTGTGCACAAATGGCTGCCGCGTTTCACCCACAAAATACACAATATACTACAATTTACAGTTTGAAAAGCTTTGAGATGTCTGAATGACGTGATAAGGCAGTATATCAAATGCAGCAACAACAGAAAAAAAAATCATTTGTAAAGCGCCTTTCACATTCCAAGGCACTGAACAATCAGGGAACAGGACTCAAATGTCGGGAGGGCAGAGTGGAGATGAGGGGGGGCAGAGAGGTAGGAGGGCAACTGGAGTGGTCGAAAAGGAGGGTCTTGAGTCGTGCCTTGAAGGAGGCAAGAGAGGGAATGAGGGGAAGGGAATGTGGGACGGAGTTCCAAAGGGTGGGAGCAGAGAGGCTGAAAGCACCGCACACAGTGCTCCAATGGTTGGGCGGGTCGGGCGGGAGACCTGGAGCAGCAGGAGTCTGCTGAACGGAGGGAGCGGACAGGTTGATAGGGGGTCTGCAGGTCAGAGAGATAGGAGGGGGTGAGGCCGTGGGGGGCCTTGAAAGTGAGGACGAAGATTTTGATTCTATCCTCTGGGGGGATGGGGAACCAGTGGAGTCGGGCGAGGGTGGGGGTGATGGTGTCACGGAGGCTGGTGCGGGAGAGGACACGAGCTCTGGATGATCTGCAGCTCGTGGAGGGAAGAGTTGGGGAGACCGACAAGGAGGGAGCTTCCGTAGTTGAGCCTTGATGTGACAAATATGTGTATGAGGGTTTCGGTGGCCTGAAGGGTGAGGCAGTGGCAGAGTCGGGCAATGTTGGGATTATTGCAAGGATTATTATTATTATTATTACGTGATTGAGCAAGTTACCGTTTCCTGGTTGGACTTTGTTCTCAGGGATAAAACACAAGCAGCTGTCACACACTGCAGCACTGACTGACAACCCTTACTCACAGCAGCCCCAAAAACCCTCCCCCCCCCCCCCCCACACGGCACTCCCCAGCCTTCCCCACCCTGGCCCCAAGCACACACAAACATAGACCGCTCTGCCACACCCCCCACCCTAACACACACATATACCACACGCACACACAGTGCTTCAGCTGAAACATACTTGTGTGGATATTGGATAAGGAAACCATGGGACTCTGTTATGGCCTTCTCCTAACACACACACAGGCACAGACACCCAGGACACCGATGCTCACAGTAAAGGTGGAGATTAGACACTTGGGTGAGATAACAGAGGGCAGACAATGTCCTCTGATCCACATTATCCTTGCATCTGACATAGCGACTTATAATAATAAGCCTCGCATTTGAAACAGCGCTTTATCACGTCTTCGAGAAGTCTCAAAGCGCTTCACAGAATATACTGTAAAGTGAATCGACTGTGTATTTTGTGGGCGAAATGTGGCAGCCAATTGCGCACAGCAGCGTCCCACACACAGTCGTGGGTTGAGTGACCAAGTTATTATTTATTTTTTGAAGGGATTATTACCCCCGGAAAAGTGATCCACCAATCGCCGAAGGTGGAGTGGGGGCTGAGCAAGTTGGAAAGGTAGGGAGGTGCGAGAGCAGGAAGGGGTTTGACAACGAGTGAGAGGATCTTGAAATCAGTAACTGGGAGCCAGTAGAGCCCGGCAATGGCAAGGACTGGGGCGATGGGGGTACGGAGCCTCGTGTGGGTGGGAATCTGGGAGCGGAGATCTGAATTAGTTGTATTGTGTGTGTGGTGTTGCTGCGGAGACAGCGGGGAATAGTCCGGCCGAGAAGTGACGAAGGTGTGGACGAGGGTCTCGGCTGCTGTGGGTGTGAGGTATGGATGGAGACGGGCAATGTAGGGGGAAAAAAGTGGTCCTGTTCCGGGAACAAATGTGGGAGGAAAGGAAAGCTGGGAATCGAAGCTGACGCCGACGTGGCGCACGGGTTTGGGGAGTCTGAGGGAGAGTCCGGGTACAGCCCACCCCGGCTTCACCCCCCGGGGTCACCCCCTCCCCTCTGGACATCCTGTATTAACCCGTGTGCGCCCCACCTTCACTGCCTTTATCCCGTGTTTACCCTGAATTAGCCTATACCCCCCGCACTCCCCCCGCCCGCAACCCTCCCCCCCGCACACCCCCACCCCTCCCCCGCACTCACCCCCACCCCTCCCCCCGCACTCACCCCCACCCCTCCCCCCGCACTCACCCGCACACCCCCCCCCCCCCCCGCACACCCCCACCTCTCCCCCGCACCCCCCCCCCCCCGCAATCACCCCCCCCCCCCGCACACCCCCACCCCTCCCCCCGCACTCACCCGCACACCCCCACCCTCCCCCGCACTCACCGCCACCCCTCCTCCCCCGCACACCCCCACCCCTCCCCCCGTGTTCCCGCGGTGTGCACGCTGCGGGCCGGGCCGGGCCGGGCTGCCGAGGCCTTACCTCCCCGCTCATCCTGGGCTCGGCTGCCTGTGTCCTGGTGTTGGGGTGCGGGGGTGTTGGGGGTGTGGGGGGGTGGGCTGGGGGTGGGGGGGTTAGAGAGCGGCTGACGGCCACTGGACGCTCTCGGATCCCATCAATAAGACACTCACAGCCCCGACCCCAACCTCAGCCCCGGCTCCTCCCGCGTCCAGCTCACAGCGTCAGCACGTCACCACCGGCGTCACACGTCACGCCAGCGTCAGCGCGTCACCCCGCGCCGCCCCCACCCACAGCGTCAGCACGTCACCCATAGCGTCAGCACGTCACCCACAACGCCAGTACGTCACCCACAGCGTCATTGAGTCAGCCGTAGAGTCCGTCCACGCGCCCCTGCCCCCGTAGCGTCATCACGTCACACAGCCTCAGCCCCTCCAGTCTCGGCGCGTCTCCCGCAGCGTCATGACGTCAGGTTGGGCGGTTTATTTTTGTTTTGAAGCTAAAGCCTCAACATCATCAGAGCAGCCGCCAGACCCCGCCCCCTCCACCCAGCCACGCCCCCCCAGCCCAGACCCCGCCCCCTCCACCCAGCCACGCCCCCCAGCCCAGACCCCGCCCCCTCCACCCAGCCACGCCCCCCAGCCCAGACCCCGCCCCCTCCACCCAGCCACGCCCCCCAGCCCAGACCCCGCCCCCTCCACCCAGCCACGCCCCCGCCCAGACCCCGCCCCCAGCCTGGCTCCTCCCTCTCCCTTCACAGCCCCTCCAATCGGGATTGGGTGCTGCTCACAGCAGTGATGGTCCTCCTCGACCTCTCGGTTGCCCTCGATACCGAGGCCCACTCCATCCTCCTCCTCCTCCTCCTCCACCGCCTCTCACCTCAACCTTCAAGGTTCTGCCCTTCAATGGTTCGGGGCTTATCTCTCACACTATCTCCAATTGGTCTCCGCCAACGGTTTCTCTCCCAGACCCGCAGTCTCGTGTGTTGTTCCTCAGCTCAGTCCCCTCCCCTTCAGCCTCTACGCGCTCCCCGTTGGTGACACGACCCGCAGACATGGGGTCAACTTCCATCTCTGCCTCCAACCTCGATTCCAGGACAACTAACGTCCTGACAGACTCCGTGTCTGACATCAGGTCCTGGATGAGAGCCAACTTTCTGCAGTTGAATGTCAGCTGAGGCCCTCCTGATTGGCTCACGTCAGCGCCTCAGCACCTCAGGCTCTGGCAGCATCAGCTCCATGGTTGCACACTCCACCTCACCGGCCAGTTAGCAACCTGGGCATCGTGTTTGACCCTCAACTGTCCATATCCGTGCCACAGCGCCTTGGGACGTCCTCCCGACGTGAAAGGCGCTCTATAAATGGAATCTTGTTGTTGTTGTTGATGACCTGCACATGCTCCCCCTTGGTGACACCATCCGCAGACATGGAGTAAATTTACACATAACAACAACAACTTGGATTTATATAGCACTCTCCATGCCGGACGGTGTCTCAGAGCTTCACAGTAACAGATCCCGGGGCCGAGCCAGGGGGAGGCGGAGGAAGGTGACCAAAGGCGCGGTTGAAAAGAAAATAGGAAGAGAGGGGACGAGGGGAAGGGAGTGAGGAAGGGAGTTCCAGAGCCTCGGGGCGTAGTGGCTGAAGGCACAGCTGCGAGGGGGGAGCGGAGGACTCAGGGGACGAGGAAGAGGCCAGACCCGGAGGAACGAAGGCAATGAGCACTGATTTGAGGAGAGAGGTCAGAGAGGTCGGAGGGGGCAGAGGAGTGGAAGGATTTGAATACAAGGGTGAGGATCTTGAAGTGGATCCTCTCTGGGACAGGAGCCGGTGCAGTCTGGCCAGGACTGGGGGGATCGGGGAGAGGGGTTTGGGGGTGGGCCAGGACTGGGGGATCGGGGAGAGGGGTTTGGGGGTGGGCCAGGACTGGGGGATCGGGGAGAGGGGTTTGGGGTGGGGGGAGGGCCAGGACTGGGGGATCGGGGAGTGGGGTTTAGGGGTGGGGGGGAGGGCCAGGACTGGGGGGATCGGGGTTTGATGCGGGTGAGAATGTGGGAGGCAGAATTTTGAATGATTTGGATTGTATGGATGGCAGTGGAGGGGAGGCCAGCGAGGAGGGCGTTGGAGTAGCGCAGCCGAGAGGTGACAAAGGCCTGGACCAGAGTTTCAGCGGCTTGGGACGTCCTCCCTACGTGAAAGGGTTTCAATTAAATTCCCTCCTCATCGGCCTTCCCAACTCTTCCCTTCACAACCTGCAGATCATCCAAAACTGCAGCTCGTGTACTCTCACACACCCTCGCCCGACCCCATCACTCTCACCCTCGCCCGACCCCATCACTCCCACCCTCGCCCGACTCCACTGGCTCCCCATCCCCCAGAGGATCGAGTTGAAGATCCCATGCTCAGGTTGCGACCCCTGACTGTCCAGTGCCTTGGGACGTCCTCCCTACGTGAAAGGCGCTCTATATATGTAATTTTGTTGTTGTTGCTTCCTTCCCCCATCTCCAAAACATTGCCCGACTCCGCCACTGCCTCACCCCTCAGGCCATCAACACCCTCGTACACACATTCGTCAGCTCAAGGCTTGACTATGGAAACTCCCTCCTTGTCGGCCTCCCCAACTCTTCCCTCCACAAGCTGCAGATCACCCAGAACTCTGCAGCTCATGTCCTCTCCCACACCAGACTCCGTGACACCATCACCTCCACCCTCGCCCGACTCCACTGGTTTCTCCATCCCTCAAAATCCTCGTCCTCACTTTCAAGGCCCTCCACAGCCTTGCGCCCGCCTACATCTCTCAACTGCTGACCCCCTATCAACCTCTCCGCTCAGCAGGCTCCGGCTGCTCCATGTCTCCCCCCTGACCTGCCCTACCATCAGCGGCCGGACTTTCAGCCTCTCTGCCCCCACTCTTTGGAACTCCATCCCACAATCCCTTCCCCTGGCTCCCTCTCTTGCCTCCTTCAAGGCATGACTCAAGACCCTCCTTTTTGACCGTGCCTTCAGCCGCTCTCCTAACCCCCTCCCTCATCCCAATCCTGTCCACCCAATGCCAGGATCCTGATCCCTGACTGTTCAGCGGCTTGGGATGTCCTCCTGATGGGAAAGGTGCTTTACAAATGTAATTTTGTTGTTGCTGGGCTAGAAGTGAGAGAAGCCGGGATTATTCTCCTCGGAGCAGAGAAGGTTAAGAGGAGACTTAATAGAAGTTTTCAAAATGATGAGGGGATTCGATAGGGTGAACGAGGAGAAACTATTCCCACTGGCAGTGGGTCGGTAACCCGAGGACACCCATTTAAAATAGTTGGTAAAACAGAGGGGAGGGGAGGAGAAATGTGTTCACACAGCGAGTTGTTGGGGTCTGGAATGCATTGCCTGAAAGGCCGGTGGGAACCGATTCCATAACAACTTTTAAGAGAGAAGTAGATCATTATTTGGGGAGGACAAGTTTGCAGTGCTGTGATGGGGGGACAGGCAGCTGGGGGTCAGGAGGGAGGAGATCGAATGGGCTGAAAGGTCTTTTTTATCTGAACTGATCTTATATGGGGAGAGGGTGGGGGAGTGGGATTGATTTGGAAGAGCTGGCATAGACACGATGGGCCGAATGGCCTCCTTTTGTGCTGTATAATTCTATGATCGTAATAATAATTCTTGCATTGGATATAGCGCCTTATCACGTTGCTGAGATGGCTTAAAGTGCTTCACAGAATACACTGTAAAATGTAGTAACTGTATTTTGTGGGCGGATTTTGGCAGCCAATCGCACACGGAAGTATCGCACAAACAGGTCATGGATTGTTATTATTATTTTTGAAGGGATTATTACTCCCGGAAAAACGATCCACCAATCGACTAACAACCGGGTTTCTACTCACTGCTGAAAAACAGAGGCGTGTGTGTGGAGTAAGGGAACTTGTCTAAGGTTTCATCCTGCCGGGAATCAAACCTGGGTCCTCTCGCTGGCGAAGCGAATGTGCTAGCCATGAAGCTACAGGACTCTTATGTGATTTAATTAGTCCACTGGACTAAGTTTCTTTACACCTGTGGAACAAACTGCAGAACAAGTCAGGTAACAACGCAGTTTATTGAGTCAACTTGCTCTCATTAGGAACCATTATTATTAAGCTGCAGCCTTGCTCTTCAGCATGTTAGTAACGTGCAGTTATGTCTGTAGATCGGGTGTTTACAGACCCTGATTGCTCTCCATTGGAAAACACTCACATAGAAAATAACTTCTTTTTATAAACAAAAGAACATGGCAAACCTGCTTCTAATGTCACCGCCCGGGTCAGTCTGTGTGTGACGGAAGCCTGGGAGCAAGCCCGTCATGAGGGAGTGGGGGAGGAACATATCAAACATACCACCTAACCCCCTTCCCACACACACGCAAACTCACCGCTTAATTTACAGCATCGTGCTCCGCCACTGCCAAGCGCTCTGGGACACTATCCTGCATGAGGAGTGCTGTGTAAATGCTGGTGGTTGCTGTTAACTTAGGGTGTGACCACATGTACCCCAGTTCTGGGGATAGTTCCCGGATGAGGTGTTGAGTCGCTGGGGCCAAATTTACCTTGACATCAGCAACAAACTGAGCAAGAACAAGGAAATCCTAAAACAGATATGCTCATCAGAGATACACAGCCAATAATTAATTAATAATAATCCTTACATTTGATATAGCAACTTATCACGTCACCTCTATACTTTGTGGGAGAAACGCGGCAGCCAATTGCGTACAGCAGCGTCCCACACACAGTCATGAATTGACCAAATTTTTTTTTGAAGGAATTATTATCCCCAGAAAAGTGATTCACCAATCGACTAACAACCAGATTCCTACTTATTGCTGGTAAACAGGTGTGGAGTAAAGAAACTTGCCCAAGGTTTCACCCTGACCGGGAAGCAAACCCAGGCTATCGCTTGCAAGGCGAGTGCTCTAACCACTGAGCTACAGGACTCTACATAATTCCTTCAAAATAACATAAATAATAATAATTTTGTCACTCAATCCATGACTGTGTGTGGAACGCTGCTGTACGCAATTTGCTGCTGGGTTTCACCGACAAAATATTCAGTCAATCCACTTTACAGTACATTCTGTGAAGAGCTTTGAGACTTCTCGAAGACGTGATAAGGCGCTGTATCAAATGGGAGGATAATTATTATTGCCCCTGGAAAGTAATCCGGGCTCCTACTTACTGCTTGTGAAACATCAACAACATCAACAACTTGCATTTTATAGCGGCCTTCACTCCTGGGTAGTGTCCTGGAGCACTTAAACCGAGACGTGTGGAGTAAGGAAACTTGTCTAAGGTTTCGCCCCTCCTGGGAATTGAACCTGGGTCCCTTTGCTTCGAGGTGAGTGCTCTAACCACTACGGTACAGGACTCCACTAGTGTAACAATAAAAGGGTTTAATAATAATCCAACAAGCTTCTCCAGTATTGTACTGTCGTGTGTGTGTGTCCAGATTTGGTTTACAAAATGTGGTTACCCTAACTTAATTATAAAAAAGTTTCACAAGAGAAGGGTGGGTGAGGGGCCAGGACACTTGGACTTGTTTAAAAAGCAGCTGGCTGCTGCGATGGGGGGGCAGGAGGCTGGGGATCAGGAGGGAGGACATCGAATGGGCCAAAAGGTCTTTTTTATCTGAACTGATCTTATGATCTCAGTGGGAGGACGGCAGGTGCTGGGGGTCATGCGTGTGGGCGGTTATCTCCGTTTCCACAATGTGTAGCAAGCCGTGACATTCAATAATAATAATAATAATCCTTGCATTGGATATAGCGCCTTATCATGTTGGGAGGATGTCCCAAGGCCCTGGACAGCGAGGCCGGTGGGGAACGAGGAGTGTCTGGCTCAGGCTCTCACCAGCTCCTCAACTCCGCTTGTTCAGCATTTGCTGCCGGAGTCGGTCTCTCTTCTTTTTCTCCATCAGCCTGTGAGAGAGAAAAGAGAGTGTGAGGGGGGGCAGTGTGAGGGTGCAGTGAAGGGGTGGTGGGGGGTGCAGTGAAGGGGGAGCAGTGGGGGGTGCAGTGAAGGGGGGGCAGTGTGGGGGTGCAGTGAAGGGGGGCAGTGGTGGGGTGCAGCGTTGGGGGGGCAGTGTGGGGGTGCAGTGAAGGGGGTGCAGTGGTGGGGTGCAGCGTTGGGGGGGCAGTGTGGGGGTGCAGTTTTGGGAGGCAGTGTGGGTGGGAGGGGGGGGTAGTGGCGGGGGGAGGGGGTGATGTACCTGTGGCTCCGAGCCTCAGTCAGTTCTGTCAGCTGCTCCTGCGCTGCCCGAAGCTCCTCCAGTCTCTGTTGGTGTCGGGGGTCGGAGCTGCTGCCCCGGTCACAGCCGCTCACTTGGCTCGTCAGCTCAATCGTCCTCTCCCTCAGCCGCTGGATAGAGGAGTAAAGGTTCTCCTCGTCTTCCTCCTACCGAGGGGGGCGGAAAGAGGGAATGAGAGTGAGAGAGCGAGATAATAATAATAATCCTTGCATTTGATATAGTGCTTTCCATGTCTTCGAGACGTCTCAAAGCACTTCACAGAATATACTGGAAAGTAAAGTGACTGTATATTTTGTGGGAGAAACACGGCAGCCAATTGTGCACAGCAGTGTCCCATAAACACTCATGGATTGAGGGACCAAATTATTATTTTTTTTCTTGAGGGATTATTATCAGGAGTGCGGAGTAGGGGTTCACTAATTTTAAGATTATGCAAATAATGTGCATATAAAAAATCCAATAATAATACTCTAGCCTCAGCGAGAGACTGGGTTCATTCTGGGCCCCACACTTTAGGAAGAATGTCAAGGCCTTGGAAAGGGTGCAAAGAAGATTGACCAGGATGGTACCAGGAATGAGGGGATAGTGAGAGAGAGGGAGTGAGAGAGAGAGAATAATTGGGAGAGAGTGAGAGATGGGGAGCGAGATGGAGGGGGTTGGGTAGGGCAGTGGACATTGGGGTTGGATGGGATAGGGGGTTGTCATGTGGTCCCCCCAGGCTCAGCAATGGTTACCTTAGCGTTGACAATCTCAATGTGGACCAGCAGGGAGGCCAGTTCCAGTTCCTCACTGTAGCTGTTTTTGAGAGGGACGGACCTGTAGCCTAAACAAGACAACACCTCGTCACTCAACAACAACAACAAATCACATTTACATGGTGCCTTTTGGGAGATGTTGGGAGGAGATCCTAAAATGCTGGACGGTCAGGGGTTTTGACCCGAGCTGGGGTTGGGGGCAGGAGGGGTGGAGGGCAGGGAGGGTGGAGGTTGGAGGGTGGTTGAAGGCGCGGTCGAGGAGGACGGTCTTGAGACCAGGAGGCAAGGGAGGGGGCGAGGCGGAGGGAGTGTGGGATGGAGTTCACACAGCAGACGTGAGATGGGGGAGGGCCAGGGCGGGGGGTCTGGGGTGGGAGGGAGAGGCCTGGTACCTGTCTTGAGGCCAGTGACGGGATAGGTGGCCTGAGCCAGGAAGTTGGGGTCACTGAACATGTCCTCGTCATAAACACTGAACCTCAGGAAGGTGAAGGTGGGGTTACTGATGTCAAACACCAGCTGCTTACACAGCCAGACAGGAGCCAGGCCATTATCCGCTGTAACACAGAGGGCGAGAGAGAGACGGTCAAACAGTAATAATAATAATAATGCTGGCCTTTGATACAACACCTTATCATGTTGTTGAGATGTCTCAAAGTGCTTCACAGGATATACTGCAATGTGTAGTGACTTTGTATTTTGTGGGCGAAACGTGGCAGCCAATTTGCGCACAGCAGCGTCCCCACAAACAGCCGTGGAGCGAGAGGGCAATATTATTTGTTTATTTATTATCTTTCCTTCTGCGGGGCATATGTGTCTATTTTTGCCTTTTTGCGTTTGATTTGGCACTTTATTACGTCGTCGAAACGTCTCAAAGTAACCAATCGACCAACAACTGGGTTCCGACTTACTGCAAGGTAAACCCAGACCATGGTTGAGACGTCTCAAAGCGCTTCACAGGATATGCTGTAAAGTGAATTGACTATTTTGTGGACGAAATGCGGCAGCCTATTGGGCACAGCAGTGTCTCACAGGTAGTCGTGGATTGAGTGACCAAATTATTATGTTATTATTTTTGAAGTGATTATTACCCCTGGAAAAGCAATCTGCCAATCAACTGACAACAGGGTTCCTACTTGCTGCTTGGTGAACAGGCGTGTGGAGTACGGAAACGTGCCCAACGTTTCGCCCTGCAGGGAATCAAACCCAGGTCTTCTTGCTTGCGAGTTGCGAGGCAAACCAATTACACACAGCAATAAACAGCCATGTAGTGAGTGACTAATATTATTTGGGGGACTGTTGTCCAGGACACCAGGAGAGAGAGAAAGTCCCTTCTCTTTTCCCATAGCCCCGCGGGATCTTTACCATCCACCTGAACAGGCAGACGGGACCTCGGGTTAACGTCTCCTCCCGAGGACGGCACCTCCCACAGTGCCCCCCCCCCCCCCCCAGCGCTGTATTGGGGCATCAGCTTAGACTGTGATGCCAATGTAGGGAACTGGGGCTTAGTATCGTCGGTTGGGGGAGCAAACACTGAAACGGACACAGAGTGGAGTCTGGCTGGGGTGTCACATTGCTGACTGCTCCCTCCCTCCACCCCCCTCCCTCCCTCCCTCCCTCCCTCCCTCCCTCCCTCCCTCACTCACTCACTCCCTCACTCACTCACTCACCCACCACCTCGGTCTTGAACTTGCTGTTGTCGTACTCGGCTCCGCACACCTCCACCTCCACGAAGGGGCAAACGATGCTCCGGCCATTCTTGGGCAGGTGCCGGGCTCCCAGGATCTGGGGGAGAGGGAGGGGAGCAGCGGGGGGGTGTTAGTGGAGTAGTGGAGTGGGTGGGTGAGCGGACATGCTTTCGGTACAGGCTCTGTGGACAGCCATTTACCTTACGAGGCGCTTTCTCCATCAATTGTTGTCATAATAATGATACAATAATCACAATAATAAAATAATAATAATACAACAATAATAACAATATAATAAAAGTAACAATAACAATAATACATATAATAATAATAATCCTTGCATTTGATATAGTGCCTTACCAGGAGTTTGAGATATCCTGAAGCACTTCATAGGATACTATAATGTGTAGTGACTGTGTATTTTGTGGGCGAAACACAGCAGCCAATTCCACACAGCAGCGTCCCACAAACAGTCGTGGATTGAGTGACCAAATTTTTTTTTTTGAAGGGATTATTACCCCCGGAAAAGTGATCCACCGATCGACTAACAACCGGGTTCCTACTCACTGTTTGGTAATCAGAGGCGCGTGGAGTCAGGAAACTTGCCCAACGTTTTGCCAATGTCTGGGAACCCAGGTCTCTTCTCGCTTGTGAGGGGAGTGCCCTAACCACTGAGCTACAGGATCCCACTTCCCTCGGCTCCTCTCCCCCACTCTGCCCCACTAACAGCCCCGAAAACCCAGTGGAATGTTTCACGGAAGGTTTCAATGATTCCAATGACAGACCACAAGCAAATAACCCACGTCCCTCCTTTCCTCCTCCCCCCGGCCCTCAGGCTGTACGTGACATCTGCGAGAGTGACCCCCCACTCTCTCCCCCCATCCCCCCTTCCCCCCAACCACACTCACCTGGAGTTGCACAGTGATGGGTTCGAGTCCCCTCAGGGAGTTCTTGTCGAACGGATCAAAGTTCTCGTCCCTCATGATCTCCGGCTGGAGTACAATGCCACACTTCCCGTTCATACTGAAGATGGTTTGGTTCAGCTGCATTGGTTTGTCTGCGGTGGTGGGGGGGGGGGGGCGGGGGGGCCGGGAATGGGGGCAGGGAATGGGGGGAACGACACAGGATGCAAGACTTTAAAGCGATCGCAGGGAGGTGAGAGTCACTGGCATAATAATAATCCTTGCGTTTGATACAGCACTTTATCATGTCATTGAGACGTCTCAAGCACTTCACAGAATACACTGTGAAGTGTAGTGACTGTGTATTTTGTAAGTGAACATGACAGCCAATTGCACACAGCAGTGTCCCCACAAACAGCCGTGGGGCGAGTGGGCAATATTATTTGGGGGATTGTTGTCCAGGACACCGGGAGAGAGAGAGAAACTCCCTTCTCTTTTCCAATAGCCCCGCGGGATCTTTACCATCCGCCTGAACAGGCAGACGGGACCTCGGGTTAACGTCTCAGGCGTCTCTGACAGTGCAGAACCCCCACACTCTCCGCACTACAATACAACACACTTTAAGTTTCATGTCCGAAAGACATCTCAGAGTGCCTCCCCACTGCCTGGACTGCCAGCTGCAATCCCCACCTGGGGCTCGAACCCACAAATATCTGAGACACCCTCCCGCACACTCACACACACATCGCACATGCACGGACATGCAGATACACACGCACACAGACACAAACACACGCATAGACACACACACGCACAGACACAGTCACACAGACAGACACACACTCAGACACAGAGCCCAGCAGGGAGGGGGTGAGGTGCCCGTGATGCCCGCTCAGGGTACCTGGTGTCTGGAAGTTGAGAGCCACTAGTTGGCTGCCGCAGCCCCACATGGGCAGAGGATCGTAGTTGGAGGAGTCGAGGCGTTGGCCTTTGGGGTAGACACGGCTGAGCTGCCGCTGGTTATACAGCAGGAACCGCTTGCCTCGTGTCCGGTTCGCGTATTTCTCCGCCTTGGTCTCCGGGAAGGAGGACATGTCGCGGCAACACGCCTTGTCTGTGCCGATCTCTGCCGGGAGCAACACGGGAACTTTCAGTCCCTCAACAACAACAACAGGTTGTACTTACACAGTGCCCTTCACACAGGGCCGTGTCCGAGTCTGACACTGAGCCAAGCCAACAACAACAACAACAACAAACTGCATTTACACAGCGCTTTTCTGTGAGGAGACATCCCAAGGCTCTGGACAGTCGACGGTTTGCACTCGGGCTGGGGGTTGGGATCAGGGGTGGATTGGAGGAGGAAGATGACGGAAGGCGTGGTCGAAGAGTAAGATCTTGAGACGGACCTTACATTTATACAGCACCCTCACGCGGACCCCAGTGGCTCAGAGAACTTTATGAAGGAATATCAACAACAAAATACATTTGTTTAGCGCGTTTCACATCAGGAGGGCAGGGAGGGTGGGGGTAGGAGGGTGAACGAAGGCGCAGTCAAAGAGGAGGATCTTGAAATGGGTCTTCAAGGATGTAAAGGTTGGAGTGAAGCAAAGGGAATGTGGGATGGAATTCCAAAGGGTGGGGGGCAGAGAGGCTGAAGGCCCATCTGCCGATGGTGGGGTGGGGGGGAGGCCGGGCGGTGGAAGTGGAGCAGGGTGGAGCCTGCTGAGCGGAGGCAGCGGACAGGTAAATATGGGGGGTTAACAGGTCACAAAGGTAGGAAGGAGCAAGGCCACGGAGAATTTAAAGGTGAGGACGAGGAGGTTGGGGAGAGGGAGCCAGTGGAGTGGGCGAGGAAGGGAGGGAGAGAGAGGTGGAGGAAGGGTAGAAGGGAGGGAGGGAGAGAGACAGACAGAGAGGGAGGGATCGAGTGAAGGAAGAAAGATAGAGGGGAGGGAGAGAGGGGACTGGAAGTGTAGAGTGACAGAGCGGCTGAGGATGGGGTCTCACTCACTTTCCTCATCGAAAGGCACCGGGCGGCAGTAAATAACCAGCTCCGACAGCTCCAGAGCAATCTTCTTCCTGCGTTCCATAATCTTCCCCTCCTGCATCTGTTATAGTAATAATATAATACAGTAATAATAATAATCTTAGCATTTGATACAGTCTTATCACATCATTGAAGCATCTCAAAGTGCTTCACAAGATATGCTGCAGAGTGCAGTGACTGTGAATTTTGTGTCCGAATTACAGCAGCCAGTTTATACATAGCATTGTCCCTACAAAGAGCCACGGAGCGAGTGACCAATTTTATTGCAGACGGGACCTCGGTTTAACGTCTCATCCCACAATGTAACACCACCCCCACCCCCAGCGCTGTATTGGGAGCATCAGCTTAGACTGTGTGAAAAGAGATTCCAAATCAATCCCACTCCCCATAGCCCCATAGTCCTGATCAACCCCACTCCCCCGCTCTCTCCCCATAGCCCTGATCAACCCCACTCCCCCGCTCTCTCCCCATAGCCCTGATCAACCCCACTCTCCCGCTCTCTCCCCATAGCTCTGCAAACTTGTCCCCAAATAATTATCTACTTCTCTCTTAAAAGTTGTTATGGAATCGGTTCCCACCGGCCTTTCAGCCAATGCGTTCCAGACCCCAACAACTCGCTGTGTGAACACATTTCTCCTCCCCTCCCCTCTGTTTCTTTTAACAGCTATTTTAAATGGGTGCCCTCGGGTTACCGACCCACCGCCAGTGGGAATAGTTTCTCCTCGTTCACCCTATTGAATCCTCTCATCATTTTGAAAACTTCTATTAAGTCTCCTCTTAACCTTCTCTGCTCCGAGGAGAATAATCTGAGCTTCTCTACCTCTCCTGATAACTGAGGTCCCTCATTCCTGGTACCATTCTGGTCAATCTCCTTTGCACCCTCTCCAATGCCTTGACATCCTTCCTAAGGTGTGGGGCCCAGAACTGAACACAGTCTCTCGCTGAGGCCTCACCAAGTGTTTATAAAGGTGTATTATTTATGATGGTGGAACCGAGGGCACAAGGGACAAGCAGGAGGCCGGAGCCAGTTGAGTGGAGCATTGGATAGTGGGTTGGGGGCACCAGGTCAGAGAGGTAGGGAGGTGTCAGGGCATGAAGGAATTTATAGATGAGTGAGAGGATCTTGAAGTCGATCCAAACACAACAACAACAAAATTCCATGTGTAAAGCGCCTTTCACATCAGGAGGATGTCCCAAGGCGCTGACAGACAGATTTTCGGACGTCGGGGTCGGGGAGGGTGGAGGGCAGTGGGGGAAGCAGGGAGATCGAAAGCACAGCTGAAGAGGAGGGTCTTAAGATGGGTCTTGAAGGAGGCAAGGAAGGGGCTGTGCTGGAGGGACCGTGGGATGGAATTCCAGAGGGTGGAGGCCATTCAGTGATAGGGAGCCAGTGGAGCCTGGCGAGGGCTGAGAGGTGATGGGGGGACAGAGATTAGTGTGTGTTAGTAAGTGGGCGGCGGAGTTCTGGATTAATTGGATTTTGTGGTTCGTGGAGCTGGGGATGCTGGCGAGGAGGGCATTGGAGTAGTCGAGGTGGGAGGTGACGAGGGTTTCTGCCGTGTTTGAGATGACTCCCTCGGGGGGAGTTGGCGGTGGTTTAGGTTGGGCGTGTGGAATGGCCTCTCTCTATGCTCTCACTGTTGAACTATACTGACTATCACCTCGGGATATATTGGTGTATTGATAGCAGCAACTGAATGTTCCAGAGGAATTGAGGGTTAAAAAGTAACCGATAGAGTTAAAAATAAGTGCAAAGATAAGCAGAAATGGTATGTGACCACAGTAACAGAAGTAGCCAAGAGATAATGAGTGAAGGTCATCCTTGAGCTGGGAAAAGCAAGAACTGGGGTAGTATCTGTACAAAACAGGAGGCCTGTACACACCGAGTGGGACCACACTGGGACCTTGGGTTTTGATTTCACGACTAGTTTAGAAGGGGCTAAAAGCAGCTTTGCTGAACAGGTTGAGATCAGCTTCTGATTACATTCCATATTGTCCTGGAAAGATGTTCACTCCTGAGATAATGGAAAATCGGGTCCTTGAGCGGAGATGTAAGAACAATGGACCACAGAGAACGGACTGCAGCCCCGGACACCGGCCCAGCTCAAGGCTGAGAAACAAGCCGCTGCGGGAGGCTGCACAGAGGGTGTCCATATCTCTCTCTGTGCAAAGCAGCCGGTGAAGGGTGGGGACTATCGCTGTGACTAACGAAGGGGCTGTGTGGGGTGGGGGCTATCGCTGTGACCAGGGGAGGCGCTGTGTGTGGTGGGGGCTATCTCTGTGACCAAGGGAGGCCCTGTGTGGGGTGGGGGGCTATCTTTGTGACCAAGGGAGGCCCTGTGTGGGGTGGGGGGCTATCTCTGTGACCAAGGGAGGCCCTGTGTGGGGTGGGAGGCTATCTCTGTGACCAAGGGAGGCCCTGTGTGGGGTGGGGGGCTATCTCTGTGACCAAGGGAGGCCCTGTGTGGGGTGGGAGGCTATCTCTGTGACCAAGGGAGGCCCTGTGTGGGGTGGGGGCTGTCTGTCTCTGTGACAAGAGGAGGCGGAGATAGAAATACATATAAGATGTCAGTTTGGAAGAGTTGGAGTTGTTTGGAGGGTCAACACTTCCCAGTGGAATCGATATGGATTCTACTGTATCGATGTACATGTCCGGGGGGAGAGAATTTACCTCCAGTAAGAACGTGACCATTACAAGTGAAAGAGGAGGAGTAGTGAGGTCTGTAAGGAACGAGGGCTTTCTCCAGTGGGAGTGGAAGAGGATTGTGGGAGCTCCAGGAGTGTGACCGCTGCCCAGAGTCAAATTGGGCAAATATGCTGGTGATTGTGTCTGTTTCCCGCTGTGTGTGTGTGTGTGTGTGTGTGTGTGTGTCTGTCTGTCTGTCTGTGTAAGGGCTGTAGTGCAGCTGATTTGTCTGTTCGAACTTTAACAAAACCTATATTTGAAAGTAACGTGGTGTCCAGTCAGTTTGTCTGCATCACCCTGGCATCAGCGTTCTGCGTGGCCTCCCGGATCTTGGCCACCCAGTCACTGAGCTCCTCCTGACTGTCACACGCCACGTCTAACATCTGGATCGACCTCGACATCTGCTGAGAGTGGATGGTGAACACGAACGGCCTGTTCTCTCTGCCTTCCTTCTGGATCACTGCACATCACACAGAAAGTCAGGTCACCGACGCAGACACGTCACACCACACAGACATGTCACACACACGTCACACACACACAGACACATCACACACAGACACAGACACATCACACGCACCGACACAACAACAACAACAACAAGATTCCATTTATTGAGCGCCTTTCACGTCGGGAGGACGTCCCAAGGCGCTGTGCAGTTGGGTCAGGACCCGAGCATTGGGGAAATGGTGAGGGGAGGGAAGGGAGGGAGCGAGGAGGGGGAAGTGGTCAGGGTGAGGGGAGGGAAGGGAGGGAGCGAGGAGCGGGGAAATGGTCAGGGGGAGGGGAGGGAAGGGAGGGGGCGAGGAGGGGGTAGAGAGTCGAGAGCGGAGCTGAAGGCTGAAGGTCAAAGAGAAAGGCCTTGAGACCGGCCTTGAAGGAGGAGAGGGAGGAAGCGGTGAAGGCACTGGGGATGGAGTTCCAGAGCCTCGGGGCTGAGAGGCTGAAGGCCACCGATGGTCGGGCGGTTGGGGCGGGGGATGTGGAGCAGACCGGAGCCAGAGGAACGGAGGGTACGGGCAGGTGAGTGGGGGATAGTAGGTCAGAGAGGGAGGAGGGAGCGAGGCCGTGAATGGCCGTGTAGGTGAGGATGAGGATCTGGAATTCGACACATCTTCAATTCTTGACACATCACAGACACATCACACAAAAAGTCACGTCAACCACACAGACACACAGACACAAACATGTCACACGCACCGACACATCACAGACACAGACACGTCACACACACAGACACGTCACACACACAGACACATCACACACACACAGACACGTCACACACACACACACACACAGACACGTCACACGCACAGAGACAGCAGGATTAGACACAGTAACGCTCCTCTACACTGTGTGTCCACACTCCCAGGTCAGGGTTAGAGTCACAGTATCTTTTCAACATCTATATGCTCCCTCTTGGTGACATGATCCGCAGACATGGGGCCAACTCCCACATGTATGCGGATGACACCCAACTCTCTCTCTCTCTGCCTCCACTGTTGACTCCAGGACCCACTGCCCTCCTGACAGAATGTCTGTCAGACATCAGGTCCTGGATCAGAGTGAACGTCAACAAGACCGAGGCTCCTGATTGACTCCCGTCAGCACCTCCTCACCTCAGGCGCTGACAGCATCACCATCCCTGGGGCTCACTCCCCCTCACTAAGCCAGTCCCGAACCTTGGGGTCTTGTTTGACCCTCAACTATCCTTTCTACCCCACATCTGCGCCATGACCCGCTCTGCCTTCCCCACCTCCCCAACATCGCCCGACTCCACCACTGTCTCATACCGCAGCCCCCGAGACCCTCACACACACCTTCATTACATTGACTATGCAAACTCACTGCTTGTCGGCCCCCAACTCCTCCCTCCAGACTGCAGTTCATCCAGAACTAACTCTGCAGACCCTACTCCCCCACACCCTCCATCCCTCTCCGCCCCTCCCCGAGGACCCGCTTACACTGCTCACCTACGTGACATGTGGGGACGTCAATAAATCCCTTCAGGAAGCTTCCCAAGGGGCTGTTTTCCACCGACTGAGGGAGAGAGAGAGATGGGAATTACCAAATCATTCCACTGCACCTCAGCCCCAACATACAGCAACTGGACCCCACCCACTGATCAATAATCACTGATCGGGGATATCTTTCTCTCCAGTATACTGACTGATCAGGTTTATTGACCAATTGGGTGTATTGATTGATTGTGATTATTGACTGATCAGTGGTATTGATTGGCTGATTGGGGTATTGATTGACTGATTAAGGTATTTATTGACTGCTCAGTGGTACTGATTAATTGGTTGGTTGATTGATTGATTGCTTGGGTTGTTGACTGACTAATCAGGGTACCGATTGACTGATCGGGGTATTGATTGCCTGATCGGGGTTTTGATTGAGGTATGACACTGACAGGGTGTGGCTGCTCACCGTCTGGTCCTGTTCGGGAGTGGGGCTTCTCTCCTCCACGTAATTAGCAGGAAACCACAACTGTTTTTTACCTCCGTAATCTCCCCTCCACCTGAGGGGAAACAGAAAATAAATGGGGAAATGGGGGCATTCCCAGGATAGCCTCGCCCTCAGCCTTCTATTCACCGCCCCCCCCCCACCACCAGTACTCACCCTCTCTCCCCCATCCTGTACTATACTCCCCTCCCCTCCTGTATCAACTGATCAGATGTACTGATTGATTAGGTTTATTGATTGATCTCAATTTTTGGCCAATCAGGTGTATTGACCAGTACTGTACTCACCCCCCATCCTGTACTCTAATAATAATAATCCTGGCATTTGACACAGCGCCTTATCACGTCGTTGAGACGTCTCAAAGCGCTTCACAGAATACACTGTAAAGTGAATTGACTGCACATTTTGTGGGTGAAACGCGGCAGCCAATTGCGCACAGCAGCGTCCCACACACAGCCGTGGGTTGAGTGACCAATTTAAAATTTTTAAAAATTATTTTGGGATGATTATTACCCCCAGAAAGTGATCCGGTAATCGACTAAGGTGATGTGTATGTATTCTGTAACTCGAGGTAAACAGAGGCGTGTGGAGTAAGGAAACTTACCTAAGGTTTCGCCCTACCCGGCAATCAAACCCGGGTCCTCTCGCTTGCGAGGCGAGTGCTCTAACCACTGAGCTACATGTACTCACCAGCCCCCGTCCTGTTTCTCAATGTTGTGGATTAATGCCTGTTTACAGAAGGATAACTCGTCCTCTCTCTGAGCTTTGTAGTCGTACAGCGCCTTAACTGTGCACTGCAGAGAGAGGGAGAGAGAGAGCATCAGAGAGAGGAAGCATTTCAGATCGAGAAAGTTTCAGAGAGAGAGGATGTTAGAGAGAGAGTTGAGGGAGAGGGCATCAGAGAGAGAGCGTCAGAGAGAGATATATATATCAGTGTGTATGTGTGTGTGTATATGTCAGTGTGTATTTGTGTGTGTGTATATGTTGGTGTGTATATCTCAGTGTGTATATATGAGAGTGTATGTCAGTGTGTGTGTATGTCAGTGTGTATATGTGTGTGTGAGTGTGTGTATGTTTGAGTGTGTATATGTGAGTGTATATATGTGAGTGTGTATATGTGAGTGTGTATATGTGAGTGTATATATGAGTGTGTATATGTGAGTGTATATATGTGAGTGTGTATATGTGTGTGTGAGTGTGTATATGTGAGTGTGAGTGTGTATATGTCAGTGTGTATATGTCAGTGTGTATATGTCAGTGTGTGTATGTGTGAGTGTGTATATGTGAATGTGTGTCTCTCAGCCTCTATCTCTCAGGATAAATAAACCAACATTTACCCGTGCTGTTGGCATCTTGTTGGCTTCGACATAAAAGTGAGCTGTCCGCACCTCATACAGTGCCCCATAGTCCAGCTCCTGTAGAGGAGAGAGAGTGGGCACACACAGCTTTACCGGGGGGGAGAGAGAGAGTGGGCACACACAGCTTACCGGGGGAGAGAGAGTGTGGGCACACACAGCCTTATGGAGGAGAGAGAGAGAGTGGGCACAAACAGCTTTACCGGGGGAGAGAGTGGGCACACAGCCTTACGGGGGAGAGAGAGAGAGTGGGCACACACAGCTTTACAGGGGGGAGCGAGAGAGAGAGAGAGTGGGCACACAGCGCTCTATCAACAACAACAAATTATCATTGCTTTTCTTGATATAGCGCTTTTCACGTCTTCTCGACATCTCAAAGCGCTTCACAGAATATTCTGTAAAGTGAATTGACTGTATATTTTGTGGGTGAAACGCAGCAGCCGATTGTGCACAGCGGTGCCCACACACAGCCGTGGATTGAGCGAATACATTTTTTTTTTTTTTGAAGGGATTGTTACCCCTGGAAAGCGATTTGACAATCCTCTAACAACTGGGTTTCTATTTACCACTTCCTATTTACTGGAACCTTCTCTACTGCCTAACTCCGGCCCCATCGCCAACCTCCCTTTCCTCTCCAAGGTCCTGAAACAAGTCGTTGCTTCCCAGCTTCGCTCCTTCCTCTCCCACCACTCCCTCTCTGAACCCCTCCAGTCGGGTTTCCGTGCCGCCCACAGCACAGAATCAGCCCTGGTCAGTGACAAATGATATTCTGTCCATCTGCGACCAGGGCTCCCTCTGCCCCCTCGCCCTCCTTGACCTCTCTGCTGCCTTCAACAACGTCAACCACTCTATCCTCACCCACCGCCTCTCATCTCACCTCAACCTTCACGGCTCTGTCCTTCACTGGTTCAGATCGTACCTCTCACACCACCTCCACTTCATCTCCACAAATATGCGGTGTTCCTCAGGGCTCTGTCCTTGGTCCCCTCCTCTTCAACATCTATATGCTCCCTCTGACATCATCCACAGACATGGGGTCAACTCCCACATGTATGCGGATGACACCCAACTCTCTCTCTCTGTCTCCACTGTTGACCCCAGGACCCACTGCCCTCCTGACAGAATGTCTGTCAGACATCAAGTCCTGGATGAGAGCGAACTTTCTTCAGTTGAACGTCAACAAGACCGAGGCTCCTGATTGACTCCCGTCAGCGCCTCCGCACCTCAGACGCTGACAGCATCACCATCCCTGGGGCTCACTCCCACTCACTGCGCCAGTCCCGAACCTTGGTTTGACCCTCAACTATCCTTTCTACCCCACATCTGTGCCATGACCCGCTCTGCCTTCCCCACCTCCGCAACATCGCCCGACTCCGCCACTGTCTCACACCACAGCCCCCGAGACCCTCACACACACCTTCATTACATCGAGGCTCGACTATGCAAACTCACTGCTTGTCGGCCCCCAACTCCTCCCTCCACAGGCGGCAGATCATCCAGAACTCTGCAGCCCGTGTCCTCTCCCGCACCGGCTCCGTGACCCTATCACCCCCATCCTCGCCCGACTCCACTGGCTTCCCATCACACAGAGGGTACAGTCCAAGATCCTGGTCCTCACCTTCAAAGCCCTCTATGGTCTTGCTCCCCCCGACCTCTGCCACCTCCTAACCCCCTCCCATCCTGCTCGCTCCCTCCGCTCAGTGGGCTCTGGCCTGCTTCACGTCCCCCGCCTCGCCCGCCCCACTATTGGCGGGTGGGCTTTCTGCCACTCTGCCCCCACCCTCTGGAAGTCCATCCCACAGTCCCTCTGCCTCGCCCCCTCCCTCGTCCCCTCCCTCAAGACCCACCTCAAGATCCTTCTCTTCAACCGTACTTTCGATCGCCCTGATTCGCTCCCCGCCCTCCACGCTCCCCCACCCCAACCCCCAGCTCGGGTCTGTAACTTTGTCTGTCCAGCACCTTGGGATGTCCTCCTGACGTGAAAGGCACTTTACACATGGAATTTCGTTGTTGTTGATGTTGTAGTGCTGGTAAACAGTGGCATGTGTGTGGAGTAAGGAAACTTGCCTTAAAGACGGAGGAGGGGAGGAGGAGGAGGGAGGAGGAGGGGAGGAGGAGAAGGGAGGAGGATGGAGGAGGAGGAGGGGAGGAGGAGGATGAGGGAGGAGGATGGGGGAGGAGGAGGGAGGAGGGAGGAGGATGGGGGAGGAGGAGGATGGGGGAGGAGGAGGGAGGAGGATGGGGGAGGAGGAGGGAGGAGGATGGGGAGGAGGAGGGAGGAGGATGGGGGAGGAGGAGGGGAGGAGGAGGATGGGGGAGGAGGAGGGGAGGAGGAGGATGGGGGAGGAGGGAGGAGGAGGACGATGGGGGAGGAGGATGGGGGGAGGAGGAGGAGGAGGGGGGAGGAGGAGGGGAGGAGGAGGATGGGGGAGGAGGGAGGAGGAGGAGGATGGGGGAGGAGGGTAATAAGGAGCCACTCACGGTGGTGCCCATCTTGCTGAGGGTCTCCTGGTTGATGGGGTAGCGCAGCACCATCCTGCGGTACAGGGGGTGGGCACTGTGATAGGTCACCAGATCCTCCAGACTCTCAAACTCCGCTGAGCTGCCGAGTGTGAACAGCTGCCCGGCCTTCTGCACCCGACAGTGCTTAATCTTCCCCTCCGCCCTGGCCAGGACCACCAGCACCGTCACCACCACCATCACCACCACCGGCACCACCGGCACCACCACCGGCACCACCACCGTCACACCACCACCAGCACCACCACCATCATCACCACCATCACCATCACCACCATCACCACCACCACAGGCACCACCACCGGCACCACCACCATCATCATCATCACCACTACCATCATCATCACCACCACCACCACCGGCACCACCACCGGCACCACCACCGGCACCACCACCATCATTATCATCACCACCACCACCACCGTCACACCACCACCACCACCAGCACCAGCACCATCATCACCACCACCACCACCACCGTCATCACCATCACCACCATCACCATCACCACCACCACCAGCACCGTCACCACCACCACCACCATCACCACCACCATCACCATCACCACCATCACCACCATCACCACCAGCACCGTCACCACCACTGGCACCACCACCAGCACCACCACCACCATCATCATCACCACCACCAGCACCGTCACCACCACCATCACCATCACCACCATCACCATCACCACCATCACCACCATCACCATCACCACCAACACCGTCACCACCACCACCACCACCATCATCACTATCTTCATCATCATCACTCACTCCATCCATCAGACTCGGGGTTGATACACACACACACACATAGGTACCGCCAACACACATGGATCTCAACATACACACGCTAACACCCCCAGTGACTGTACTGACCGGAAGGAGATGGCGTAGGACCCGGGTTCACTGCGTTTACGCACAAGGAAGGCTCCATCCCGTGGAACCCTCATCAGCATGTGCTCGGCCTGTAGACGTGTCAGGCTGGCGTGGTACCATCTAGGGAGGCCCGGCAACCACAGGGTTAACAGCACTTAGTGCGTCCATACAGGTATACACACACAACATATAACAGGCACATGTAAACATCTATACACACACACACTTACACACAATCACACCCACACACACACACACATGCATGTCTACACACGTAAATGCATATGTACACATGCATGTATATCTAGACACATGTACAGAAACATACATATTCACATGCAAATACACACACAAACATCATCACGTATACAAACTAACATACGCGTGCACAAACAGGTTAACATGTGCTACATACATTTACACAACAAAAACACAACTACATTTCTATTGTCCCTTTCATGTTGGGAGTACATCACAAAGTGCTTAAAATATATGCAAAATATATGTACACATGGACATGTATACACACACACACAACATGCATATATAGCACCCTTCACGCCGGGTAGTGTCCCAAAGCACTTGGATACATACAGGGATACACACAGGTATCACGTGCACACACATGCATCAACACTTCCATGTATATCTTTGCAAATGCATGTATATACGTAAAAACAATGACACAAAGACATCCACATATACCCATGTACACGCACACGTATACACTATTTATATTTATTTACACAGCGTTTTTCACATTGAAAGGATGTCTCAAAGCACTTGACACAGCTGACTGGGAGGCCACATATGCACACTCTACACACGTGAACACATGTACACACATATACAAGTGTGCACATATGGATACACATGCATACACGCAGTTATAACACATACACAAGGATACACACGCACATATCTAAACACACATATCTTGTGCACACACATATATACACACAGGAACGCACACAAGTATGTACACACATATATCATGTATACCTACAGGGATACACACACATGTATCACGTGCACACACAGGTAGACACATGTACACGCCCGCACACACCTGCTGGTCACACTCACTCTTTGCTCTCGTGAGCGTTGGGCTGCGGCACAGGGTCCGTGAGTTTCATCTCAAACTGGTTCGAGCGGAGAGGAAGTTGCCGGTAATGGCTGACCAGGGAGAACAGGCTGTCAAACACCAGGTTGTCCGTCAGGTAGAACTTTGTGCTGCCGGCCTCCTGCCTCGAGTGCATCCGGCAATGCTGCACTTGACCTGACCGCCTGCCACACGCACACACGTGTGTGAGAAATGGAGACATAAACGAGGAACTGAGACATGCGAGACTCGTTTAGACACGCAGATACGCACACACATGGGTGAGACATTGAGACACATGCAAAATTCGTGAGGCAGAGACATGTGTGAGGTACAGAGACGTGTGTGAAACATGGAGACATGTCAGAAACAGAGATGTGTCTGACGTCAGGACCTCAGTTTAACATCTCCTCCCGAGGACGGCACCTCCCACAGTGCCCCCCCACCCCACCCCCAGCGCTGTATTGGAGCATCAGCTTAGACTGTGTGCGCGTACATTGGAAATGTACCCCATGTCTGCGGATGACATCCCCAAGAGGGAGCATGTAGATCAGAAAGAGGAGGGGCCAAGGATGGATCCTTGGGGTACCCACAGGTGACCGGGTGAGAGCGGGAGGAGAAGCCGTTTGTGCAGATGTACTGCTGGCGGTTTGTGAGGTAGGACTCGAACCAGGCGAGTGCGGTCCCACTGAGGTTGACTGACGGAGGAAGGCGGTGGAGGAGGATGGCGTGATCGACTGTGTCGAACGCGGTGGAGAGGTCCAGGAGGACAAGGAGGCAGAGGGAGCCCTGGTCACAGATAGAGAGGATGTCGTTTGTGACTTTCACAAGCGCAGTCTCTGTACTGTGGGCGGAAACCGGACTGGAGGGGTTCGAAGAGGGAGTGGGAGGAGAGGTGTGCGCGGAGTTGATTGGCAACAACGCGTTCTAGGACTTTTGCGAGGAAGGGCAGGTTAGAAATAGGGCGGTAATGGCTGGGGTTTGAGGGATCTAGGGAGGGTTTTTTCAGGAGGGGGGTGATGACAGCAGTTTTGAGGGGGCAGGGACTGATCCGGAGGAGAGGGACTGGTTGATGACGTCAGCCAGTAGTGGGCAGAGGAGGGGGAGCTGGGTGACCAGTAAGTTGGTGGGGAGGGGGTCGAGGCAGCAGGTGGTGGGTTTCATGGAGGTGATGGTGGGTGAGAGGGAGGAGGGAGAGATGGGGAGGAAGATGTAGAAAGGGGGTGGTGGTAGGAGCAGATGATGAGGAAGGTGAGGGGGACAGAGAGGGTGGTGGTGGATGACAAGGGGCAGGTGGATGAGGCGGCCTGGAGGATGTTCAGTATTTTAGTTGAAAAGAAGTCCATGAGCTCCTCGCACTTGGCATTTGATACGAAGATTGAGGAGGCCTGAGGGGGGTACGGAGGAAGTATTGGGTGGTGGAAAAAAGGATTTTGGGGTTGTGTTTAGCCTCCAAGATGATGTTGGAGTAGATGCTGTTTCTGCGCGTGTCAAGGAACGGCGGTAGCTGTGGAGGAGGTTAGAGGTACTGGAGCTCACCTGCCTTCTCTGTTTCTGTCCATCTGATCAAACTGTTTCCGGAGCCACCTGTAAACACACAGAGGCACATACACACAGAGTGACGGTCATCACTACAGCCTGCCAGCCCGGCCTCACAACACGTCCCCTTCACTGTGGCTCTAACCCTGACCTGGGAGTGTGGACACACAGTGTAGAGGGAGCGTTACTGTGTCTGTAACCCTGACCTGGGAGTGTGGACACACAGTGTAGAGGGAGCGTTACTGTGTCTCTAACCCTGACCTGGGAGTGTGGACACACAGTGTAGAGGAGCTTTACTGTGTCTCTAACCCTGACCTGGGAGTGTGGACACACAGTGTAGAGGGAGCGTTACTGTGTCTCTAACCCTGACCTGGGAGTGTAGTGACTGTGTGTTACTGTGTCTCTAACCCTGACCTGGGAGTGTGGACACACAGTGTAGAGGAGCTTTACTGTGTCTCTAACCCTGACCTGGGAGTGTGGACACACAGTGTAGAGGGAGCGTTACTGTGTCTGTAACCCTGACCGGGGAGTGTGGACGGACGCACAGCGTAGAGGGAAATTTACATTTTTCAGGGTTTTGAGAAGGACAACAATTAGATTCTGCCTTTCACATGGGATGGAGAGGTGGAGAGAATCAACCAAACTGTGGAATACCGGCCGCCCCCGCCTCGCACACAGAATGGACTGAACCATGGTGAGAATGAACTGAGGATCGGACATACCTCTCCACCTGAAGGGGGGTGGCGGAGCTTTGTGTGTCCTGCACGAGCCAATTCAGACCCGAAATCCAAAGGCTCACGTCATCTTCACAGGAAGCTGCAGAGAGATCCCATTACACTGTCACTGTCACAACAAGAATAGTCATAGCAATAATCAAAACAATAATAATCCGGGCATTTGATACAGATCCTCATCACGTCTTGAGACGTCTCAAAGCGCTTCACAGGATACACTAAAGTAATTGACTGTATATTTTGTGGGTGAAACGCGGCAGCCAATTGCGCACAGCAGTGTCCCACAAACAGTCGTGGATTGAGTGACCAAATTATCGTTTATTTTGAAGGGATTATTACCCCAGAAAGTCATCCAGCAATCGACTAACAACCGGGTTCCTACTGACTGCGGTAGGCAGGCGTGTGCAGGAAGGAGACTTGCCTAAGGTTCCTGCCCAGGAATCGAACCCAGGTCCCTCTCACTTAACTCCTCAGGGATTGGAGTCTGAATTGAATCACACACCTGAGAGGCTGAGGGATTTGAGTCGGAATTCCATCCCATATAAGATGACAAGACACAGGTCAGGGTCCAGCTTGCGAGCTTCGTCCGGATAACGTTCAAAATCTCTGGAATTTTTCCCAGGCCGGATCTCTTTAATCTCCCGGATATCAACTGTGGGGAATGAGGAGAGCTTCACGTCAGACTCACACAGACACAGACACTGCTCCGAGAAACAACAACAAAGTACATTTGATAGACGTCATCGAGACGTCTCAAAGCGCTTCACAGAATATACTGTACAGTGTAGTGACTGTATATTTTGTGGGCGAAACTCGGCAGCCAATTGCACACAGCAGTGCCCCCACAAACAGCCGTGGGGCGAGTGGGCAATATTATTTGGGGGATTGTTGTCCAGGACACCGGGAGAGAGAGAGAAACTCCCTTCTCTTTTCCGATAGCCCCGCGGGATCTTTACCATCCGCCTGAACAGGCAGACGAAACAACAACAACTTGCACTCATATAGCGCCCTCCACGCGGGGCAGTGTCTCAGAGCTTAACAGTGCTGGAGCCTGACTCCGAGCCGAGGTGAGGGGGAGGGGGAGGGGGCTGTAATCACGGCTGAAAAGGAAGGTTTTCAGGTGGGACTTGAAAAAGGGTAGAGAGGAGCACAGCAGAGAGACCGAGGGGGAGAGTTCCAGAGTTTCAGGCTGTAGCGGCTGAAAGCGCAACCTCTGATGGTGGGGCGGAGGGTGTGAGGGACGAGCAGGAGCTGGTGCCAGTCGAGCGGAGGCGTCTGGTGGTGGATTGGGAAGTGAGGGGGTCGGAGAGGTGGGGAGTGAGGGGTTCGGAGAGGTGAGGAGTGAGTGGGTCGGAGAGGTGGGGAGTGAGGAAGTCGGAGGGTGGGGAGTGAGGGGTCGGAGAGGTGGGGAGTGAGGGGGTCGGAGAGGTGGGGAGTGAGGGGTCGGAGAGGTGGGGAGTGCGGAGTCGGAGAGGTGGGGGGGGGGGTCGGAGAGGTGGGGAGTGAGGGGGTCGGAGAGGTGGGGAGTGAGGGGGTCGGAGAGGTGGGGAGTGAGGGGGTCGGAGAGGTGGGGAGTGAGGGGGTCGGAGAGGTGGGGAGTGAGGGGTGGAGAGGTGGGGAGTGAGGGGGTGGAGAGGTGGGGAGTGAGGGGGTCGGAGAGGTGGGGAGTGAGGGGTCGGAGAGGTGGGGAGTGAGGGGTCGGAGAGGTGGGGAGGTGCCAGGGAGTGAAGGGATTTGAACACGAGAGTGAGAGCATCTTGAAGTGGATGTGTTGGGTGATGGGGAGCCAGTGGAGCCTGGGCCAGAGCGGGTGAGATGTGGGGATGGAGTTTGGTTCAGGTCAGTGTGTGGGCGGCAGAGTCTGAATGAGATGATCTTGTGAATAGTGGAGCTGAGGAGACCGGCGAGGAGGGGGTTGCAGTAATCCAGGGGGAGGTGACAAACACATGCACAAGGGTTTCGGCTGCATATGGGGGTAAGGTACGGTCGGAGGTGGGCAATGTGGCGGAGGTGGAGGAAGGCCTCCTGGTCAGGGACCGGATGTGGAGGAGGAAGGACAGCTGGGGGTCGAACCGGATGCTTAGATTGCACACTGGTTTGGTGAGTGTGAGGGAGAACCCAGGGAGGTTGAGGAGTTCAGATCCACAGGAGTGAAGACATTGACGGGAGCCAAAGAGTATGGCTTCCGTCTTGTCCCCATTCAGCTGCAGGAAGTTTACACTCATCCAGGCCCTGATGTCTACCAGACAAACTGATAGAACATACACATTTACACAGACACACATACACATAGACACCTACAGACAGACACCTACACACATAGACACCTACACACATAGACACCTACACACATAGACATCTACACACAGACACCTACAGACAGACACCTACAGACACATACATTCACACACACAGTACACCAACAAACACACACAGATACACACGTTCACACACACACAGAAACACACTCACACATATACACACAGAGACACATATAGACACAAACATACACAGTCATACACACAGAAAGAGTGAGCAACGAGAGAAACAATACTGTACTGATCACACACACAGACATATCTCTGGGACAGGAGCCGGTGCAGTCTGGACAGGACTGGGGGGATCGGGGAGCGGGGTTTGGGGGGGGAAGGCCAGGACTGGGGGATCGGGGAGAGGGGTTTGGGGGTGGGGGAGAGGGCCAGGACTGGGGATCGGGGAGAGGGGTTTGGGGGGTGGGGGGGAGGGCCAGGACTGGGGGATCGGGGAGAGGGGTTTGGGGGTGGGGGGGAGGGCCAGGACTGGGGGGATCGGGGAGAGGGGTTTGGGGGTGGGGAGAGGGGCAGGGGCAGGACTGGGGGATCGGGGAGCGGAGTTTGGGGGTGGGGGGAGGGTCAGGAATGTGGGGATCGGGGAGAGGGGTTTGGGGGTGGGGGGGAGGGCCAGGACTGGGGGGATCGGGGAGAGGGGTTTGGGGGTGGGGGTGAGGGCCAGGACTGGGGGGATCGGGGAGAGGGGTTTGGTGCGTGTGAGAATGTGGGCGCAGAGTTCTGAATGATTTGGAGTGTATGGATGGTGGTGGAGGGGAGACCGGTGAGGAGGACGTTGGAATAGTTCAGCCAAGAGGTGACATGGACCAGGGTTTCAGCGGCTTTCAGACAGAGGTATTGACGGAGACGGGCGATGCGTCAGAGGCAGAAGAAGGCGGTGCTGGTGAGGGACCGGATGTGGGGGAAGAAGGATAATTGGGGGTCGAACCTGACGCCAGGGTTGCATACAGGTTCAGAGAGTTTAAGTGGGAGGTCGGGCAGGTGGAGGAGGTGAGAACCATGAGATTTTAGACGTTGACGAGAGCCGAAGAGTATGGCTTCCGTCTTGTCAACATTCAGCTGAAGGAAGTTTGCACTCATCCAGTCCCTGAGGTCTGACAGCAGAACATCAGGGGACTGGGGGCGCAAAGAGAGGTGGAAAAGTAGAGTTGGGTGTCGTCCGCGTACATGTGGAAATGTACCCCCTGTCGGCGGATGACATCCCCAAGAGGGAGCATATAGATCAGAAAGAGGAGGGGCCAAGGATGGATCCTTGGGGTACCCACAGGTGACCGGGTGAGAGGGGGAGGAGAAGCCGTTTGTGCAGATGTACTGCTGGCGGTTTGTGAGGTAGGACTCGAACCAGGCGAGTGCGGTCCCACTGAGGTGGATGACGGAGGAAAGGGGGTGGAGGAGGATGGTGTGATCGACTGTGTCGAACGTGGTGGAGAGGTCCAGGAGGACAAGGAGGCAGAGGGAGCCCTGGTCACAGATAGAGAGGATGTCGTTTGTGACTTTCACAATCACAGTCTCTGTACTGTGGGCGGAAACCGGACTGGAGGGGTTCGAAGAGGGAGTGGGGGGAGAGGTGTGCGCGGAATTAAATGGCAACAACGCGTTCTAGGACTTTTGCGAGGAAGGGCAGGTTAGAAATAGGGCGGTAATGGCTGGGGTTTGAGGGATCTAGGGAGGGTTTTTTTCAGGAGGGGGGTGATAGCAGCAGTTTTGAGGGACTGATCCGGAGGAGGGACTGGTTGATGGCGTCAGCCAGCAGTGGGCAGACGAGGGGGAGCTGGGTGACCAGTAAGTTGGTGGGGAGGGGGTCGAGGCAGCAGGTGGTGGGTTTCATGGAGGTGATGGTGGGTGAGAGGGAGGAGATAGAGATGGGGAGGAAAGAGTGTAGAATGGGGCGGTGGTAGGAGCAGATGATGAGGAAGGTGAGGGGGGCAGAGAGGGCCGGTGGTGGGTGACAAGGGGCAGGTGGATGAGGCTGCCTGGAGGATGTTAAGTATTTTAGATGAAAAGAAGTCCATGACCTCCTCGCACTTGGCATTTGATGTGAAGATTGAGGAGGCCTGAGGGGGAGCCACGGAGGAGGTAGTGGGTGGTGGAAAAAAGGATTTCAGGGTTGTGTTTAGCCTCCAGGATGATGTTGGAGTAGAATGCCGTTTTTGCGCGTGTCAAAGAACGACGGTAGCTGTGGAGGAGGTTAGAGGTACTGGAGCTCACCTGCCTTCTCTGTTTCTGTCCATCTGATCAAACTGTTTCCGGAGCCACCTGTAAACACACAGAGGCACATACACACAGAGTGACGGTCATCACTACAGCCTGCCAGCCCGGCCTCACAACACGTCCCCTTCACTGTGGCTCTAACCCTGACCTGGGAGTGTGGACACACAGTGTAGAGGGAGCGTTACTGTGTCTGTAACCCTGACCTGGGAGTGTGGACACACAGTGTAGAGGGAGCGTTACTGTGTCTCTAACCCTGACCTGGGAGTGTGGACACACAGTGTAGAGGAGCTTTACTGTGTCTCTAACCCTGACCTGGGAGTGTGGACACACAGTGTAGAGGGAGCGTTACTGTGTCTCTAACCCTGACCTGGGAGTGTAGTGACTGTGTGTTACTGTGTCTCTAACCCTGACCTGGGAGTGTGGACACACAGTGTAGAGGAGCTTTACTGTGTCTCTAACCCTGACCTGGGAGTGTGGACACACAGTGTAGAGGGAGCGTTACTGTGTCTGTAACCCTGACCGGGGAGTGTGGACGGACGCACAGCGTAGAGGGAAATTTACATTTTTCAGGGTTTTGAGAAGGACAACAATTAGATTCTGCCTTTCACATGGGATGGAGAGGTGGAGAGAATCAACCAAACTGTGGAATACCGGCCGCCCCCGCCTCGCACACAGAATGGACTGAACCATGGTGAGAATGAACTGAGGATCGGACATACCTCTCCACCTGAAGGGGGGTGGCGGAGCTTTGTGTGTCCTGCACGAGCCAATTCAGACCCGAAATCCAAAGGCTCACGTCATCTTCACAGGAAGCTGCAGAGAGATCCCATTACACTGTCACTGTCACAACAAGAATAGTCATAGCAATAATCAAAACAATAATAATCCGGGCATTTGATACAGATCCTCATCACGTCATTGAGACGTCTCAAAGCGCTTCACAGGATACACTAAAGTCAATTGACTGTATATTTTGTGGGTGAAACGCGGCAGCCAATTGCGCACAGCAGTGTCCCACAAACAGTCGTGGATTGAGTGACCAAATTATCGTTTATTTTGAAGGGATTATTACCCCAGAAAGTCATCCAGCAATCGACTAACAACCGGGTTCCTACTGACTGCGGTAGGCAGGCGTGTGCAGGAAGGAGACTTGCCTAAGGTTCCTGCCCAGGAATCGAACCCAGGTCCCTCTCACTTAACTCCTCAGGGATTGGAGTCTGAATTGAATCACACACCTGAGAGGCTGAGGGATTTGAGTCGGAATTCCATCCCATATAAGATGACAAGACACAGGTCAGGGTCCAGCTTGCGAGCTTCGTCCGGATAACGTTCAAAATCTCTGGAATTTTTCCCAGGCCGGATCTCTTTAATCTCCCGGATATCAACTGTGGGGAATGAGGAGAGCTTCACGTCAGACTCACACAGACACAGACACTGCTCCGAGAAACAACAACAAAGTACATTTGATAGACGTCATCGAGACGTCTCAAAGCGCTTCACAGAATATACTGTACAGTGTAGTGACTGTATATTTTGTGGGCGAAACTCGGCAGCCAATTGCACACAGCAGTGCCCCCACAAACAGCCGTGGGGCGAGTGGGCAATATTATTTGGGGGATTGTTGTCCAGGACACCGGGAGAGAGAGAGAAACTCCCTTCTCTTTTCCGATAGCCCCGCGGGATCTTTACCATCCGCCTGAACAGGCAGACGGGACCTCGGGTTAACGTCTCCCCCCGAGGACGGCACCTCCCAGTGTAACTCCCTCCCAGCACAGGACTTTAGTATCAGCTTAGACTGTGTGTTGAACCCAATGTTTTCTGATTCCGATGTGAAAGTGTTGCTGGAGTGGGGCGGGGGGTGGAGGGGGGTTAAATCCACAGGGATGAGAATGCGATCGCAGAGGAACTTGATTGGGATTTAAATATTGGGGAAAAAATATAGAAAAAGAGAAATATAAATATTTATCAAAACCAGTGGAGTTTTCCCCCCGACTTATTGTAATTCAGACTCATTGTACATTATATCACCCGCGGTAAGAAATAATTGTTAAATATTTCTATATACAGCTGTGTCCCACAAGTCGTGGATTGAGTGATGTAGGATTCTGTAATTAATGTGTTAAATAATATCTCAAATTATACTTGCGATGTTTATATATTGGAAACATATGATGAACCTGATATGAGGGGAGTTGGCTGTGATGAGCTTCGAAGAAGAACCTTTCTCAAGGAGGAAAAAACAAAAGATTGTTTACAAACAACAAACGGCTTTCATTCCTTATCAGTCATTTTTCAGGGAAAAATGGTCTGCAGTTGGAGAGAGAACTGTGTTGCATTTGTTTTTACAAAAGAACAATCTTGCAAAAGACTGTCGGTGAAGGTCACCGAATCAATGGTATAAACGGAGATCGATTCGAAAAGAGAAGGAAGAAATTGGAACTTGGAGTCGCGAACCATATTCCAGCTTGTCAAGAAAGAAGATCAAGAGTACGAGTTAAACAACATTAAACATACAATAGTACCTGGATACTTTTGGGTGATATCGAACCTTTTGATGGATATATATTTGGATTAAAATGGGACATATATTTGGACATTGCTCCGCTATCTCTCTCGCAGGATTTGGTTTGATCAACTGAAATCGTTGTGAACTACAGTAGACGTGGATACATAAATATAATTGGATTCTTTTAATTACTTATAGAAACATTATTGATCTGAATTAATAATTGATTAATTGTATAACATTTGTGTCAGTCCTTATCTCTCTGCACGGTCACCAAATTAAATTAACCCTTACAGTGGCCACATTATTGCTTTATAGGGATTATTACCCCTGGAAAGTGATCTGCCAATTGATTTACAACCAGTTATCTACTTATTGCTGAATATAACAGAGACGTGCGCTTGGAGTAAGGAAATTTGCCTAACGTTTTGCCCTGCCCGGGAATCAAACCCAAGTCTTCTTGCTTGTGAGGTGAGTGCGCTCTAACCTCTGTGTCTGAAATGTGTTTGTTTCGTTGGGGAAAAGGCGGTCGTTACAACTCACAAGAGTGTGTTTGGGCCGGTCATCATCAGAGCCCTTGGCAAAGGGAAGGAAATGTTATCAGGTTCCCTTCTCATCGGCTCATAGTCAGTGCAGTTTAATGATCTCAGCTCCACTGCAGGTGGATTTGTACTGGAGCAAGGAGCAAATCTCTGCTGAGAGAGAGAGAGACAGAGAGGGAGGGAGGGAGGGAGGGAGGGAAAAGGAAGATGGAGAGGGAGAGAGAAAGATAGTCAAAAAAGGTGTGAGCGAGAGAAGGGAAACGAGGGGGGAGAGAAAAAGAGAGGGAGAAAAAGGGGAAAGGAAGATAATAATAATAATAATCCTTGCATTTGATATAGCGCTTTTCACGTCGGGAGGACGTCCCAAAGCGTTTCGCAGAACACACTGTAAAGTGAATGGACTGTATATTTGTGGGCGAACGCGGCAGCCAATTGCGCACAGCAATGTCCCACAAACAGTCCTAGATTGAAAATGACCAATTTATTATTGTTTTTTGTTTTGGAGGATTATTATTAGGCTCTGTGTGGAGTAAGGAAACTTGCCCAAGGTTTCGCCCTCTGCCTGGAATTGAACTCGGGTCTCTCACTTGCAAAGCGAGTGCTCTAACCACTGAGCTACAGGACTTCATAAGATAGAGATGGAGAGAGAAAAATAGTCAAGAAAGGATAGAGAGAGAAAAGGGGGAATGAGAGAGAAAAGGGAGAGTGGAAGAAAGGGAAAAGGAAGATAGTGAAGTCAAGATAGCGCTTCCGGATGGTCAAGTCGCTGCCGACTTCACTTCCTGTGTCCGGTGGTCAATGGCAAAAATGAGATCCATTCAAATTTAGGATCCTGAGGTGGAGCTGTTGTGAGGTCAGCGTACCCAGGGATATGGGGCAAAGGCGGGTAAATGGAGTTGAGGTACAGATCTGCCATAACAGTAACAATAATCTTTGCATTTGATAAAGGGCATTATCCCATCGTTGAGATGTCTCAAAGCGCTTCACAGGATATATTTTAAAGTGGAGTTACTGTGTATTTGTGGGAAAAAAGGCAACATCTAATTGAATGGCGAAACAGGTTCAAGGGGCTGAATGGCCCACTCCTGTTCCTATAACTGGATTTTCGTGCTGTATTTTCGGTATTCCTGGGACACTTTACTGGGAACGTTACAACAACAATCTACCTCCGTACAGTGCCTTTCACATCTGGACATCCCAAGACACTGAACAGTCAAGGATTTAGACCCAAGCTGGGGGGTGGGATAAAGAGGGGTTAAGGGCGGGGGGAGTGGGGGGGGCGAAGGGTAGGAGGGTGAACGAAGGCGCGGTCAAAGAGGGAGGCCTTGTAGGAAGTAAGGGAGGGGGCAAGGCAAAGGGAATGTGGGATGGAGTTCTAAAGGGTGGGGGTAGAGAGGCTGAAGGCCCGACCACCAATGGTTACAATGGGAAGCAGCTTGTGACCACGTTGTATTCCCTTGAGTTTAGAAGGTTTGAGGCTGATCTGATTGAAGTTAATAATAAAATGATAAAGGGGTTTGATAGAGCAGCTACAGAGACACTATTTCCTCTGGTGGGGAATCCAGAACCAGAGGCATCATCTTAAGATTAGAGTCCGGCCATTTAGGAGTAGAATCAGGCAGCAGTTTTCACACAAAACATAGTGGGAATCTGGAACTCTCTTCCACAAAAGGCTGTGGATTATGGCTGTGGATCCATTCACATTTTCAGCACTGAGGTGGGAGATGTTTGTGAGGTCGGGATCAAGGGATACGGGGCAAAGGCGGGTAATTGGAGTTGAGGTACAGATCAGCCATGATCTTATAGAGAATGACCAAACAGGCTCGAGGGTGGGGTGGGGATGAGGGTTGTGTGCTGAATGGTTTACTCCTGTTCCTATGTATGGAGCTCCATCTTGGAATAACAGTGGGAATGAGTAAGCTGAGCACTGGTCACCACTGCAGTCCTCTTTCCAGGAAGCACAGAGCCTTATCTCCAGATCCATGAGTACAATGGGCTCGGTATTTCCACAGTCTGGGAGGCCAGAGGTGTGGCAAATTCTATTTTGAGAACTTCTCAGGAAATAACAGCAAAGAGTGATGAAAAAAAAAGCCGGAAAAGTCAGCTGATCAGGAACCCTGACGGGCAGGCGGGGTAGAGGAAACCGGTCTCGCTCCCAATCAGCACATCCTGTCTCTTGCTTCTGATCCGAGCAGGAAGCCTGGCTGAGTCACCAGATTCAGAAGGTTTGGGGTTTAAGCCCCCATGTCAGGTACGTTGAGCTCATAGTCTGAGCTGATGTTCCAGAGCAGCGCTGGGCGAGCTGCGCATGGTCAGAGCTGCCATCCTTCGGATGAGATGTTAAATTCTTGTCTGTTCAGGTGGAGGTTAAAGATCCAGCAGCGCATTTGATATAGCACTTTGTCATGTTGTTGTGGCGTCTCAAAGTGCTTCGCAGACTATACTGCAAAGTGGAGTGACTGTGTATTTTTTGGTCAAAACTTGGCAGTCAATTGTGTACAGCAGCGTCCCACAAACAGTCAAGGATTGAGTGACCCAATTTTTTTTGGGGTGGGGGGGGGTGCAGAGGGATTATTATTAACAACCGGGTGCCTACTTAACTGCTAGGTAAACAGAGGTGTGTGGAGTAAGGAAACTTGCCTAAAATTTTGCCCCACCTGGGAATTGAACCCGGGTCCTCTCGCTCGTGCGCTAACCACTGCAGGTGTCCACGTGCTCCACAAATGCAAAAGAGAAGGGAGTTTCTCTCTTCTGGTGTCCTGGTCAACAATCCCCCAGATAAAAATAGTCATTCACTTCATGGCTGCTTGTGAGACATTGCTCTGTGTCAACCAAACTAAGCCCTCGGTTTAGCATCTCATTTGAAGGATGTCACCCGACAATGCAGCACTCCCCCAGCACTGCACTAGGACACCAGCTTAGACTGGGAGCTCAAAGTCCCTGATGTGGGGCTTGAACCCACATGTAGTTGTGGACAGATTTGTTACAGAAAATACATCAGACTGTGGAGAGGATGCAACGTTGAGTTTAAGATCCTCGTCCTCATTTTTAAAGCTCTCCATGGTCTTGCTACTCCCTACCTCTACCACCTATTAAAACCTTCACCAACCCGTCTGCTCCCTCTGCTCAGCAAGCTCTGGCCTGCTCCACATCCCCTACCTGGCCCACCCAAACATCGGCGGTCGGGCCTTCAGCCTCTCTGCCCTCACCCTCTGGAACTCCATCCCAGTGCCTCGCTCCCTCTCTCGTCTCCTTCAAGACCTGTCTCAAGATACTCCTCTTTGACCGCACCATCGGTCACCCTCCTACCCCCACCCTCCCTGCCCTCCACCCCTCCCGATCCCAACCCTAGGCTCAAGTGCAAACTCCTCGTTGTCCAGCACCTTGGGACGTCCTCCCAACATGACAAACACTGTGTAAATGTCATTTGTAAGTCCAAACGAGGGCTTCAAAATTTTGAAAGGTTATGATAATAATCCTTGCGTTTGATATTGCGCCTTATCACGTCATTGAGACATTTCGCTAACTCACACCGCAGCCCCCGAGACCCTCACACACGGCTTCATTACATCGAGGTTTGACTATGCAAACTCCCTGCTTGTCGGCCCCCAACTCCTCCCTCCACAAACTGCAGATAATCCAGAACTCTGCAGCCCGTGTGCTCTCCCGCACCGGCTCCGTGACCCTATCACCCCCATCCTCACCCGACTCCACTGGCTTCCCATCACACAGCGGATACAGTTCAAGATCCTGGTCCTCACCTTCAAACCCCTCCATGGTCTTGCTCCCCACTACCTCTGCGACCTCCTAACCCCCTCCCATCCTGCCCGCTCCCCCCGCTCAGTAGGCTCTGGCCTGCTTCACGTCCCCCACCATTGGTGGGTGGGCCTTCAGCTACTCTGCCCCCACCCACTGGAACTCCATCCCGCAGTCCCTCCGCCTCGCTCTTTCAAGACCTATCTCAAGACAACAACAACAAGATTACATTTGTAAAGCATCTTTCACATCGGGAGGATGTCCCAAGGCGCTGGCCCTCCTCTTTGACCGTGCTTTCGATCACCCTCCTTCCCCCAACTGCCCCTCCACCCTCCCCGATCCTGATCCACAGCTCGGGTCCAAAACACTGACTGTCCAGTGCCTTGGGACGTCTTCCCGACGTGAAAGGTGCTTTACAAATGTAATTTTGTTGTTGTTGTCTCCTAAACAGTCCTGGGTTGAGTGGCCAAATTTTATTTGGAGTCTGGTGTGGGAGAGGACACAGGTTGCAGAGTTCTGGATGATCTGCAGCTGTGGAGGGAGGAGTTCGGGAGGCCGGCAAGCAGGGAGTTTACCATCCACCTGATCTCACCTCCTCGATTACACTGCCCCCACCTTCCCTGCATCTCATGAACAACAGGGTCACACTTGGTCAATGAAAGGCATCATCTCCTCCCTGGAGATTGACTATATCCCAAAGTCTCTGATTTCAGCACTCAGCTGCCTCTCATTACATTGCGCTGTGGTGGAACATGGGTTAGAGGAGATAATGATAATCCTTGCATTTGATATAGCACCTTATTATGTCCTTGAGACGTCTCAAACCATTTCATAGACTATAAGGTAAAGTGAATTGACTGTATTTTGTGGATGAAATGCGGCAGCCAATTGCGCACAGCAGGTCCCACAAACAGTCGTGGATTGAGTGACCAAATTATTATTATTGATTTTTGAAGAATTATTACCTCTGAAAAAGTGATCTGCCAATTGACTAACAACCAAATTGCTACTTACTAGTGTAAACAGAGGTGTGCGGGTAAGGAAACTTGCCCAATGTTTCGCCCGGCCTGGAATCCAACCCGGGTCCTCTCGCTTGCGAGGCGAGTGCTCTAACCACTAGGCTACACGACTCTATATTTTGCAGGTAAAACACAGCAGCCAATTGCGCACAGCAGTGTCCCACAAACAGTCGTGGATTGACTGAACAAATTATTATTAACTATTATAATTGTAATAATAATCCATGCATTTGATATAGCGCCTTATCACGTCGAGACGTCTCAAAGCGCTTCATAGAATATAGTATAAAGTGAATTGACTGTATTTTGTGGGTGAAACGCAGCAGCCGATTGCGCACAGCAGCGACCCCACAAACAAAAAAATCTGTCCTGATGTTTTTGTACCTCAACAATGTGATAAGGCGCAATATCAAAATGCAAGGATTACTATGAATTATTATATAATTATTAGGTAACAACATATGTGCTAAAGTCTCCTCGCATTATTACTTACTCTCTCCTTCGATCTTGTCGCTGGTCTTAAACCAGATCACTTGGCGAGTCTGCAGTTTCACCTGAATGGTCTTTCTGTCTGGTCGCTGGGACTTTTTCTGGTAATAAACAGCCATCAGAGTGCCCAGCTCCATGTGTCTGAGAGTCCGACTTAATTCACTCTCCATCCTGCTGTCCTCCAGAGGCAATCCATTCGACAGATTGAGTTTAGACACCGACATCCTCACAGCATGATCAAGAGGGCAAAAGAATCAATTTGAATCTTTTTCTGTTGATTTTGTTTCTCTCACTTCTTTTTTCCTTTCTCACTCGGAATTCAATAGATACTTAAAGAGGAAGAATTTTCAGGGCTATCGCAGGGTAAGAGCGGGCGGAGCGGGACTAGTTGTAGCTCTTTCAAAGAGCCGGCATAGGCACGATGGGCCAAATGCCCCCCTTTTGAGCTGTAGGATTCTATGACTCCATGAGTATTCGGGAGGGAACAAAACAAAAGCAACCAAAGAAACAGAATTCAATTAAAATAAGAGATTAATAAGTAATGTTCACTTACATAGATCTCTCTCTATATATGTATATACTGTATATAAATATTAAGACAACCCCAAGTTTTTCTCAGTTTCCTGCAAGCTTCTTGTTTAACTGCTTCTGGCTCCAGAGGAAATCTGTCACTTGATGGCTTGCAGGAAACGAGCGGATATTGTTTTTTTTCTTGTTGCATTTTTCAACACACAAAACATAGTTGGGAAAAGTCAGTGTGCCCAGCACTGTAACATTGGATCTGTGCCTGGCTCTCAGCCTCTTTCTCTCCTGACTTTTCCTTCACAGCACGCACAATGTTATGTCACTGGATATTTTCTATGTGTACGTGTGTCTCTTTCTGTCTTCCTTACGTTTTCTCTCCCTCTCCTTCTGTCTCTGAGCCAGGAAAGAGGCAAAGGAAGGGAGTAGAGGGGAAGTCACTTTGAATGCCAGGGAAATACGAAGGCAAAAGCCAAGAGGGAGAGGAAGCATTGCACCACTAAACACATCGTCAGACAGGAATCAATGTTGGAATGCAAAACATTATTGAAAGGGAGAGAGGGATGGGGGCAGGTGGGGATAGAGAAAAAAAGGGCAAATGGGAATGAATGGAACACAGCAACATCTACAATAACAACAACAAAATGACATGTAGGGAGCGCCCTTCACATCAGGACGACGTCCCAAAGCGCTGAACAGTCAGGTGTCGGGGCCCGAGCATGGGGAAGGGGTGGGGTAGGGGTGAGGGAAGGCAGAGGGGTGGGAGGGAGACCAAAGGCACGGTCGAGGAGAAGGGACTTGAGACCGGCCTTGAAGGAGGCGAGGGAGGAAGCGAGGCGAAGGGACCGTGGGATGGAGTTCCAGAGTGTGGGGGCAGAGAGGCTGAAAGCCCGGCCACCGATGGTAGGGCGGGAGACATGGAGCAGCCGGAGCCTGATGAACGGAGGGAGGGGGCAGGTTGGTATGGAGTCAGGGGGTCAGAGAGGTGGGAGTGGGCAAAGCCATGGATGGCCTTGAAAGTGAGGACGAGGATCTTGAACTCGATCCTCTGGGGGAAGGGGAGCCAGTGGAGTCGGGCGAGGGTGGGAGTGATGGGGTCGGGCGAGGGTGGGAGTGATGGGGTCGGGCGAGGGTGGGGGTGATGGGGTCGGGCGAGGGTGGGGGTGATGGGGTCGGGCGAGGGTGGGGGTGATGGGGTCGGGCGAGGGTGGGAGTGATGGGGTCGGGCGAGGGTGGGAGTGATGGGGTCGGGCGAGGGTGGGAGTGATGGGGTCGGGCGAGGGTGGGAGTGATGGGGTCGGGCGAGGGTGGGAGTGATGGGGTCGGGCGAGGGTGGGAGTGATGGGGTCGGGCGAGGGTGGGAGTGATGGGGTCACGGAGTCTGGTGCGTGAGAGTACATGAGCTGCAGAGGTTTGGGTGATCTGCAGGTTGTGACGGGAAGAGGTGGGAAGGCCGATGAGGAGGGAGTTCCCGTAATCGAGCCTTGAGGTGACGAAGGTGTGGGTGAGGGTTTGGGGGCCTGAGGGGTGAGGCAGTGGTGGAGTCTGGCAATGTTGCGGAGGTGGTGGTAGGCAGTGCCGGTCATGGCGCGGATATGGGGGAGAAAGGACAGTTCAGGGTCAAACAAGACCCCCAGGTTCCTGACCGGGTTAGTGAGGGTGTTAAAGAGGGGAAATAAAAAAGATTGTAATGGGAGGGAAAAGTGAAGTGTGAAGTAGCGGGAGATGGAACGAGGTACAACTTACATTTATACAGCGCTCTTCATGCCTCACAAGCGAGGGGACTTGGGTTTGATTCCCGGGTGGGTCAGAGCAAGTTTCCTTACTCCACATCTCTGTTTACGTAGCAGTAAGTAGGAGACTGGTTGCTATTCGATTGGCGGATCGCTCCCCCCCCCTTTGAAGTCGGGTGCAGGACTACATGGGTAAATTGGGAAGGCAAACAAAGTGGGGTAGCGAGTTCAGGAAATAATCATTGTTATTTATCTCCCTTCCACTTCCTGCCCTATAGCACCCAAACATCTCAAACTGGGGATGATCTTGCCAACCTGATCCAGATATTCTCCAGATTTACGTAAGCAGTGTGTGCGCATTCCATTCCAGACCCAGGAAATCTCCATGTGTAGGTGGAACATGGAACTGTTTGGTTTAGATACTCTTATCGTGATTGGTTTCTGTGAGTGTCAAAGCACTTGGCTGACCCAAGTCTTGGCAGTTGCCAACCTGCTCTCTGGGACTGGGGGGGAAGAGGCAGATGGAAATTCTATATGAAAGTCTTTTGTGTTTGAATCGTGAGAAACCAATGTGGTTTCTGGACATCACATCAGATAAACAAAATGTTAAAAAAAGTCAAACCTTCTCCATCTTCCTCCCCCCCCCCCCATTAGCAAACACCCTGGACCACCCTGGATTCTACACACTAACAAACTCTTACTCAGAGGCCACCCTTATATAAAGGCCACTTTGGCCCAGTGATTGTTGGACAAGTCTGACTAGAGTCTGTAGCGCAATGGTAGTACGCTCGCCTCACAAATGAGGACACGGGTCGATTCCTGGGCAGGGTGAAAGCTTAGCCAAGTTTCCTTGCTCCACACGCCTCTGTTTACTTAGCAGTAAGTTGGAACCCAATTGTCAGTCGATTGGCTTTTCTGGGGATAATAATCCCTCAAACTCCCCCCAGAAATACACTCAATCCACGATTGTTTGTGGGACACTGCTGTGTGAAATTGGCTGTCGCATTTCCCCCACAAAATAGTTACTGCACTTTATAAGATAATAATAATCCTTGCTTTTGATACACCGTCTTTTCAGGTCTTCTAGATGTCCCAAAGCGCTTCACAGAATATACGGCAAAGTGAATTGACTGTATATTTGTGGGCGAAACATGGCAACCAATTGCACACAGCAGCGTCCCACAAACAGTCGTGGATTGAGTGATCAAATTATTATTGTTTTTTCTCTTGAGGAATTATTATCAGACGAGTGCAGTAAGGTTTTGCCCTGCTGGGAATTGAACCCAGGTCTCTTGCTTGTGAGACGAGCGCTCTAACCAGACTCATTCTGTGATATTCTGTGATATTCTGTGAAGCGCTTAGCGACGTCTCAATGGTATAAGGTGCCACATCAAATGCAAGAATCAAATGCGGGTGGGGGGGGTGGTGGTGTGTGAAGAGAGAAGAGAAAAATTAAAAGTAAGCTGTGCCCAGCATCTTTAAAATGGTCTTTAAAAAGTCCATGTTTTAGTTTCAGATGTGATATCAGGCATCACAGAACGTAGCAACGCTTCCTTTTAAAGCTTCATTATATGACGTCCTTTAAAAAACTTTGATTTAAAATATTCTTGGAGAGGGGGGGGGGCGGTGAGGGAGGGGATTGTAAGAGAGAGAATGACAGGTGGTGCAAAAACACTTTCCAGGGACCGTTAGTCACAGTCAACAACACAAACTGATCAATTGCCAAAAGAGGCGCAGTGTGGAATGTAGTTTCCCTGGAAACACAAGGCAAAGCGGTACAGAAAGAACTAAGCAGGGATTCAATGAGATTTAGAGCACAAATTTTTATAACCCCAACATCTTTGTTGCGAATTCCTGATCTCAGAATACAAAATCCTCTTCCGTCATGTCGATGGCCCAGGCAAATTTCTCCCTCTGCGTCTTGTTGTAGACCTTTTCAATGGGGACATCATATTTCTTGCACCTTCAACAGAGACAGAGGAGGTGAGGGAGACATCGCAAAGAGACACAAGCACAGGAGCAGTCAATATCTCTGTGTTGGTGCTCGTTCCCCAATTGGAGCTCTCTACTCTAACCCATTCCCTGCTCTCTCCCATCGTGTCTGTGCTGGTACTCGCTTCCCAACTGGAACTCTCCAACATTCCCTTACTCTCACTACCTCCCACACGCCATTTGACCTCCCCCGATCTGACCCACCCCCCCACTGACCAGGCCACAGTGATGCGAGGGTCTAGGTAGTTGAGTTTGGAGGTGCCCAGTGCGATCTGTTTGTTCTCCTCACGGTCAGTGGCCTGAACCTCCAGTTTGGTCAACTGCTCCTCCAACTTCTGCACCATCTTCTTCTTCTTCTCCACCACCCTGAGCAGCAGCAACAATAACAAAATAACATTTGTATAGCTCCTTTCACATTAATAGGGGCTTAGGAGGTTGCAGATGTCAGGGGGACCAAGACCATGGAGGGCTTTGAAGGTGAGGACCAGGATCTTGAACTGTATCCTCTGTGTGATGGGAAGCCAGTGGAGTTGGGCGAGGATGGGGGTGATAGGGTCATGGAGCCGGTGCGGAAGAGGACACGGGCTGCAGAGTTCTGGATGATCTGCAACCTGTGGAGGGAGGAGTTGGGGGCCGACAAGCAGGGAATTTGTGTAGTTGAGCCTCGATATAATGAAGGTGTGAGTGAGGGTCTCGGGGGCTGCGGTGTGAGACAGTGGTGGAACCGGGTGCTGTTGCGGAGGTGGGGAAGGGCAGAGCGGGTCATGGCACAGATGTGGGGTAGAAAGGATATTTGAGGGTCAAACAAGACCCCAAGGTTCGGGACTGGCTCAGTGAGGGGGAGTGAGCCCCATGGATGGTGATGCTGTCAGCGCCTGAGGTGCGGAGGCGCTGATGGGAGCCAATCAGGAGCCTCAGTCTTGTTGACGTTCAACTGAAGAAAGTTCGCTCTCATCCAGGACTGTGCAGCAGTGAGAGACAAGTCAGGGTCAACCCCCCACCCCAACACAGCACCTATTTCCTCTGGTGGGGAATCCAAAACAAAAGGCATCATCTTAAAATTAAGTTAGGCCATTTAGGGATGAAATCAGGAGGCAGTTTTTCACCCAAAGGGTAGTGGAATCTGTAACTCTCTCCCCCAAAAGGCTGTGGATGCTGGATCCACTCAATTTTTTAAAACTAGGTGACAGATTCAACAACACCTGGCATTTATATAGCCCCTTTCACGCAGGGTAGCGTCCTGGAGAGCTCGACAGATATTTCTTAGGTCAGGATATCAAGGGATATGGGACAAGGGTTGGTAAACAAAGTTGAGTTCAGCCATGATCTAAAAGAATGACGGAACAGGCTCACGGGGCTGAATGGCCTATTCCTGTTCCTATGTTCCAATTCCTCCCAGGAACAGGCCATTCACCACAACCAGCCTGTTCTATTAAGTCAGGGTGGATCTTTTAATCTAATTTTCCTCTATACCTGTCGGTCTCCTTCCTTCCCCATATCTAATCTCCTCTTAAACATCTTAAACACATGGTGTCCTGTAGCAGTGGTTATGGCACTCGGCTTGGAAGCTCGAGGATCCGGGTTCGATTCCTGTTCAGGGCAAAACCTTAGGCAAGTTTCCTTACTCCACACGCCTCTGTTTACCAGCAGTAACTGGGAACTGGTTGATGGGCGATTGGCGGATCACTTTCTGGGGGTAATAAACTCTCAAAAAAAATGTGATCAATCCACGGCTGTTTGTGGGACTGTTATGTTTCAGCCACAAAAAACATAGTCGCTACACTTTACAATACATTGTAATAGATATTTTCTTGGTAATTGACAAATATATTTTTCACTGAACTGCCTGTGTCTGAGTGCACAGTTTTACTCAATATATCCTGTGAAGCACTTTGATTTGTCTCAGCAATGTGATAAGGCGTTGTAATCAAGTGCAAGGATAATTATTTATAAAGCCTCCTTATAAAGCCTCACCCCCACTCACTAACACTGACAGGAGGAAGATCGTGTGAAACAATACAATTCACATTATTTGCACAGGGCCTTTCACATCGGAAGGTCGTCCCGAGGTGCTTAATCTTGGCTGCGAGAAGAGGGAGCCAAGGAGGGGAAGGAGAGGAAGGTGACGAAAAGAGATATGTCGAGATGGATTATGAACGAGGAGAGGAAAGAAAGGATGGAGGGAAGGAGCAAGTCGGAGGGCCTGCGGAATGGAGTTCCTGAGAGGACGAGCCTGGCGGGGGATATGAAGCAGGTTGATGACCGCCGAGTGAAGGGAGAGGCGGTGGCAAAAGTGAAAGGAAAGTGTGGTCAAAGAAGTGGGCCAACGGCTGACACTGAGGGAAAGTAGGAGCCTGCGGAGGGAGGGACAAAGGTTTTTTTGTTTGTTTTGGATATAAAATCAGGGAATACTCACAGTTTGGACTTTTTGTCCTTCTTGACTTTGTGGTACATTTTGGCGCTCTTCAGCTCACTCTTCGTGAGATCAATCTGTTCCTTTTTGGCTTCGATCTGTTGGTGGAAAGATGTGAAATGAGATCAGTCCAGAAATCACCCCCAAAAGCCCCCACTACTCAAGGGCCTGTGTGTCCTCTCCCCACACTCCAAACCCCCCACCGACACAACCCACCTTCAGGGCCCGCACTCCGCACACCTCCCTCCACAGCTGAACGACCTGTAATGTCCCGCAATGCTATAAACTGTAGCATTCAGTGTGTGTGCGGGGAGAGAGAGGGCAGAGAGTGACAAGGAAATAATAATAATCCTTGCATTTGATATGGTGCTTCACATAGTAACAGGAACTGCCCATTCAGCCCCTCGAGCCCGTTCCGCCATTCTATAAGATCATGGCTGATCTGTACCTCAAGTCCAATTACCCACCTTTGCCCCATACCCCTTAATACTGACCTAACAAATAGCTATCCATCTCAGTTTTGAAGATGGGATATACTGTCAAGTGGATCGATTGTGTATTTTGTGGCCGAAACAGCTACCGCTGTTCTTTGACACGCGCAAAATGAGAGCGCGTGTCAACATCATCCTGGAGGCTAAAGACAACCCTGAAATCCTTTTTTCCACCACCCACTACCTCCTCCGTGGCCCCCCTCAGGCCTCCTCAATCTTCGTATCAAATGCCAAGTGCGAGGAGGTCATGGACTTCTTTTCATCTAAAATACTTAACATCCGCCAGGCAGCCTCATCCACCTGCCCCTTGTCACCCACCACCGGCCCTCTCTGCCCCCCTCACCTTCCTCATCATCTGCTCCTACCACCACCCCCATTCTACACTCTTCCCTCCCCATCTCTATCTCCTCCCTCTCACCCATCATCACCTCTATGAAACCCACCACCTGCTGCCTCGACCCCCTCCCCACCAACTTACTAGTCACCCATCTCCCCCTCGTCTGCCCACTACTGGCTGACGTCATCAACCAGTCCCTCTCCTCCGGATCAGTCCCTGCCCCCCTCAAAACTGCTGTCATCACCCCCTCCTCAAAAAAACCCTCCCTGGATCCCTCAAACCCCAGCCATTACCGCCCTATTTCTAACCTGCCCTTCCTCTCAAAAGTCTAGAACGGGTTGTGGTCAACCAACTCTGCGCACACTCCTCCCACTCCCTCTTCGAACCCCTCCAGTCCGGTTTCCGCCCACAGTACAGAGACTGCGCTTGTGAAAGTCACAGACGACATCCTCTCTATCTGTGACCAGGGCTCACCTCTGCCTCCTTGTCCCTCCCGGACCTCTCCGCATCCTCCTCCACCGCCTTTCCCTCCGTCATCCACCTCAGTGGGACCGCACTCGCCCGGTTCGAGTCCTACCTCACAAACCGCCAGCAGTACATCTGCACAAACGGCTTCTCCTCCCCCTCTCACCCGGTCACCTGTGGGTACCCCAAGGATCCATCCTTGGCCCCTCCTCTTTCTGATCTATATGCTCCCTCTTGGGGATGTCATCCGCCGACATGGGGTACATTTCCACATGTACGCGGACGACACCCAACTCTACTTTTCCACCTCTCTTTGCGACCCCCAGTCCCCTGATGTTCTGCTGTCAGACCTCAGGGACTGGATGAGCGCAAACTTCCTTTAGCTGAACGTTGACAAGACGGAAGCCATACTCTTCGGCTCTCGTCAACGTCTGAAATCTCATGGTTCTCACCTCCTCCACCTACCCGACCTCCCCCTAAAACTCTCCGAACCTATATGCAACCTAGGCGTCAGGTTCGACCCCCAATTATCCTTCTTCCCCCACATCCGGTCCCTCACCAGCACCGCCTTCTTCCACCTCAGACGCATCGCCCATCTCCACCAATACCTATCTCCGAAAGCCGCTGAAACCCTGGTCCAGGCCTTTGTCAGTCACCTCTCGGCTGCACTACTCCAATGCTCTCCTCACCGGTCTCCCATTCACCACCATCCATACAATCTAACTCATTCAGAGCTCTGCCGCCCGCATTCTCACACGCACCAAACTCCGTTCCCCGATCCCCCCAATCCTGGTCCTCCCCCCCACCCCCAAACTCCGCTCCCCGATCCCCCCAGTCCTGGCCAGACTGCACTGGCTCCTGTCCCAGAGAGGATCGACTTCAAGATCCTCACCCTCGTCTTTAAATCCCTGCACTCCTCTGCACCCCTCCACCTCTCTGACCTCCTCTCTCCCCAAAACAGCACCCGCTACCTTCGTTTCTCTGTGTCTGGCCTCCTCCTTGTCTCCCGAGTCCTCTGCTCCACCCTTGGTGGCTGTGCCTTCAGCCACTATGCCCCAAGGCTCTGGAACTCCCTTCCTCACTCCCTTCGTCTCGCTCCCTCCTTTCCCATTTTCAGGTGTCTGCTGAAAACCTTTCGACCGCGCCTTTGGTCACCATCCACACCCCCTCCCCCTGGCTCGGTCCCGGGATCCGAACCTATAAAGCGCTCTGAGACGTCGTCCGGCGTGGAGGGCACTATATAAATCCAAGTTGTTGCTGTTGAAACAGCGAATTACACACAGCAGCGTCCCACAAACAGTTTAAGAAGAGGAAAAAGATGCTTCAGAACAAGCCATGGAGAGCAGAGCGGCTGATCGCACGCTGGTGGAAGGCATGTATACCTTGGCTTGAATTTTCTTCATGGATTGGTCAAAGCTCTTGGGTGCCGTTCTCTGGTGGTTGCAAAGAACGGCCACGGCTCGGTTGGCTCGATTGTAGGACAGCAGTTTTTCTGCTTCACTTCCTTCAGCTGGGAGGTAGGGAAGGGAAATTGTCAAATTACTCTGGATGAAGGGCTCCCAGGGCTGCCCATCACCCCCTCCCCTCACACACACACTCTACCCAGCACACCACACACATACACACAGACAACAGACACACACAGATTGTATAGCACAGCACTTTTTGTATTGGGAGGACATCCCAAGTCGCTGGGCAGTTTGGACCTGGCTGGGGATCAGAGAGGTGTGGAGGAGATGGTGGGTGGGGGTAGGAGGGTGACCGAAGATACATCAAGGAGGAAGGTCCTGAGACGGGCCTTGAAGGAGGCAAGGGAGGGGTGAGGTGAAGGGAATGTGAGATGGAGTTCCAGAGCGTGGGGGGCAGAGAGACTGAAGGCCTGGCTCCAATGGTGTGGCAGGCAGGACGGCGGACATGGTGCAGGCCAGAGCCCACTGAGTGGAGGGAGGCACATACAGGGGTTATGACAAGCGCTCCCCACGCACATACGCACTCATACACACACAGCGTCTTACAGTCCGTCAGCTGTTCGAGCTGATGCTGCAGTGTGATGGAGGCATTGTACGTTCTGAAGACTTTGGCCGTCAATCCCTCCATCAGCTCTTGAAGATGCTTGTTCAGATTGTGGGTCTAAGAGTGCAATGTGGGTGGGGGGGGGAAGGGAGAGAGAGAAAGGTGTTTGTAAAAGATGAACATAAGCAGAATATTTTGATCTTCATTCACTGAGGTTTAGAATTACATATGAGCAGCCTGACACACCACGGCTTCAGTTTAACACTAGGTGTGGGGGGGGGGGGGGGTGGAGAAAGGGAGAGAGCCTGAGGTAGTAGTAATAATATCCTTGCATTTGATATAGCGCCTTATCACGTTGTCGAGAGGTCTCAAAGAGCTTCATAGAATATACTGATCCCCCTCACTGGGGAGGTTGGGATGTGGTGGGGAGTGAATGGGGACCCCCATCTTCGGGGGTTGATGGTACCTGCTTCTTCACAGGCACTTTGATTGTATTCTGTGGGTGAAACGCAACAGCCAATTGCACACAGCAGCGTCCCACAAACAGTCGTGGATTGAGTGACCCAATTTTTTCTTGAGGGATTATTACCCTCAGAAAGTGTTCCACCAATTGACTAACAACCAGGTTCCTACTTACGGTTTGTAAATAGAGACGCGTGAAGTAAGGAAACCTGCCTCGCTCAGGAATCGATTCTGGGTCCTCTCACTTGCAAAGCAAGGGAGTTGTAGCACCCCCCATCCCCTCCCAATCCCAGCACTGCACTGGAGCATCAGCCTGGACTGTGGGCTCAAAGTACCAAACCTTCTCTCTCAGAGGTTAGAGCGGCACGGAGGGAGCCAAGCTGACACCTCACACTCAGCGCGCACACACACACACACACAAGCTTACGTTCAATCTGTCAAACACATCGTCGCTGGGATCCTTGTTCTGCATGAAATGCTTCAGATTCTTAAAGACCTGGGAGACGAACATCAAGTCAATGCACAGCACAGCGTAGAGCAAGTACCTCACTGCATACCCCAATGAACATGGCACCGCAGCTGCCTGGGATGGGGGGATGGGGACCCCCTTCACTGGGGAGGTTAGGAGGGGAGGTGGATGGGGACCCCTTCACTGGAGAGGTTGGGAGGGAGGGGAGTGAATGGGGACCCCCATCTTCGGGTTTGATTGTACCTGCTTCTTCACGAGCACTTTGTTGTAATAGCGAATGGAGTCCTTGCCCAGAAAGTCGAACTCCACCACACACGCCTGCCCATTCAGCTTGTTGTGTAGTTTGATGTGCTCGACCCGCAGCGAGCAGCAGCCCACTGTGTCCGCCGTCTCCCCCTCTTCCTTCTCGTTCCCAGCTCTCAGCGCCAGCTGCAGCAACAGGGACCCAGGTCAAATAATAATAATAATCCTTTAATACAGCCCCTTATGTCATTGACATGTCTCAAAGCACTGGGTGGGTGAGTAGGTTAGGGGTGGGGAACGCCAGCTTGTAGTGCAGGGACGGGGGAAGAGAAGGAGAGATAATAATAATCCTTGCATTTGATACAGCACCTTATCACGTCTTCAAGAGCTGGAGCACTTCACAGCACTTCACAGAATATACTGTAAAGTGAATTGACTGTATATTTGGTGGACGAAATGCAGCAGCATAGCAACGTCCCACAAACCATTATGGATTGAGTGACCAAATTATTTTTTAACATTTTTTGAAGGGAAAGTGATCCACCAATCGACTAACAACTGGGTTACTGCTAGGTAAACAGAGGCATGTGGAGTAAAGAAACTTGCCTAAAGTTTTGCCCTGCCCAGGAATCGAAGCCAGGTCCTCTTGCTTGCGAGGCAAGTGCTCTAACCACTGAGTTGCAGGACTACACTGCTCCCCAGAGCTGTTTGGTGAGCAGGACAGTCACTCCTCTCACTGGCCAATCTGTTCTTTAAATTCCCTCAAAGCTGAGCAAATCCCAGTGACCGTGTGCCACATTGCTCTCACTCAGTGCTGAGTAGATGCTAAACACTAAACGCTAAGCATTTAGAGGTCCCAGAGGTTCAACATTGCCAGCTTTAAACACAAGAACTTCAACACTCCAGCATTAGAAAAGTAAGTGTTTAAAGAGCCGGACGTACCTTGTCAATGAAATACAGCGCCACCGCTCGCTGTCGTGATTTCATCTCCCGTGACTTCAAGTCTGCGCTATACTTGGCACGAATGTCATCCACACATCCCTTCAGTCGCCTGGCTATCTCGAACTTCTGCCAGTCCTTCTCACCCTGCGAGCAGCCGTGATGGGGTTTCAGATACGTCACAAGAATCAGAAAACCCCCCAAAGATTAACCCGTCAGCTGCCAGGTGCAGCGATTAATAATAATAATTGCCCTTGCATTTGATATAGCGCCTTATCGTGTCTTTGTGAGACATCTCAAAGCACTTCACAGAGTATATTGTAAAATAGAGGACTGCTTGTTTTGTGGGCAAAGAGTGGCAGCCAATTGTACACAGCAGAGCCCCACAAACTCGTGGATTGAGTGATCAAATATTATTATTACTATTTGTTCTGAGGGATTACTAAGGCTAGAGGCAGAGACGGTCCGAGGATAAGAAGCCGTTTGTGAGGGAATCGGTGGGGAAGCTTTTTCCATGGGCGGAAAAAGATGGTGGAGAGCTTGGAGGAGCGGAGTGTGATATGAGCAGAGGTGAGATGGCCTTGTCTGTGATGGACAGATCAATGATGTGGGTTATGACTTGGTAGAGGATGTTGTGGGTCGGGCAGTTTACGTGGAAGGTGAGGTTTAGTGTGGAGAGGCCGGCAAAGTCAGAGGAGATGGGCGAGGGGAATTTAGATAAAGGTTGAATTTGCACATTATAAGCAGGCGCTTTGTGCAGATGGACAGGGATGAGAGGAGAGAGAAAGGAAGTCCGTGAGGAAGGAGCCAGGTTTGTGGGGGCAGTAGTCTAGGTGAGGTCAAAGAGGAGGGTCGAGTTAGGACTTGAAGGAGGCAAGAGAGGGGGCGAGGAAAAGGGACTATGAGATGGAGTTCCAAAGGGTGGGGGCAGAGAGGCTGAAGGTCTTGAAACGTGGGGAGAGAAAAGAGCAGAGGAATAAGAGCATGACGCAGGTCCACAGAGCATCTTACCTTGAGTTTCGAGCTGGGGTTCAGCATGATATACTTCATAGCTCCCTGTACGTTCTCAGTCCATGAAGCCAGCCATGTGACTTTGTTATCGAAACGCACCTCCTTCCAGTTGTGTCCTGTAGGAGGCACTGGGATCTTGGAGTCCCTAAAACAAGAAGGATCTTCCTGTCTAGTGGCAATTTCAGTCAACACCTGCCACAGCGCCCCTCAACACAAGGCCTCTGAACAAGAAAACTCTAGGTGGAAAATCACTGGTCTAACATTTGTGGTTGGATCCCTGCTGGGAGTAGATAATAATACTAATAACATAGCATTTAACATAGCATCTTATTACATCAATGAGATACAACTCTGACGGCATCTCAGAGCTTCACAGTAACGGATCCCGGGGCCGAGCCAGGGGGAGGGGCCAGGGGAGGAGCCAGGGGAGGGGTGGGTGGGGGAAGGTGACCAAAGGTGCGGTCGAAAAAAAAGGTCTTCAGCAGAGACCTGAAAATAGGAAGAGAGGGGACAAGGGGACGGGAGTGAGGAAGGGAGTTCCAGAGCCTCGGGGGGTAATAATAATCCTTGCATTTGATATAGCGCTTTTCACGTCGGGAGGACGTCTCAAAGCGCTTCACAGAACACACTGTAAAGTGAATTGACTGTATATTTGTGGGCGAACGCGGCAGCCAATTGCGCACAGCAATGTCCCACAAACAGTCGTAGATTGAAAATGACCAATTTATTATTGTTTTGTTTTGGAGGATTATTATTAGGCTCTGTGTGGAGTAAGGAAACTTGCCCAAGGTTTGGCCCTCTGCCTGGAACTGAACTCAGGTCTCTCGCTCGCAAAGCGAGTGCTCTAACCACTGAGCTGCAGGACTCCACAGGGTAGTGGCTGAAGGTACGGCCGCCGAGGGGGGAGCGGAGGCCTCGGGGGACGAGGAGGAGGTCAGACCCGGAGGAACGAAGGCAACAGGTACCGTTGTGAGGAGAGAGGAGGTCAGAGAGGTCGGGGGGGGCAGAGGAGTGGAAGGACTTGGATACGAGGTGAGGATCTTGGGTGAGTGGATCCTCTCTGGGACAGGAGCCGGTGCAGTCTGGCCAGGACTGGGGGGATCGGGAGCGCTTCATAGAATATAAGGTGAATTGACTGTATATTTTGTGGGTAAAACTCGGCAGCCAATTTTGCACAGCAATGTCCCACAAGCAGTCATGGATTGAGCAACCACATTTAAATTTGTTTTATTACCCCCAGAAAGTCATCCGCCAATTCACTAACAACCGGGTTCCCACTTACTGCTGGTAAACAGAGGTGTGTGGAGTAAGGAAACTTGCCTCAGGTTTTGCCCTGCCCCGGAATCAAACCCACTTCCTTGCATTTGATACAGCGCCTTATCACGTTTTAGAGACGTTTCAAGGCGCTTCAAAAAATATACTGTGAAGTGTAGTGACTGTATATTTTGTGGGCGAAACATGACAGCCAATTGCGCACAGCATGAAAGGAAAAAGGGTACGGTACGTGAGAGAAAGAGAAAAAGGGAGAGTATAAAAGAAGCCCTCTCAAATAAGTACCGTCCCCAACAATACCTCCCCACCTTGCCATTAACTCCCCACTCCCCCCATGTGCCACCTACCTGCTGCAGTTGATGATCACGTCCTCAGGCTGTATCCTGTTCTTCAGCTTGCCCATCTTGGGGTGACTTCCCCGCCCACGGAACAGCCCAGGCGGCTCGATCTTGTAGTTGGCAATCCTCTCACGGTGCCCGTCCATTGTGCAGTACCCGTACTCCTGGGCGATAGCCTCCTGCTCCATCTTCAGGTCCTGCACAGAGAGAATGTGTGTGGCCACCAAGCAATAACCCTCGCATTTGATACAACAAATTACGTTTAAAAGTGAAGTGATGCATTTTGGTAGGAAGAATGAGGAGGCAATATAAGCTGATGGTACAATCTTAAAGGGGGCAAATGAACAGAGAGACCTGGAGGTTCACATAAGCAAATCTTTGATGGTGGCAGGACAGGTAGATGCAGCTGCTNAAAAAGCATCCGGGATACTAGGCTTTATAAATACAACAACAAGACTCCATTTATAGAGCGCCTTTCACGTCGGGAGGACGTCCCAAGGCGCTGTACAGTTGGGTCAGGACCCGAGGAGGGGGTAAATGGTCAGGGTGAGGGGAGGGAAGGAAGGGAGCGAGGAGGGGGGAAATGGTCAGGGTGAGGGGAGGGAAGGGAGGAAGCGAGGAGGGGGTAGAGAGTCGAGAGGGGAGCTGAAGGGACGGTCAAAGAGAAAGGTCTTGAGACCGGCCTTGAAGGAGGAAAGAGAGGAAGCGGCGAAGGCACTGGGGATGGAGTTCCAGAGCCTCGGGCTGAGAGGCTGAAGGCCACCGATGGTAGGGCGGTTGGGGCGGGGGATGTGGAGCAGACCGGAGCCAGAGGAACGGAGCGTACGGGCAGGTAAGTAGGGGGATAGTAGGTCGGAGAGAGTGAGGCCGTGAATGGCCTTGTAGGTGAGGGTGAGGATCTTGAATTCGATCCTCTGGGGGATGGGGAGCCAGTGGAGGCGAGCGAGGGCGAGGGTGAGGGTGGGAGCGAGGGTGAGGGCGAGGGTGGGAGCGAGGGCGGGAGTGATGTGGTCACGGTGTCTGGTGCGGGACAGTACACGAGCTGCAGAGTTCTGAATGACCTGCAGTGTGGAGGGAGGGCCGGGAAGGCCGGCGAGGAGAGAGTTCCCATAGTCCAGCCTTGAGGTGATAAAGGCGTGGACCAGAGTTTCAGCCGCGTGAGGGGTGAGGTAGTGCCGTAGTCTGGCGATGTTCCGGAGGTGATGGAAGGCGGTGCCAGTTGTGGAGCGGATATGAGGAAGAAAGGACAGCTCAGGGTCGAGGGGAACCCCGAGGTTCCTGATGGCTTTGAGAGGCATAGAATACACGTCAGGAAGTTATGATGAACCTTTATATAAAATACTGGTTTGGCCTCAGCGAGAGACTGGGTTCAGTTCTGGGCCCCACACTTTAGGAAGGATGTCAAGGCATTGGAGAGGGTGCAAAGGAGATTGACCAGAATGGTACCAGGAATGAGGGACCTCAGTTATCTGGAGAGGTAGAGAAGCTCGGATTATTCTCCTCGGAGCAGAGAAGGTTAAGAGGAGACTTAATATAAGGTTTCAAAATGATGAGGGGATTCGATAGGGGGAACGAGGAGAAACTATTCCCACTGGCGGTGGGTCGGTAACCCGAGGACACCCATTTAAAATAGCTGTTAAAAGAAACAGAGGGGAGGAGAGGAGAAATGTGTTCACACAGCGAGTTGTTGGGATCTGGAATGCATTGCCTGAAAGGCCGATGGGAACCGATTCCATAACAACTTTTAAGAGAGAAGTAGATAATTATTTGGGGACAAGTTTTCAGGTCTATGGGGAGAGAGCGGGGGAGTGGGGTTGGTCAGGGCTATGGGGAGAGCGCGGGGAGTGGGGTTGATCAGGGCTATGGGAGAGAGCGGGGGAGTGGGGTTGATCAGGGCTATGGGGAGAGAGCGGGGAGTGGGGTTGATCAGGGCTATGGGGAGAGAGCGGGGGAGTGGGGTTGATCAGGGCTATGGGGAGAGAGCGGGGGAGTGGGGTTGATTTGGAAGCTCTTTTCAAAGAGCAGCACAGATATGATGGGCCCAATGGCCTCTTTCTGTGCTGGATAATTCTATGATTCTATGACTGCACCTTTCACGTCAAGAACATCCTAAGGCGTTGGACAGTCAAGGATTTGGACCTGAGCTAGGAGTTGGGATCGGGAGGAGTGGAGGGCAGAAGGGTGACCTAAGGTGCAGTGGAAGAGGAGAGTCTTGAGAGAGGCCTTGTAGGAGGCGAGGGAGGGATCAAGGTGAAGGGACCGTGGGAGGGAGTTTCAGAAAGTGGGAAGCTGAAGGGCTGACTGCCAATGGTGGGATGGGTCGGCGGGGATGTGGAGCAGGCTGGAGCCTACTCAAAGGAATGACCCGACAGATCAGCATGCCAAGGTGGCTGCTGTATCAGCATCACTGTGGACCCCTTCTGTCGAGGTTCTGATTGCAGCTACTCAGCCGGTCACACGTATTCCCTTGCCATCCATTAAGAATGCACCCAAATATGAACTTGTCGTACAATGACATGCTCATAACCGACCTCTGCCTCAGCCCACCCCATGGGCTCACTGGACTGTGATGTCCTCTCACATTTCCCCTTTGTTGATGTATAAACCATTCCCCAGTTCTGTCGCAGTGCTGTGTGTGTGTGTCAACCCATCACCTGCAGAGGATTTTCTCTTTTTATTTCATTCACACCCCACTGGTTGCCATTGTTCCACTCGGATTACAATCGATAAAACTACTCAGACAGTTTGGTGGCCTTCTTTACCTGATGGTATACACACCAATGTCATGTTTGCTTAAAGACTAATTCTACCGAGCATACTAACTGTGCATTATTGCACGGTCCCTGGACCCATACCCTGGTGGATTTTATCGGGCAATTCCCGTCTAGTGGGGCTAATTACAATTATGTGTTAGTTATCATTGACAAATTCCCAAAGTGGATTGAGGCATTGCTGTGTAGAAATTGAAGTGCCATTACTGCCCCCAGGATTCTCCTGTGCGAGGTAATGTCAAGGTGGGGACTCCCTATCCAGGGTGGATAGTGATCAAGGGTCACACTTGACAGGAATTTTTTTTATATACAGAATTACAGAAAATAATGTGAATCACAAAAGTTATATGTCCTACCATCCTCAATCATCCAGGGTAGCAGAAAGAAGCAACAGTACATTAAAAACTATGTGAAAAAAAATGTTGCCGTAACAATCTTACCAAATGGGCGACCTATTTACCTATGTGTCTAATGGCTATTCGGTCCACGCCTCATAGCACTGCTAAGTTATCCCCCTATCAGGCAATGACAGGACAATTGATGAAAACAACTGGTCATTTGCTACTACCCGGTGAGTTTAGACAACCCGATAATGCAGGGGACGATAGGAGAAATTTGGCTGAAAAGGATAGTAGAAACCATCCAAGAGACTAATGAATGTGTGGCCCAACAGACAGGAATGTCAAGGGAACAAGTTAAAAGATATTTTGATAAAAAAGTAAATACATGAATATTAAATTGGGGATTTGGTGAAGATATTGCACCAAAATGGAAAGGACAGTTTCCAATTATGGACAAGGCCAACCTAGCTGTATATTTAGTGCAGTACCCTGCAAAAAGGGCCAAAGTCGAGAAAAACAACCAAATGGCATCACATTAACCAGTCTAAAATAATTGCTATAAGTATATGATATATAACAGATAAGTAATCAGATAATATGCTCGATTTGCAGAGGCAGTAATCGAGACCCTGGGAAAATCAACATGAAAGGGTTGACATGGATATTGCTAAGAGTCAGTCTGGTGGAATCTCAATCCTCCTCCACCGCCTCTCCTTCCACCTTAACCTTCAAGGTTCTGTCCTTGACTGGTTTAGGTCCTACGTTTCACACCACCTCCACTTTGTAGCGGCAAACGGCTTCTCCTCCAGCCCCCGCACTGTCTCATGCAGTGTTCCTCAGGGCCCTGTCCTCAGTCCCCTCCTCTTCACCCTCCACATGCTCCCACATGGTGACGTCATCCGCAGACATGGGGTAACCCAACTCTACCTCTCTGCCTCCACCCTGAACTAGAATTACTGGCGTCCGGACCGACTCCCTGTCCCACATCAAATCCTGGACGACGGACAACTTTCTCCAACTCAATGTCAGCAAGAACGAGGCCCTCCTGATTGGCCCGCGCCAGCGCCTCTGCCCCTCAGACGCTGGCAGCATCAGCCTCCACGGCTGCACACTCACCCTCACTAACCCGGTCAGGAACCTGGGGGTCTTGTTTGACCCTGAACTGTCCTTTCTCCCCCACATCCGCGCCATGACCGGCACTGCCTACCACCACCTACGCAACATTGCCAGACTCCGCCACTGCCTCACCCCTCAGGCCCCCAAACCCTCACCCACACCTTCGTCACCTCAAGGCTCGATTACGGGAACTCCCTCCTCATCGGCCTTCCCAACTCTTCCCTTCACAACCTGCAGATCATCCACAACTCTGCAGCTCATGTACTCTCACGCACCAGACTCCGTGACCCCATCACTCCCACCCTCGCCCGACCCCATCACTCCCACCCTCGCCCGACCCCATCACTCCCACCCTCGCCCGACCCCATCACTCCCACCCTCGCCCGACCCCATCACTCCCACCCTCGCCCGACCCCATCACTCCCACCCTCGCCCGACCCCATCACTCCCACCCTCGCCCGACCCATCACTCCCACCCTCGCCCGACCCCATCACTCCCCCCCTCGCCCGACCCCATCACTCCCACCCTCGCCCGACCCCATCACTCCCACCCTCGCCCGACCCCATCACTCCCACCCTCGCCCGACCCCATCACTCCCACCCTCGCCCGACCCCATCACTCCCACCCTCACCCGACCCCATCACTCCCACCCTCGCCCGACCCCATCACTCCCACCACTCGCCCGACCCCATCACCCTCGCCCGACCCCATCACTCCCACCCTCGCCCGACCCCATCACTCCCACCCTCGCCCGACCCCATCGGCTCCCCATCCCCAGAGGATCGAGTTCAAGATCCTCGTCCTCAGCTTTAAGGCCATCCGTGGCTTTGCCCTCTCCTACCTCTCTGACCTGCTGTCTCCCTACCAACCTGCCCCCTCCCTCCGTTCATCGGGCTCCGGCTGCTCCATATCTCTCACCCGACCCACCCTACCAACGGTGGCCGGGCTATCAGCCTCTCTGCCCCCACACTCTGGAACTCCATCCCACGGTCCCTTGGCCTCGCTTCCTCCCTCGCCTCCTTCAAGGCTGGTCTCAAGGCCCTTCTCTTCGACCGTGTCTTTGGTCTCCCTCCCACCTCTCTGCCTTCCCTCACCCCTCCCCCACCCCCCCCCCATGATCGGGCCCCGACACCTGACTGTTCAGCACTTTGAGACGTTCTCTCGACGTGAAAGGCGCTCTATAAATGTCAGTGTTGTTGATGTCATCTTCATTTGTGATTGCACAAGCTGTAATCTTATGTTGCCTGATATTGTCTTTATGTGGAGTCCTGTAGCTCAGTGGTTAGAGCACTCGCTTTGCAAGTGAGAGACCTGGGTTCAGTTCCAGGCAGAGGGCGAAACCTCGGGCAAGTTTCCTTACTCCACACAGAGCCTAATAATAATCCCTCCAAAACCAAAAACAATAATAAATTGGTCATTTTCAATCCATGACTGTTTGTGGGACATTGCTGTGCGCAATTGGCTGCCGCATTCGCCCACAAATATACAGTCAATTCACTTTAGTGTGTTCTGTGAAGCGCTTTGGGACGGCTTTGAAATATTTGAGATAGGAAGAGAGTAGACAGTGCTGAAAGATTAGGAGAAGCAACACATAACTATTAAAAGCATATATGCATGCAGATTCAGCAGCTAAAAATAATGGATGACAGAAACAAAAGGCACAAAGTAGAAGAGTTATGTAGAAAGCCTTGAGACGAGGAGTAAGGAAGGCTTTCTCCAGTCGGAGTGTGGTGTTATCACGGGTAAAAGTCATTTTGATTGTTATGCTGGATAAAACTGTATGCTGATGTGATATATCTCGTTAATGCAGAGATTGTTGCTGCTTGTGTGTGAATAGACCTTTTCTTTAAATCATTGTGTCAGCTCATATTGAGTAAACTGGTGCTCCAGAAAACCTTACACCGTGACGGAAGTTTCACCCGTCGTCTCTCTTAATAATCCTTGCATTTGATATAGCACCATATCACATCTTCGAGACGTCTCAAAGCGCTTTGCAGGATATACTATAAAGTGAATTGACTGTATTTTGTGGGCAAAACGCGTCAGCCAATTACGCACAGCAGCGTCCCACAAACAGAGGGAATTTAAAAAACAGAGGGATTAGGGGATATGGGGATAGGGCAGGGAATTAGAGTTGGGTCTGAAGATCAACCATGATCTTATCAAATGGCAGGGCAGGTTCGAGGGGCCGAATGGCCTACTCATGTTCCTAATTCTTATGTTCTTAAACAGCGTGGATTGAGTGACCAAATTATTATTATTACCCCCAGAGAGCGATCCACCAATCGACAAACAACCGGGTTCCTACATACTGCTAGGTAAACTAGGTAAACAGGCGTGTGGAGTAAGGAAACTTGCTTAACATTTTGCCCTACCCGGGAATTGAACTTAGATCCTCTCACTTGTGAGTTGAGTGCTCAACCCTAAGCTTGAGGACTCTCCTGCAAAATGAAGTTTCCTGACTGTCGCACCTGTTTGACCTCCTTGGACTGCACTCTCTTGGCCTCAGTCTTCTCCGTGAAATATGTGTGTATCTCCTGGAAATCACATTTGTTCAGATTGGTGATCAGCTTCCGCTCAGCACTTGTCATCACCTGTGGCACAGATAAAAAAGTGGGTTAGGTGGGACGGTGCTGGCAGCTGCAGCAGGGACAGATGAGGTGCGGGGTGTTTCAATCTATTCCCGAGACAGATTGTGCGCAACAGTGTCCCATAAACTTTGCACAGGGCTGGGCAAGGAGCTCCACCACAAGAACGGACCACGCTGTAAATTACCATCAGGTTTTAAGAGATCAGGTTTCATCACAGCCCGGCCTGGCTCATCAGCAGGACCTGGAAGGGTCGACCAGTCACTGGGGGCAGGGAATCCTCCCCCTCAGCTCCTGTTAACCCTACAGCCAAAGCCCTAACTAACGGGGAGGGGGGTCCTCGCTGGACAAGCAACGGGAAAGCTGCCGGACAGTGATATCAATGGCCGAGCGGTGTGGGTTTAGCGGGTTACACTCCAGCAGTTACCCCAACACACACTCTGGGGCCCCCCCAAACCTTGGCTCTCGCCAACCTGCGCCTAATACTCTCCGGAATTAGGTAAACAAAATGTGTCCCTCCAGTGAGAGAGCGCATTCCATTCCAACAATCTATCTCTGGGATTTCCATGCATAGGTGGGATGTATGGAATTCTTAGTTTGGTTTGGAGTCTCTTAAACACGGTGATGGGTTTGCACTTGTGTCAGACACCCGGCTGGGCAAAAAAGTTACGAGATTTTTTCAAGGCGAGATGGTACACAGAGCGAGTGGGCCATACCTCCCTCCAGTCAGTGAAGAAGTTCGCTCGGAAGATGGCATTTGTTGTGTACTCATGGTCTAGCATTTTGCCGAAGAATGTTGCGACTTCCTCGGCATTTGCGCTTAGCTTCATCGGTTGCCCTGCAAACAAGACCAATAATAATAATTGCAATTGATATAGCGTTTTAACAAATCATTGAGACATCTCAAAAGCGCTTCACAGGATATACTGCAAAGTGAATTGTCTGTGTATTTTGTGGGCAAAATGCGGCAGCCAATTGCCCACAGCAGCGTCCCACAAACAGTCGTGGATAGAGCGACCAAATTTGTTTTTGTTTCTTTTTGAACAGATTATTACTCCAGGAAAAAACAACTAGTTCTCTACTTACTGCTAAGTAAGATACCTTAGGCAAGTTTCCTCACACGCCTCTGTGTGGAGTAAGGAAATTTGCCTAAGCTATCGCCCCGCCCAGGAATCTACCATTATTAATGGTGTGGCGGGATCTTTAACGTCCTGACTGATAAGTGGAAGTCATGGTGGCTGCACCCACCCAGCGGCGAGGACTCACCATTATAATGGAAACGTACGTTGTCTGTGAGCGGTTCGTATTCGGGTGCAAACAGCGGGCCTTTGTGTTCGAGGAACCTCCATTTTACACCATCCTCATAGTGCTCCTCCTCCCACCTGAGGAGGCAATGAGAAGATCACAGTGACACAGAGCTTGGTATTTTATATCCAATGATTCAGTGATTAGAGTTGAGGATTTTCGAGTTGGGAGGACAAAACCAGTATCCCATTTCTATTAACAAATTTAAAATACACACTCAAAATAAATTTCTAATATTGAATGGACATAAGCGTATATTTTGAAGACACCCCAAAGCCTTAAATTAAGACAACATGCCTTCATCCACTCTCCTACCTCTCTGCCCTCCCTCAGCCCAACCACCGCTACCTCCCCGTTTGGATACTGTTCAGCACCTCAAGACGTCCTCCCAACGCAAAACAAATGTAATTTTGTTGTTGTTCGATCATAACACATAAAATGCTGGCTTGAGCAGAGGAATGAGCTGTTACAAGTCCTTCCAAGGTCCAACTCTCCTGCCTGCTCAAACGCTGGTCTTTTATCCCCTTGTCCTCTCACACAATACATATTCTTACAGACAATCGACGAACAACCGGGATTCTACTTGCTGCTAGGTAAACAGAGGCATGTGGAGTAAGGAAGCTTTCCTAAGGTTTTGCCCGCCTGAATCCGGGTCCTCTTGCTTGCCAGCGAGCGCTGTAACCACTACACTACAAGACTCCATGTTTCTGTTTAGCAATAATAACTATATATTATACATAATCCACTAGATATTGATACTAATCCACTGATCCACACAGGCACTGCAGTTCACAACACGAGACTCATTTTGTGACAGGCTGTTCCTTTGTTATAAAACGCACCTGCTGATCACCGACAGTCACTAAACAATAAGCACAGAATGAACCCGTGGAACAAGGGAAGAAGCCGATTACGTCGTTTCGTCACACCATTTAGTCGCAATTCCCTGCCCTCTCCCCATCTGATTGGCTAAATTTATGAGTCGGTGTTCGGGTCTAATTTCCAAGCATGTCACCTTGGAATCAGTTTAGCTCCAAAGAGACCTCACTTACCACCCCCACACGGTGATTAGTCACTGGGTGATTGGTCACCTTTACTCACTGGGCCATCAAAGAGCATTTCTTGATGGAAATTTACACTTAAAAATTATACAACAAAACAAAATTTCATTTGTAAAGTGCCTTTCACGTCGGGAGGACGTCCCAAGGTGCTGACAGATTGGTGAAATGTACCCATGAGAAAGCCAAAGAATGTTTGTGAGCAACTTGGATATTGAGTGCTGGCATCAGGCATTCCCAGGACAGGCACAGTGCAGGTCAGTGCATCCCTCTACTCCATACTCATTCATACCAACCTCGAACCAACAGCCTTGTTGGGTTTAGGTTGTGCCAAGCCCTCATACCCACTGCGACCCAAATAAAAACAACTGCACTCGAGTAGTAGGGGAGGGAGAGGGGCCTTACAGCAGCAACAACTTGCATTTGTATAGCGGCCTTTACGTGTGGTGGTGTCCTGGAGTGCTTCACAGTGAAAGAGTCTGACAGTGGTGAAGGTTACTTTCTTCCCATCAGCCGTACTCAACGCAGGTTATCCAGCGCACTGGGCAGCTCTGCTCATCTCAAGGCAAACACCCCCACATGTACACACGTGTGCACACACGCACATACGTGCAAAAACAACTTGCATTTATAATAGTGCCCTGCGGCACCTTGAAGTGCTTAATGCACTCAGTGAGTCAGCGTTCCTCTGCATGCGCCCCTGCACACACAACACATCTCGCATGTGTATACAGACCCCACCTGTAAACGCACATACTTATGGCCTCATGTGCACCCCCCAAACAATTACTTTTTTTAAAAAAAACATTGAACACCGCTGGATACAGAGCTGCAGTAACCAATTATTTGATAAATTAATTTACGACCAAAATAAATCACAGAAATAGATTGAAACCCCTTCTTACTAACAATAATAATAATCCTGGCATTTGATACAGCGCCTTATCATGTTGCTGAGACATCTCAAAGCGCTTCGTAGAATATACTATAAAGTGAATTGACTGTATTTTCTTGGTGTAACGTGACTGCCAATTGCGCACAGCAGTGTCCCACAGACAGTTGTGGATTTAAGTGACCAAATTATTACTTTTTTTTAAAAACTTCTGAAGCTCTGCGGGGAGAACACTGTGTGAGCCTACCCACCTCTCTCCTGCACCCCTCGCTCGCTGAAGTATGGGGACTGAGTATTTTAAAGCCCTCAAACACCATAGGTGGGTTGTATTATTGAAACGAGTGAAAGGTAACTGTGCTACAGCAAGGACACATCTGAACATAAGTTATGGCCAAAGACCGGGGTTCTCTCCCCTCCTCTTCTCCTGAAGCTTTCACTGAGAGGAGAGAACACTGCACTGAAGGAAAAGCAGCTCAACACACGTGAGAATCTCAGCCGGTAAACCTCTGAACCTTCAACTGGAAATACTACCGATTTCCTGCCTGCACTGTTGACCCCTTCCTCCCCTGCCCCAGAAACAAAACTGCAGACGTCAACCAGCAATTTCAAGCGAGATTCCCGGGGAATTGGTGGGGAGGGGGCGGAAATCAGACAATACACAGATGAATGCATTGTCATCATTTTTAAGTGGTTTGCGACATTCTTTTCAACCGTCCCAACCGGGTGTCTGACACATTCGGAAACCCGTCACCTGCTTAAGAGTCTCCAAATCCAACTGAGAATTCCCCATATCCCACCCACACATGGAAATCCCAGATAGATGGTTAGAATGGAATGCGCCCCCTCTCTCTCTCCCTGGAGGGACACATCCTGCTTACCTAATTCCAGAGAGTATTAGGCTCAGGTTAGCAATAGCCAAGCCTGGGGGGGGGGGGGGCAGAGTTGTGGTAACGGCTGGAGATAAAACCACAGTTTAAAACCACATAGTCTGTCATTGAGAGTGTTGATTCCCCGACAGGGTGAAACTTTAGGCAAGTCTCCTTACTTCACACGCCTCTCTACCCAGCAGTATGTAGGAACTTGCTTGTTAGTCAATTGGCGGATCACTTTCCAGGGGTATTAATCCCTTCAAAAATATATTATAATAATTTGGTCACTCAATCCACGGCTGTTTGTGGATCACTGCTGTACGCAATTGGCTGCCACGTGTCTCCCACAAAATGTACAGTCAATTCACTTTACAGTGTTTTGTGTGAAGCGCTTCTGAGATGTCCCTATGACGTGATAAGGCGCTCTATCAAATGCAACGATTATTATATTATTATCTGCTGCGTGGTGTTTAATGGTAAATGAAGCTTGCCTATGGACAGAAAGAGATATATATTTTATAATCCAACATGAAGAAATAATCGATAAATATAATCCTTGTATTTGATACAGCGCCTTATCACATCTTCAAGGCATCTCAAAGCGCTTCACAGAATATATTGTAAAGTGAATTGACTGTATATTTTTTGCGCAAAATGCAGGATTGACACCAATATATGGGAGGAAACCTCCAAACACAAATCGTGGTGATCCGGGTGCAGACAGGGGGTAATGGCTACACAAGCCAGGATTGCCAATGAAGAAAATAAACCTACAGAGGAAGGAAGGAGCTTCGACCACAACATCAACCGGGCCATCTCTTCTCTCATTTAAATCCATTCACTCCCTGGCACCTCCCAACCTCTCCGATCTCCTCACTCCCCAATCCACCACCCAGCGCCTCCGTTCGACTCACACCGGCTCCTGCTCATCACTCCGCCTCACCATCGGAGGTCGCGCTTTCAGCCACTACACCCCAAAACTCTGGAACACTCTCCCTCAATCCCTCCGATTTGCCCCCTCTCTTCCCTCTTTCAAGTCCCGCCTGAAAACTTTTCTCTTCAACCATACTTACGGTCACCTTCCCCTCCCCCAGCTCGGAGTCAGGCTCCGCCAATGTTAAGCGTTCTGAGACTCTATCCTGTGTGGCGGGCGCTATATAAGTGCAAGTTGTTGTCACATTTGTGGTCGAATCGCTCTCTCTAGGATTGGTCTACAAAGCCACCAAAGGTGAGGCGAATCTTCAAACTAGAAGCGCACTCCCTGCGCGTCGCCCGCTTTTTTTCTTCAAATAGCTGAGGAATAATCTTACTCGATCATATATTATCTTTTACCTTATTATAAACTCACATGTGGAGATTTGCTGCCCTCTGGTGCTCAGGTGTCGGGAATGCGTGTCTTTTGCCTCAGTGTCCGACACATTCGGAAACCCATCACTGTGCTTAAGAGTCTCCAAACCAAACTAAGAATTCGATGCATCTCACCTAAACATGGAAATCCCAGCGACACACGTTTGGGATGGAATGCGCACTCTCTCCCGGGAGGGACTGGTATTTGCACCAGCATGGTCTCACAAATCCCCATGAAATTAATATATATATATATTATATAGAACAACAAAAACTTGCATCTCGGAGTGCTTACAAATATAAATATATATTTTACACATACACAACTTGCATTTGATATAGCATCTTTTCACATCAGAGAAGTCTCAAAGCCCTTCACAGTATTTTACTGTGAAGTGTAGTGACTTTATATATGGGTGAACACAGCGGCCAATTGCATACAGCACTATCCCACCAACAGCCATGAAATGAATGATCAATTTTATTTGGGGGATTATTGTTCAGGACACCGGGAGAGAAACTCTTCTCTTTTCCAATAGTGCTGCGGTATCTTAAACATTGCTAACAAACACAAAGCCACTTGCGTACAGCAGCTTCCCACAAACAGTCATGGATTGAGTGACCAGATTATTATTTTTTGGGGGAGGGATTATTATCCCCGGAAAGCGATCCACCAATTGACTAACAACCGGGTTCCTACTTACTACTCCATTGCACTTTCAAGGAAGGATTAACTGTACAATTGTATTTGGGAATCACTGTTAGTAACGTTTTAATCACCACTTGTTTGTGGGGCACCACTGGTACCTACAATGCAGTGACTGAGGACCTGGGTGTATAGGACTTGCAGATTGTCCATTCTCGGTACAAACGCAGCAGCCAATTTGCACATAGCTGTGTCCCACTGACACCCTTGAAGTACCTCTCGTCTGGACTACTCCAATGCCCTCCTCGCCGGTCTCCCATCCACTACCATCCATAAAATCCAAATCATTCAAAACTCTGACGCCCGCATTCTCACCCACACCAAACTCCGCTCCCCGATCCCCCCAGTCCTGGCCCTCCCCCCACCCCCAAACTCCGCTCCCCGATCCCCCGAATCCTGGCCAGACTGCACCGGCTGGGTGTCCCGTGTCGCCTGGCTTCACTGGCTCACAGCACAGAGACAGCAGTGGTCAAAGTGACAAATTATATTCTGTCCACCTGCGACCAGGGCTCCCTCTGTCTCCTCGACCAATTTCGATACTGTTGACCACTCTATTCTTCTTCACCGCCTCTCCTCTCACCTCTCACTCAACGGCTTCTCCTCTAGCCCCCACACTGTCACATGTGGACTCTCTCAGGGCTCTGTCCTTGGTCCCCTCCTCTTCAATCTATGCTCCTTCTTGGTGATGTCATCTGCAGCCATGGGGTCAATTTCCACATGGATGCAGATGACACCCAACTCTATAGCACCGCCTCCATCCTCGACTCCAGGACCATTGATGTCCTGGCTATTTGTCTATCTGACATCAAATCCTGGACGAGAGCCAACTTCCTCCAGCTCAATGTTGGCAAGACAGAGGGCAACTCCTGCTTGGCTCCCAGCAGCGACTCCTCACCTCAGCCACTAACACTATCACCATTCATGGCTGCACTCTTCATGGTGGAGAACAGAAGCCTGGACCAATGGAAACCAGCACTGTTACACAAGACGCACAGAAAACCAACACTGTACCTAGCCCTCACTTTCAGCCTGCCACCAGTGTACACATGACGCACTTTCCTATCACACAGCAATGACCACACCAGATGCGACCTACTATAATGCCAGCTTCCAGCAGCTTGGGACATCCTCCCGATGTGAAAGACGCTATACAAATGTAATTTTGTTGTTGTTCTCCATTGGAGACAACGACTCAAATCACAATTCCTGTTCTCTCCCCATAACCTTCAATATATTTCTCTTCAAATACATATCCAAGTTTAAAATAATTAGCAAAAGAAACAGAGGGGAGACGAGGAGAATTTTTCTTTACCTAGAAAGTTGTTACAGTCTGGATAGCCTGAAAAGGTGGTGGAAGCAGATTCAATAGTAGCTTTTAAAAGGGAATTAGATATGTAGTTGAAAAGGAAAAATGTTCCCTATGGGGTAAGAGCAGGAGAGTGGGATTATTTGGGATAAGAACGGGGGAGTTGGATTAGTTGCAGTAAGAGCGGGGGACTGGGATTAGTTGGTAGCTCTTTCAAAGAGCCAGCACAGGCAAGATGGACCAAATGGCCTTCTGTGCTGTAAGATTCTATGAGGTACATATCTAGGTTTGGTTATTCAAGTCACTTGCCTGGTGGCTTTCTGACAATATGATGCTTCTCTCAATGCCAAATAATTCTGCTTTTACGTGTTAACAAGAATGGAATTTCTCTCATGGGGGGTTGGGGTTGGAAAAGAGAGAATGGTGGTACAGTGATTTTTTTAATCAAGTTAGCAGTGTCAAAGAAAGAGGATCCTAATTCCTAGGCCACATTCCCTCCTCTCTCTCTCCACCCATTACACAAGTGGAGTTTTTCTCTCCACCCATTACACAAGAGTACCATTACAATACAATGTTATATAACACAGTGTGGGAAGCAATGAGCTTCATTCAGACTAGGGAATTTCCAGGGGTACAACAACAACAACAAAATAACATTTATATAGCGCCTTTCACGTCGGGAGGACATCCCAAGGCACTGGAAGGAGGTATACATATATGGAACTCAGTCTGGCTTGGATAATCAAAAGATTGAGCACGGGTTTCTGCATGTGTCAAGACACCTAGCTGAGTAAAAAAAACTCTCCCTCGCATATACAATTTGTGAAATTAGTTTCTTCACTTAAAAAGGCAGCCAGCTATAACCCCTTCCACCCCTCTCCCACACACACACTCTCAACTCTCAGTCACCTTGTAGGAACAGGAACCTTTTAAAAACAATTTCAGTTTTAAGGGTGAAGCCCAAGTTGGTTCAGGATTACTGATGTTCAACCAACTCTGGTTATCGGGCTCTACCTCGGTAATTCACCTTTAGGGCTGAAATTGTTTTTAAAAGGTTCCCGTTCCTACTAGCACTCCTGATCACCATGTTGAGAATATTATAATAATCCTTGTATTTGATATAATGCCTTATCACTTAGTTGAGGCGTCCCAAAGCGTTTCACGCAATAGATTGTAGTGAATTGACTGTATATTGTGGGCGAAATGTGACAGTCAATTGCGCACAGCAGCGTCCCACAAACATCTTTGAGTGACCAAATGATTGATTGATTTTTGGATGGATAGATCCCAGAAAGCGATCAACCAATCGATTACCAGCAAAGTTCCTACTTACTGCTAGGTAAACAGATGCGTGTGGAGTAAGGAAACTTGCCTGGGAATCGAACCCGAGTCCACTCGCTTGTGAGGCGAGCGCTCTAATCACTGTGCTACGGGACTCCACATTCTGTAATCTACACAGATGTATCCCTCTTGGGTCTCTCTGTCAAAACTAAAAAAGACCTTTCCAATGCTCTAACATCACTTGTGAATCCACTCACAGATCTGAGAATTCATGCAGGAGAGAGAGACACTCACTGAAGACTTCAACAACATACAATTCAGCATGAATATTTAGGAACAACATGGCAATGACTGCCAGTTCACCTTCAAACCTCATTTTTCCTCCTCTCACACTCTCACCATTTCCATTTATTCTCTTCCTTCTCTTCCTCCTTTGCTTGGCTCTTCTGTTGCTGTTCCTCTTTGTCCGTCTTGCTTTTCCTCATGTCTGTCTCCGAGGCCGATTTGTTTCTCTCCCTCTGGGGAATTCTTCGCTTCCCCTTCCAATCGGATTCCTGTCATGAAATTTAGAGGCAACGAGGACACTTTATAAAAATGGCAATGATAGAGAAGTGCTCCAGAGAGGACACAAAAAACACACTATGATAATAATCCTCACATTTCATATAGCAAAAGTGACCAAATTATTATTTTTTTTTGAAGGGATTATTTCCATCAGAAAGCAATCCGTCAATCGACTAACAACCGGGTTCCTACTCACTGCTCGGTAAACAGAGATGCGTGGAGTGAGGAAATTAGGAAACTTGCTAGGCTTTCGCCTCGCGCAGGAATCGTTTGCGAGGGGAGTGCTCTAACCACTACGCTATAGGACTCTTCTAAATGCAGGCAAAGCACCATCACCCCCCTAAACCCCACAGCCAGACAATACCCGAGAGGTCTGTCCCATGTCAAACAGGGAAGTAACTGTTTTCCAACTAGAAAGTGAAACATTGGGCACAATACAACATTAACATCACACTCCACTGGGCTTCTGCTCACTCGCTATCCTCAACTCCCTCGAGTCTGTCAGTCATGGACATAAGACGCAAAACTTAACACACACAAAAAAAAGGAAGTGCGAACAGTGGAAATAATCACTGACTACAAAGGCACTGACCCAGAAACACAATAATAATCCTTGCATTTGATACAGCGCCTTATCACATTGTTGAGACATCTCAAAGCGCTTCACAGACTATACTGTAAAGTGAATTGACTGTGTATTTTGTGGGTGAAACGTGGCAGCCAATTGCGCACAGCAGCGTCCCCACAAACAGTTGTGGATTGAGTGACCAAATTTTTTTTAAGGCATTACCACTCCTAGAACACACTCCAACAAATTGGCTAACAACTGGGTTCCTACTTATTGCAAGGTGACCAGAGGCGTGTGGAGTAAGGAAACTTGCCCAACGTTTCACCCTACCTGGGAATCAAACCCAGGTTCTCTCACTTGCGAGGCGAGTGCTCTAATCACTGAGCTACAGGACTCCAATAGGCAGACTTGGAGGAAGAAAGACAAATAATCTCACTACATTGTACATCGCCCGACTCCACTGGCTCCCCATCCCTCAGAGGATCGAATTCAAGATCCTCAACCTCATTTTCAAGCACATCCATGGCCTTGCCCACTCCTACCTCTCTGACCTGCTGACTCCCTACCAACCTGCCCACTCCCTCCGTTCAGCAGGTTCCGGTCTGCTCCAATGTCTCCCGCCCGACTTGCCATACCATCAGTGGCCTCTCTGCTCCCACTCTCTGGAACTCCATCCCATGGTCCCTTCACCTCTCTTCCCCTCTTGCCTCCTTCAAGACCCTCCTTTTCGATCATATCTTCAGTCGCCCTCCCACCTCTCTGCCTTCCCTCACCCCTACCCCATGCTCGGGTCCTGACCCTTGACTGTTCAGCGCCTTGGGACATCCTATCGACGTGAAAGACGCTCTATAAATGTAATTTTGCTGCTGCTGTTCCACCCAAGAGAGGAGCAACATTACAGACCACCTGATTTTTTGCAGCTAAATGGTAGCATTTTTTAAAAATGGGCTTAAAAACTTCACTGAATAAGTGTTGATCCCAACGAGAGGTTGGAACGAGACCCTGTCTTTTGTTTCACAGACTGACATCAGTTTGTAGGACATTGCTGTGCGCAATAGCCTGCTGCGCTTCTCCCACAAAATATAGTCATTTCATTTTACAGTACATTCTATGAAGTGCTTTGAGATGTCTCAACAGCGGTCTGGGTTTGTCTAGCAGTAAGTTGGAACCCGGTTGTTGGTCGACCAGCTCACTTTAGGACGTCTCGACGACAAGACAAAGCGCCATATCAAATGCAAGGATTATTATTATATTTTAACATGGTTGAAGGAAATGACAGACAATGAAGGTGTACCTCAGAATGCTCACGCCTCACCTGTTCAACTTGTTCTACTTTGATCTTCTTCGGGTTGGTCTCCGAGCTGTAGGGAAAGTAAGAGACACTGAACCATGGCCGTCTCTGGCCCTATGGAGCGGCCCATCGGGGAGCTCACATTCAATTCACCTCAGTTACTCTGCTTGCTCCCAACTCTCAGTGCCCAACACCACACTGTCATATCCCTGTGCTAAAATTCTCCTCCGTTTCTCATCTCCCAGCCTTCAAAACCCTCAGAACAATATAAAAAGACAAGGTGCAAAAGTGTTCCTGGCTGACTTCTGTGGGATTCGCCTCCGCGGCCATGGGGCCATCACTGACTCTCCCGACCAGAGCCAACCAGAGACCGGCTACTGTGTGACGTTACATCTGCCCGCCAACTTTGAATCTCTCAGCCTGGACTGACTGGGAATATAACATTGTCCCCTCTCCCCATGATGACTCTCACCGGTGGGCAAATCATGCCTCGCTGACCGCCTCCACTCCCGCCACTTGCTTTTAGTTTCGGCGTGCTCATTATGGCTGCCGCCAACGACCCGAGCGGCTTCCCCACAATGCCCCCACCCCTGTGCTCTACCCTCATTTACTCCCGCTCGGTCCTCCTCTCCCACCGCCCTCCCCGACTCCTATACCTGCTCGACCGTCCCACTGCCTCCCTCTGATCCAGCCACGAATCCTCTGTCAGGCCCACCGTGGGAGTCATCGCTGGGTGTCTAACAGCAGCCACTCTGACTGTCCTATCCCCTACTCTCGCCGCAAGACTCACCGGTCCCCGACCACAGGGGCCAACCCCTCCTCCCTGATCCACATTCCTACCCTGTCAGTCCCCCCATTCCCCCCCACTTTCCACTACCAACCGTCCCCTCCATATCGGCCTACAAAATGTCCATTCCCTCTCCAACAAAACACTCATCATCCAAGATCTCATCGTCGATGAAAACATCGTCATCCTCGCGCTAACTGAAACCTGCATCACTCCGGGCGACACCTTCTCCCTGACTGAGGCCACACCATCCGCCTACACCTTCCATCACACCTCTCGGCCTAACCACCGTGGTGGTGGGGTGACTCATCTCCCGGTCCCCATTCGACCATCCCCGTACTCCTCTGGAACTTTCCCCTTCTTTGAGCACCGTACCCCCTATCACCCTCCAACCTTTCCTCAAAATTCTCCTGATGGACAGCCCCCCCCAAGCCCTCCTTCACCTTCATCCCTGACATCTCCAATCTCCTATCTTCCCTCTCCCTTTGCTCTGAACGCCTCTTCATCCTCAGCGATTTCAATTTGCACTTCACCCCCTCCTGCTCTACCTCTGCTGATTTTTCCTCCCTTATCGCCTCCCTCAATCTCTCCCTCCACATCCACTCCACTATCCATGTCCGCGGCACCCCCTCTACCTGGCTCTCACTCAGGGCCTCACAGTCTCAGATCTCACCATCATCGACAAAGCGATCTCAGACCATCACTTCATTTCCCTTAACTCCTCAATCCCTCTCCCCACCGCCACCCAACCCACCTCCATCTCATACCGCCCCTGGAAAAAATCACCCCCCCCTCCCTCAGCTGCCTTGGAGTCATCTGAACTCCTTCCCTTCTGGGCTTCCTCCCACAATGACCTATCCTCCTCGGTCTCTCTTCTCTACAGCTCCCTCTCCACCACTCTCGATTCCCTCGCTCCCCTCTCTTCCCGAACCGTATCCTACTCACGCAAATCACCTTGGTACACCAGCCACCTCCACTTCCTTAAAGCCCAGGTGGGTGCCACTGAGCGGACCGGGCTTAAATCAACCCTGACTGCCCACCGGCAGATCCGGCTGGACCATGGCAAATCCTACCACTCCGCCCTCACCTCCACTAAATCGTCGTTCTACTCCAAGACAATCTTGGAGGCTAAGGACAAACCCCAGGCTCCTCTTCCCCATCACCAACCGACTCCTCCGCCCACCCTTTCACGCCTCACCCATCCTCACCTCAAATGCCAACTGCGAGGTGACACTGGACTTCTTCGAATCCAAAGTCGAGGGAATCCGCTCAGCTGCCTTTGCCGCTACATCTGCTACCCCCTCCCCATCTCCGCGTCCCAGCCCCTACCCATCCGACCCTCCACACTCCACCTTGCTAAGCCAATCCGGAACCTTGGGGTCTTGTTTGACCCTCAGCTATCCTTTCTACCCCACATCTGCACCATGACCCGTTCTGCCTTCCCCCACTTCCACAACGTCACCCGGCTCCATCACGGTTTCACACTGCAGGCCGCCGAAACCCTCACACACGCCTTCATTACATCGAGGCTCGACTATGCGAACTCACTGCTTGTCGGCCTCCCCAACTCCTCCCTCCACAGACTGCAGATCATCCAGAACTCTGCAGCCCGTGTCCTCTCCCGCACCGGCTCCCTGACCCTATCACCCCCATCCTCGCCCGACTCCACTGGCTTCCCATCACACAGAGGATACAGTTCAAGATCCTGGTCCTCACCTTCAAAGCCCTCCACAGTCTTGCTCCCCCCTACCTCTCCGACCTCCTAACTCCCTACCACCCTGCTTGCTCCCTCCGCTCAGTGGACTCTGGTCTGCTTCACGTCCCCCGCCTTGCTCACCCCACTATTGGTGGGCGGGCCTTCCACCACTCTGCCCCCACCCTCTGGAACTCCATTCCGCAGTCCCTCCGACTCGATCCCTCCCTCGCCACCTTTGAGGCCCACCTCAAGACCCTCCGCTTCGACCATGCTTTCGATCTCCCTGCATTCAGTCTCTGCCTCAATCCCAATCCCCCACCATCGCCCACAGGCCACCGTTCAGCCACTTACTGTACAACGTAATTCTCCTTGTGTGCTCTCTTTTTCCTGGTCCTTTTAGCATTGTTCACACCTTGGCCGTCACTGAGCCTATGACAATTGAAGACAGCTAGTGTGACCGACTTTCTAATAAAAAAAATCCTTACATTTGATATAGCGCCTTATCACGTCTTCGAAACGTCTCAAAGCACTTCACAGAATATATTGTAAAGTGAATTGATTGTATACTTTGTGGACGAAACACGGCAGCCAATTGCGCACAGCAGCATCCACAAACAGTTGTGGATTAAGTGACCAATTTATAATTTTTTTGAAGGGCATATTACTCCCGGAAAAGCGATCTGCCAATCAACTAACAACTGGGTTCCTACTTACTGCTAGCCAGCAGCTAGCTTACTTCTAACTTGCTTCTAACCCGGCACGCAATTGATCAGCTCAAGCTCCCACATGGCGTCACACAGGGCTCCACCCTCCTGCATCTCTCTCTCCTTATTACATGACTGAAGGAAATGTGCAATTGGCTGTCGTGTTTCACCCACAACATCACAATCATTGCACTTTACAGTATATTCTGTGAAGTGCTATGAGACGTCTCAATGATATGATAAGGTATTCTGTCTGCAGCTGAATCTCGGCAAGATGGAAGCCATATTCTTTGGATCCCGTCAACATCTCCTCTCCTGCGGGTCTGAACTCCTCAACCTCCCAAGTCTCTCCCTTAGACACACAAATCTGCTTTGCCTCTTCCAATACCAACTCCAGGTCTGCCAATGTTCTATCAGTTTGTCTGGCAGACATCAGGGCCTGGATGAGTGTAAACTTCCTGCAGCTGAATGGGGACAAGACGGAAGCCATACTCTTTGGCTCCCGTCAATATCTTCACTCCTGTGGATCTGAACTCCTCAACCTCCCTGGGTTCTCCCTCACACTCACCAAACCAGTGCGCAATCTAAGCATCCGGTTCGACCCCCAGCTGTCCTTCCTCCTCCACATCCGGTCCCTGACCAGGAGGCCTTCCTCCACCTCCGCCACATTGCCCACCTCCGACCGTACCTTACCCCCATATGCAGCCGAAACCCTTGTGCATGTGTTTGTCACCTCCCCCTGGATTACTGCAACCCCCTCCTCGCCGGTCTCCTCAGCTCCACTGTTCACAAGATCATCTCATTCAGACTCTGCCGCCCACACACTGACCTGAACCAAACTCCATCCCCACATCTCACCCGCTCTGGCCCAGGCTCCACTGGCTCCCCATCACCCAACACATCCACTTCAAGATGCTCTCACTCTCGTGTTCAAATCCCTTCACTCCCTGGCACCTCCCCACCTCTCCGACCCCCTCACTCCCCACCTCTCCCACCTCCTCACTCCCCACCTCTCCCACCTCCTCACTCCCCACCTCTCCCACCCCTCACTCCCCACCTCTCCCACCTCCTCACTCCCCACCTCTCCGACCCCCTCACTCCCCACCTCTCCGACCCCCTCACTCCCCACCTCTCCGACCCCCTCACTCCCCACCTCTCCGACCCCCTCACTCCCCACTTCTCCGACCCCCTCACTCCCCACCTCTCCGACCCCTCACTCCCCGCCTCTCCGACTTCCTCACTCCCGACCTCTCCGACCCCCTCACTCCCCACCTCTCCGACCTCCTCACTCCCCACCTCTCCGACTTCCTCACTCCCCACCTCTCCGACCCCCTCACTCCCCACTTCTCCGACCCCTTCACTCCCCACCTCTCCAACTCCCTCACTCCCCAAACCACCACCAGACGCCTCCGCTCGACTGGCACCAGCTCCTGCTCGTCCCTCGCACCCTCCGCCCCACCATCAGAGGCCACTACAGCCTGAAACTCTGGAACACTCTCCCTCAGTCCCTCTGCCGTGCTCCTCTCTCCACTTTTTCAAGTCCCGCCTGAAAACCTTCCTCTTTGACCGTGCTTACGGCCACTTTCCTCCCCGCTCGGAGTTAGGCTCCACCACTGTTAAACGCTCTGAGATGCTGCCCTTCCTAGAGGGTGCTCCATAATTGCAAGTTGTTGTTGTCCCAGTGTCCTTACCTCAACCACCCTTCCTGGCAACCCCATTCCAGTCATTAATTACTCTGAGCGTCTGTTCTGAAATTGCCCTTTACACCTCTAAACCTACGTAGCGTACACTGAGGCTGAGAGGCCAAAGTGCTGGAAGCTGGAAGTGTACTGAGGGTCTGTACGTGGACACTAGGCATAGCTTGTAACATTGTAAATAATCAACGGAGATTCTCACTTACGTCTCAGAAGCATCCTCCACACCACCCTCCTCTGGCTTCTTGCTCTCAGCTTGTACAGAGGCGTCTTCAGTCTCCAGGTTTACACCTGCATCACTGTTGAAATAATACCTGCATTTGATATAGCGCCTTCTCACGTTATCAGGAAGTCTCAAAGTGCTTCACAGAAAACATAGACTGTGTGCTTCCACCCCTCCTGATCCCAACCCCCAGCTCGGGTCCAATTCCTTGATTGTCCAGTGCATTGGGACATCCTGACATGAAAGGCGCTTATACAAATGTTTTGCCCTATCGGCTATCAGCGCTTTTGCTGCTCCATATGTTGAATAAATAGCAAGTCTCTGCTGTATGTCCTGAAATTGTCCTTCACACCTCTAAACCTACGTAGAGTACCACTGAGGCTGAGAGGGCAAAGTGCTGGAGGCTTGAAATCATGAAATGATTTATGTGCTTTATTTTTAATATTAAATCCTGTATATTGGAGTCTTGTAGCTTAGTGGGATAGAGTACTCGCCTCACAAGCGAAGACCTGAGTTTGATTCACAGGCAGGGTGAAACCTGAGATGTTAAACCGAGGTCCCGTCTGCCTGTTCAGGTAGATGGTAAAGATCCCGCGGGGCTATTGGAAAAGAGAAGGGACTTTCTCTCTCTCCTGGTGTCCTGGACAACAATCTCCCAAATAATATTAGTCACTCACTACATGGCTGTTTATTGCTGTGTTTAATTGGTTTGCCTCGCAACTCGCAAGCAAGAAGACCTGGGTTTGATTCCCTGCAGGGCGAAACGTTGGGCACGTTTCCGTACTCCACACGCCTCTGTTCACCAAGCAGCAAGTAGGAACCCTGTTGTCAGTTGATTGGCAGATTGCTTTTCCAGGGGTAATAATCACTTCAAAAATAATAACATAATAATTTGGTCACTCAATCCACGACTACCTGTGAGACACTGCTGTGCCCAATAGGCTGCCGCATTTCGTCCACAAAATAGTCAATTCACTTTACAGCATATCCTGTGAAGCGCTTTGAGACGTCTCAACCATGGTCTGGGTTTACCTTGCAGTAAGTCGGAACCCAGTTGTTGGTCGATTGGTTACTTTGAGACGTTTCGATGACGTCATAAAGTGCCAAATCAAAAGCAAAAAGGCAAAAATAGACACATATGCCCCGCAGAAGGAAAGAAAGTCAGGACGATAACAGGAGGGGAAAAGATTACATTCAGTTCTGCCCAATCCCAAACCCCATCCCCTCCCCCCACCAAACCCACAGGCCACTGTTCAGCCACTTATGGTTCAGAGTAACTCTCCTTGCGCTCTCTTTCCCGGTCTTCTTAGCATCGTTCACACCTTGAACGTCACTCAGCCTGTGACAATTGAAGACAGAAAGTGTGACCAAAGTTCTAAACAGGCAGCACCGCGCGCCATAGATCAACGTAAAGCACCACATGGTGTCACACAGGGTTCCACCCTCCCGCGTAGTTCTCCTCCCCACCCCCTACCCACATTTACAATTTCCTCCAGCTCTCTGCTCCAGTCCAGCCAGTTCCTATAACCGCTCACTAGACATTCAACCAGCACAAACAACAACAAATGCATTTATATAGTGTTCCTCACACATGGTTGTGTCCCAGAGCATTTGAAACAATCCAGTGATTGGAAGAATAATTCTCTGAAAGTATTGGTCAGGGGAGGCTTGTGACTCCTTCATCACATGGTTAAAGGAAATAAGACACAATTGCTGTAGGCAATTGGCTGCCATGTTTCACCCACAAAATACACAATCATTGCACTTTACAATATATTCTGTGAAACCTCTCAACGATGTGATAAGGCGTTGTGTCTAATGCAAGGATTATTATTATAATCAGTCTGAAGTCGGACAAAGCTGACTCCGTTCCCTGTACTTTTTCACCAACTGTCAATCAAAGTCCAGATATCACCCACAGCCCGCCCACTGACTGACTGGCAGCCCAGTCCGCCAGTCAGAGACATGTTGGGAGGAGGCAAATGGGTGGAGCCAAGTTAGCCAAACCCTGATCTTGACCCCCACCCCCCAATCCTTCAACCCCAAGAACCGCCCCTGAGAATGAGTATACGAAAGCAAGAGAAAAATGCGGGCAAGAGAAAAATACTGACAAAGAAAGCGAGAGACATTCGCTCACAAAGTATAGTCACTGCACTTTACAGTATATCCTGTGGAGGGCTTTGAGACGTCTCGGCAACGTGATAAGGCGCTATATCAAATGCAAGGACTATTATATTACTATTAGGCTATTTCTATATGAAAGACGGAGTAAGTGGAGTGCAGCATACACTCTGTTCAATCACCCATAGCTGTGACTATTCTCACGTCCCCACCAAACTCAATCACCTGCTCCCAGACACTCCCCTCAGGGTCACATACCAACAGCCAAGAGGTCTAGAGTACTAAATAGCCTTCGGCCCCTTTGAACCATTCCCAACTCCCGGACAGAAAAGCAGCAAAGAAACCTCCTCCCACCCACCAGCACCACCCAACCCCTCTCGTCTCCTGTCCCTCACCGATCTTCATCCCATTTCCCTCCACCCTTGACTCAGTCTGTGGACAATGAATCCGCAATCTGTGGACATTGAATCCGTGCTCACTTTTCAGGCAAAGGCTGGCCTTCCTCGGAGTCTAGGCAATGTTCCTGCTCCTCCCGGGGCCTGAGGTCTAGGCTGGGAACCTGTTCCTGACGCTCCAGTCGCACGTGAATGTTGAAGCTTGAAGACAATAAAGACACTGTTCACCGGAGTGCCAAGACAGCGGAACCAACTGCAGGTACACAGCTCTGATATACACCAGGCACAAGCACAACAGGCCGAATGCCTCTTTTTGTCCTGTGAAATTCTACGAGTTTAAATCTCGCACTGCATTCCCTTGTAGACACACACACACACATACACACACAGTGGTCTCGCTTCTCTCGTCCTCCTCTGGGGTTTTTCTTTCTGCCCTTTTGTCGGTCATCACCCCGTCATCACCGTCCATCAAATCCCGCTGATCATCTGGACTGCAGAGCGAAGGGGAGCAAGACTGTGAATGAACGAACTCCACATCACGTGGCACCTCCTACAGCTCTAACCTATCCACTTACAGATAGTCACTGCACTTGAAAGCAAATCCCTTGAAGCACTTTTTGAGACATCCTCCCCACATGAAAGATGCCAAAACAAATGCAAGGATTACTGCAGTAAAACTGGCTTAAATCAAAGGACCATAACCTTTAATATGACTTACACAAACTAAAATCTAAAATCCCATTTAATCAACAATAATAATCCTTGCATTTGACATAGTGCTTTTCACGTCTTCTCGACATCTCAAAGCTCTTCACAGAATATATATAAAGTGAATTGACTGTATATTTGTGGGCGAAACGCGGCAGCCAATTGCACACAGCAGTATCCCACAAACAGTCGTGGATTGAAAATGACCAATTTATTATTGTTTTGTTTTGGAGGGATTATTATTAGATGTGTGGAGTAAGGAAACTTGCCCAAAGTTTCACCCTCTGCCTGGGATTGAAACCAGGTGTCTCGCTTGCAAGACGAGTGCTCTAGCCACTGAGCTACTGGCCTCCATAATCTACACATGCATACTTCAATAAAGCCAGCAAGTTTTCATGCGTCAACAGATCAGAATTTCATTTCCCACCATTCAATGCAACTGGTACGTGCTACAAGTTAGGAGATGATTTGCTTTATAAAATACGACCAATGCAGAGAAATGCAAGTGTTTTCTTGTTAGGAAACTGAATGAGACTCGGGTGCATTATATGATTTAAATAGAAATAAGACATATGCGAGTTTTACTGGATTAAACTCAGCCCCCACAGAGACAGACAGAGACACACACACTCACACAGTGGTCGCGCTTACTTCACAGAAGCCTCGTCCTCCTCCAGAGTTTTGTTTTCTGCCCTTTTGTCAGTCATCTCCCCGTCACCACCGACCATCAAATCCTGCTGAGCTTCTGGGCTGCAGAGTGAAAGGGAGCAAGACTGTGGGTGAACGGATGCCACACCGTGTGGCATCTAACCCATCCACATCCCTCGATGGAAACCTCCCTGTATCTGGCATGGAATAAAGAAAAGAGCTTCCTCCAACGAGCCTCTCAGTCTCCTCTGCTCCATAGAAAAAGGCCCTATTTAGCCATACAATACAAAATTACATTTGTCATGTAGGAAGGATTGGGGAGGGCAGGAATAGTAGGGGTAGGAGGGTGGCTCAAGGCGCGGTTGAAGTGAAGGGTCTTAAGATGTGCCTTGAAGGAGGCAAAGGAGGGAGCGAGGTGAAGGCACTGTGGGATGAAGTTCCAAAGGGGGCAGAGAGGCTGAAGGCTTGACCCGCTAATGGTGTGGTGGGCAGGATCGCGGAGCAGGTTGGAGCCTGCTGAGCGGAGGGAGCGGTCAGGTTGTTATGGAGCCATCCTCTATGTGTATGAAGCCATCTTCTCTTCATGTTTCTGTGGTGGGGTGTGGGATGGGAGAAAGAGATAACTCATCTTCAACTCCATGGAAGGCATTTTCAACTCCAGGACTCACATCCACACTTCATACATATGCTCCTATATACAAGAGGGGAAAGGAATATGATGGGTGGGGTATAAACACCGATAAGGACTAGCTGGGCTGAAATGGCCTGTTTCTGTGCCATCATCCTATGTAAGTGTGTCCAACAGACAGGGAGAGGTGGAGGGGGATTTGAGTAATAGAGAGACTATGTGAGAGAGGGGGAGAGAGCGATTGAGAGAGAGTGGGGAGAGAGAGAGTGATTCACAGAGAGGGAGAGATAATAACTTGCACTTACATAGCGCCCTCCATGCAGGGTAGCATCTCATAGATAAAGAGTGATTGAGAGAGGGGAGAGNAAAAAGAGAGAGATTGAGAGAAAGTGGGGGGAAGAGAAAGTTGTGAGCAAGAGTGTGAGAGAGGGAAAAAAATGATTGAGAGTGTGTGTGTGCATAAAAGTGTGAGGAGAGAGGGAAAGAAAGGGGGAGATTGAGCGAGGATGATTGACAGAGAGGCAGAGAGAGTGATTCAGAGAAAGAATGTGAGAGAGGGAGAGCAAGGAACAGGGAGAGGGACGGAGAAAGAGGGAAAGAGCAGAGCAAGAGTGATTGAGAGAATGTGATAGGGGAGAATGTGTGTGAGAGAGGGAGTAAGCGCGAGAGAGTGCGTGGGAGAAAGAGAAGAGAGGATGATTGAGACAGAGAGAGAATACGAGGGAGAGAAACAAAAAGAGTAAGAGAGCAGAAAGAGAAGCGAGGCCAGCATTTGGTGGCTCAATGTCAGGACAGATGATCGGAATTTCCCTCGGCCACTGTGGTGAGACCGAGCACACTTGCCGAGGTACCTGGCCTGCAGTTTCTTCACAGAAAGCTCCCTTTCCCCAGTAACAAACCTTTCCAAGTTCTTCATACCCCAGTGACCTGGCCTCAACCACCCTTCCTGGCAAACCTTTTCCTGTCATTAATTACCCTCTGGGTAAAGGAAAACCTTCATGGTCTCTGTCCTAAAATTGCCCTTTACACCTCTAAAACTATGCAGCGTACCACTGAGGCTGAGAGGCCAAAGCGCTGAAAGTCTGAAATCATGAAAATGATTTGTGTGCCTTGTTTTTAATATTAAGTCCTGTATTTTAGAGTAGTTAGTAGTTAGAGTACAAAAGCGAAGAAGTTCTGCTAAACCTTTGTAAGTTATTGGTTAGGCCTCAGCTGGAGTATTGTATCGATTCTGGGCACCACACTTTAGAATCGATATCAAGGGCTTGGACAGTGTGCAAAGGAGATTTACCAGGATGGTACCAGGGATGAAGGACTATAGTTATGTGGAGACACTAAAGAAGCTGAGATTGTTCTCCTTAGAGCAGAGAAGGTTAAGGGGAGATTTAATAAAGGTGTTCAAAATGATGAGCGGTTTTGATAGAGTAGATAAGGAGAAACTGTTTCCACTTCCAGATGGGTCAGTAACCAGGGCACAGGGCACATAGATTTTAGATAATAGTCAAAAGAATCAGAGGGGAGATGAGAATTTTTTTTACACACACAGAGAGTTGTTACGGTCTGGAATGCACTGCCTAGAAGGGTAGTGGAAACAAGCTTTCAAAAGGGAATTAGATAGGTACCTGAAAAGGAAAACTTTGCAGGATTATAGAGATAAAGCGGGGGATTGGGACTGATTGTGTAGCTCTTCCAAAGAGCCAGCACAGGCACAATGGGTCGAATGGCCTCCTTCTGTGCTGTAATACTGGAGTCTTGTAGTTTAGTGGTCAGAGGACTCGAGTTTCCTTATTCCACAAGCCTCTGTTCACCTAGCAGTAATTAGGAACCACCCGGTTGTTAGTTGATTAGCGGATTGGTTTTCCGGGGATAAGACTTGCTTCAAAAAAAATCCACAACTGTTTGTAGGGATACTGCCTTGCGCAATTGGCTGCGTGTTTCGCCCACAAAATATACAGCTAATTCACTTTACGGTATATTCTGTGAAGCGTTTGAGACGTCTCAAAGACGTAATAAGGCGCTATATCAAATTCAGGAATTATAAATTCAAGGATTATTATTCGAGTCTCGTTCACACAAACTTTATTTTCAAGGGCGAAGTAGAGGAATAAACTTCATAGAGCCACTGATACAGAGACCAGTAATAGCAAACAGAGAAAGGCCGAGCTTACCTGACCATGCCCCTGTCCTTATCTTGGGTCTTGGAGGAGGTGTTGGTTTTTCCCTGTAAGGAACAACATGTAAATCTGTCACCTCTGGGGCCTTCTCTTGCATTTGATATATCGTCTATAACATCAAAACATCTCAACACTTCACTGTAATTAAAATTACTGTGGGTTTTAAAGGTGAACACAGCAGCCAATTTGCACACAGCAATATCCTACAAACAACTGTGAAGTGAATGACCGATTAATCCGAATGCAATCCGAACTGAACTCCCTTCCGTTTTCATAGGATCATTGATGTCCATGAATAGACGGAACCTCGGTTTAACATCTCTCATACGAAGGGTAAATCAGTAAGTAGCGATTTAGATGGAAACATAGGTTAGGCCAGTGGTGTCCATGCTGTGGCCCACGAATCTATCAAGTAGCGGCCCCTGAACATTCGCAAACGTCTGGGTTCAATCAATCGTGTATTTACAGTTTTTTCTTGATTGAATATTTCTTGATTTGTGGCAAGAAATTTTATTTTGTTGGCCAAATACAAAGGTTGGCCACCACTTGGCTAGGCCATTGAAATGAGTTCAATAATATAGAGTGGATTTATACAGCACCTTTTACACAGGATGACTGTCTCAAAGCACTTTAGAAAGGGTGGTGGGGGTAATCACCAAGCAGAGAGGAGAAATTCCGGGGGAGGGATTGCTTACCAGGGGTAAAAAAAATCAGTCACTCAATCCTTGACTTGTGGGACACAGCTGTGCACAATTAACTGCCGCGTTTCACCCCCCAAAAAATACAGTCACTACACTTCACAAAATATTCACAATACGAACCACATTGAAACGTCTCAATGATGTGATAAAGCGCTATATCAAATGCAAGGATTATTATTATTTGAGGGTGCTGGGCTAGTGGGAGTGAGGAAGGAACAAGCGGGAGGAAGAATGAAGGAGAAGCACGAGTGAGTGAGCAAGCAAGAATAAGTCACAACACATGCCATGCTCAAACTCTTACCCTTTTCTTGGGTTTCCTCACATTGGTTTTCTGCTTCTTGGCACAGAACTCTTTGAGCTTCTCATCCATACCTGAGAGCATGTCCTCAAAGGATTCCTGATACGAAGACCTGTGCGATCCAAAACAAAATGGAGGTGAGGAATGGGTGAAGAAAGAATAGGGGAGGAAGGTCAGCTTTAGATCTCTACTCTATCTTCAGCCCAACTTGAAGGAATCCAATTCCCTAATGGATATCCCAGATTCCCATCAGATGTCCGTCAAGACTCAGGTGAGACTGGGTGACTAAGCGGAAGTGGGCAAAGGGACAGAAGAGTAAGGCTGCACTTTGCCTTGGAAGCCAGGGTTTGAATGGTTGAATTTGGAGGACGGTAGGATAGGGACTCTGATGACCGAAAGCCGTTCTTCATCTAATCCTCTCTCATGGTTTTAAACTAGCGAGTCATTAACAAGAATAAGAATAAACCTTGCATTTGATATAGCGCCTTATCAAGTCGTTGAAATGTCTCAAAGCGCTGCACAAAATGTACCGTGAAGTGAATTAACTGTATTGTGTCAAGGCGCTACAGCAGAGATTAAAAGTCACCGTCTGTGTATTGTTATTCCATTGTCCTCCCCGTGATGGTAGCCTCAACCCTAGTTCTCCCTCTCCTCCCACCCTCCAACCCCACCTAAACTAACTGAATCATAGAATATTACAGCATAGAAGGAGGCCATTTGGCACATCATGCCTGTGCTGGCTCTTTGGAAGAGCTATCCAATCAGTCCCAATCCCCCACTCTTACCCCAAACCCCTGCAAATCCTTCCTTTTCAACTACCCGTCCAATTCCCTTTTGAAAGTTGTTACTGAATCTGTTCCCACCCCTTTCAGGCAGTGCATTCCAGACCGTAACAATTCTCTGTGTAAAAAAAAATCTCCTCATCTCCCCTCTGGTTCTTTTGACAATTATCTTCAATCTATGTGCCCTGGTTACTGACCCACCGGCCAGTGGAAGCAGTTTCTGAACCTGGAAGTCAAACAAAAAGCCTGCTTAAAATAAATCTGAAAAAAATGAAAGTAAAAAGATCACTTTCTTAGTCAAAAATTAAAGCAATTAATCCTAAAAAAATTTCATACAGCATCTTTGTACCTCTTCAACAGGCTGGATTTTACTTTGGATTCAGTCACAGAGCCCTTCTCGTTCTCCTGTAACACATAATGGAGGAATCTATTACTCGAAATCTCGCAGCTCTGGTTCGCGTTGAATATTAGTGTTTTGCAGGAATTGTCGCAATAATCCCTTCAAAAAATAAGAAGAATTTGGTCACTCAATCCACGACTGTTTGTGGGACGCTGCTCTGCGCAATTGGCTTCTGCATTTCGCCCACAAAATATACAGTCAACCCACTTTACAGTATATCCTGTGAAGCACTTTGAGACGTCTCAAAGACGTGATAAGGCGCTATATTGAGAGCAAGGATTATTATTATATCTCCTTCTCTCCCTCCTTCCCGCACTGCCAGCTGGCGTTCCCCACCTCTAACCTACTCACCCAGCCAGTGTTTCTTCAACCACCCATTCACACGGCCAGTGTCTCTCCCCCACCAGCATCTCTTCCGACCCACATTCTTCGCATCCACACAGTTGGCAAGTGTTCTCCCCCTCCACGACCACCTTCTGCTCTCCCCCCTGCCACACAACTGGCAGCATTCCCCTTCCCGTACAGCTATATAATAACAATAATCCTTGCATTTGATATAGCACCTTATCATATCTTCGAGATGTCTCAAAGCGCTTCAAATTATTGACGATAACTGTAAAGTGAACTGACTGTGTATTTTGTGGGAGAAACCCGGCAGCCAATTGCACACAGCAGTGTCCCACAAACAGTCATGGACTGAAGTGATCAATTTATTATCGAGGAGACTAAACGCAGATTGGGTGACTGCTTTGTTGAACACCTCCATTCTGTCCGCAAATGCAAACCAGAACTTCCGGTCACTTATCACTTTAATTCTCCTTCCCACTCTGACCTCTCTGTCCATGGCTTCCTACACTATTCGAACGAAGCACAACCCAAGCTCAAAGAACAGCACCTCATCTACCTCCTAGACACCTTTCAGCCCTCTGGCCTCAACATTGATTTTAACCACTTCACACCTTAAACATAGCTTCCATCTTTTCTCAGCCTTGCCTCCCCCCTTCCCCTTTTCTATAACCATTCAAACATCCTCTGGATCTTAAGATGCATCTGTTCATTCCTTAATCTCCCACTATTACTTTCTCTTTTCTTGCTTCAATAACAATTTACACTTATATAGCACCCTCCACGCTGGGTAGCGTCTCAGAGCGCTCAACAGTGGTGGAGCCCGACTCCAAGCCGGGGTTTGAGCGGGGATGGGGAGGTGGCTGGAAGCACAGTCGAAGAGGAAGGTTTTCAGGCGGGACTTGAAAGAGGGGAGAGAGGGGGCAAATCGGAGGGATTGAGGGAGAGTGTTCCAGCATTTTGGGGGTAGTGGCTGAAAGCACGACCTCATTTTTTAAACTAATTTTCTTCTCTCTGTAGAGGCTGTCTGACCTGCTACGTGTTTCCAGCAACTTGTTTTTATTTATAATTTATTACTGTTCACAGCTAGCATCCCTTCCCCTACCCCCTCCCCCATCCAAAACTCACCATTTCCTCTGGTTTGCCCTCCACTGATTTGCTCTCCTCTTGGCTAGATTTCTCGACAGAATCCGCCTTGTGCTTTTTGTTCACCAGATTTTCCTCCACAATATTCTTGCACTTCCTACAAACACATCCATTAGTTGTACAAACTCCTGCCTCTGACCGCACATGTTTTAATTCACGGCAGAGTGGGTCATTGCTGAGGCCCAGACTCCTGTGGTCAAAACATAGTCAATTCACTTCACAGTGTATCCTGTGAAGCGCTTTGAGACGTCAAGAAGACATAAGACGCTATATCAAATGCAAGGATTATTATTTCCATGTTTGGGGAGAAATTACACCTGGAGCTAGATTTCTTCTGTTGACATCGCACTTCGGATAGCCCATTTGACAAATTGTTGAATTTGGTATCAACTTTGAAGCCAGATTTCTCTCACTCTTGAGAGAAACACACAGAAAAATAGCTTCAAATTTGTGACTGGTTGAGGATTGACACTGAAAGAATAATAACCTTTGAATTTGATAAAGCGCATTCTTATGTCTTCGAGATGTCTCAAAGCGCTTCACATGATAAGTAAATTGACTATATATATTGTGGGCGCAACACAGCAGCTAATTGCATACAGCAGTGTCCCACACATGAATTGAGTGTCCAAATTATTATTATTATTTTTGAAGGGATTATTACCCCCGGAAAAGTGATCCACCAAATGACTAACAACAGGTTTCCTACTTAGAGCTAGGTGAACAGAGGCATGTGTGTGGAGTAAGGAAACTTGCCTGAAGTTTTGCCCTGCCCAGGAATCAAACCTGGGTCCTCTCGCTTGCGAGGCGAATGCTCCAACCAATATACTACAGTTTTATCCATACAGTCTATGACTGACTTTAATGTTATCCATATAGTCTGACTGATTCCAATGGTACCTGCCAGCAGTCTTCTGAGTCTTGGGTTTGGATGCTGGATTGAGTTTCAAGCTCTCCTTCTCCTCATCGTGCTCATCTTTCAGCTTACGGGTTTTTTTGTCTTTGTTTTTGATCTTTGGTAATATGTTCTTTGAATCTGAAGTTTAAATGGTTTAATAACTTTAGCATAACTATGATATCCTGCCTTGAATTCCCCTCTTCACCAAAACATACCTACAATTCAAATGAATTGGCTGCTCACTCACTGACATTAGCTTTATTTCACAAAAAAAAATCAATTCACTGCAAGGCACAGTAAACATGGAATCACTCCATTTGCCACCTTGTGACCAATGCTGAAAAATAAAACTTGCGTTCAGCACAGCACTTTATCATTTTGTCAAAACCATCTCAAAATGCATCACAGAATTTACCATCACATGACTGTATCTGAAGTGTGCGTATCCGAGTACGCGGGTAGAAATGCTCACATTTGTGCAATAATAATTAGACTTGGCAATGATCTCTGATATTCACTGACTTGGCTCGGTCACACGTGGTCACAGTTCTAAATCCAAACAAGATTACATCTGTCTATTCAACTCAACAAAACTGGAAGCTGTTTACAAACCTGGCAAAATATTGATTTTATTCAGGGCCCACCATCAGCAGTCAGGCCATCAACCTCACTGCTCCCACCCTTTGGAATTCCATCCCATAGTCAATTCTCCGAGCTCCCTCCCTTGCCTCCTTCAAGCACTGTCTCAAGACCGGCTTCGACCGCGCCTTCGGCAACTGTCCCCGCCCTACCCTCCACTCCTCCTGATCCTAAGCCACTGCTCGGGTCCAAATCTTGGGACGTCCACCAGACGTGCTATACAAATGTAACTGTTGTTATTGATGTGTACTGCAATGCCAAGATTCATGTAAGGGTTGATTTTTGGGAGGTCGGCCGGGTGTCTAACACAGGCAAATACCCATCGGCGTGTTTAAGAGTACCCACTGAGAGTTCCAATCATCCACAGAATACATAAACGTGGAAATTCCAGATGTTTATTGGATTGGAGTGCGCTCTGTCTCTCTCACTGGAGCCACACATCATAATCACTTCATTCCGGAGAGTATGAGGTGCAGGTTAGCGAGAGCCACAGCTCGGGGGGGCCCCAGAGTGTGTGTAGGGGTAACTGAGGACAGTCTCACATGGAGGGGGACGAGGGTCCCGCGCGGGGTGGGGGGGTCCCGCGCGGGGTGGGGGGTCCCGCGTGGGGTGGGGGGGTCCCGCGCGGGTGGGGGGGTCCCGCGCGGGGTGGGGGGGCCCGCGCGGGGTGGGGGGTCCCGCGCGGGGTGGGGGAAGGAGGGGGGCCCGCGGGGGGAGGAGGAGGGGCCCGCGGGGGAGGAGGGGGCCCGCGGGGTGGGCGGGGCCCGCGGGGGAGGAGGAGGAGGGGCCCGCGGGGGGAGAGGAGGAGGGCCCGCGGGGGAGGAGGAGGGGCCCGCGGGGGGAGGAGGAGGGGCCCGCGGGGGGGGGAGGAGGGGCCCGCGGGGGGAGGAGGAGGAGGGGCCCGCGGGGGGGGAGGAGGGGCCCGCGGGGGGAGGAGGAGGAGGAGGGGCCCGCGGGGGGAGGAGGAGGAGGAGGGGCCCGCGGGGGGGGGAGGAGGAGGAGGGGCCCGCGGGGGGAGGAGGAGGAGGAGGGGCCCGCGGGGGGAGGAGGAGGAGGAGGGGCCCGCGGGGGGAGGAGGAGGAGGGGCCCGCGGGGGGAGGAGGAGGGGCTGAGGCTGAGGTAAATATGTCCCTTTCCCTCTCCCAAAAGAAAATCAGTAGCGGAGACGTGAGGGAGACAGACTCACCAGACGCCGCCGCCGCCGCCGCGGCTAAACTCGGCCCCTGCGGAGAGAGAGAGAGAGAGAGAGAGAGATAACATATGAGGAAATAATAATAAAACTCTTTGGCGCGAGTGACCGACGATTGCGGTTGTCGGAAACCCCGCACCTGGCGGGTGGCGTCGTCCCCACCGCCTCTCCCCCTCATGGCGTCGCTGAGGCGATTCGCGAGCGACGGCCGTTTGAACGACGCCTCGGCTCGCGCCGGCGGTCCGCCCGCCCTTTATACACGGCGCTGCGTGGCGTGTGCGCGGGTCCGCTCTGACCGACGTACGCACGTCCCCGCCCCGCCCCGCCCCTTCCTCACGCGCCCCCACCGCAACCACGCCCCCACCATCCCTAACCACGCCCCCACCCCAACCACGCCCTCACCATCCCTAACCACGCCCCCACCCCAACCACGCCCTCACCATCCCTAACCAGACCCCCACTCCCCCCAACCACACCCTCACCCCCCTAACCAGACCCCCACTCCCCCCAACCACACCCTCACCCCCCTAACCAGACCCCCACTCCCCCCAACCAGACCCTTATTCCCTCCAACCATACCCCCACTCCCCCAAATGCGCCCTTATTTCCCCCATCCAGGCTCTTCTCCACGACCAGGACGTAGCCATGGTCTGAAAGGAAGGTTTCCCCAAGAGGAAGGTGATCTAAAAATGGGAAAGTTGCTGGCAAGGCGGAGGGATTGACGGAAAGAGATCCAGACCATCAGTGGCTTCAGCCTCTCTGCCCCCCCTCTCTAACTCCATCCCAGAATCCTTCCCCCTCTCTTACCTCCTTCAAGATATCAAGACCCCCTTCAAAGCCCGTCTCTTTGACCATGCCTTTGCCCATCCTCCCACCTTCACCTAACCCCTTCCACCCCTCTTGATCCCAACCCACAGCTCGAGTGAGTAGCCTGGTCTGTCCAGTGCTGACGCAAAAGATGTTGTATAAATGCAATTTGTGTAGTTGTCAATTTCAAGATCTTTGCACTCGTCTATAAACCCTTTCATGCTCTGGGGTTTCCCCAAGAGGTTTCCTCCCTACCTTTCCGACCTGCTTACACCCTACTCCACCACTTGCCACCTCTGCATGGCTGGCTGCAGCCTCCTGCTTGTCGCTCATCCCCTCCGCTCCACCATCGGAGTTTCAGAGAGCTGGCCTACCAATGATGGAGCAGTAGGGTTAGAGAGGTAGAGTGGGGTGAGACTGTGGAGGGACATGAAGGTGAGAATGAGGTTCTTGAACTCAATCTCCTGGGGGGTGGATAAACAGATGAGGATGGTGTGGTAAAGGACACACTCTGCACAATTCTGCAGTTGGGTAGGGAAGAGCTGGGGAATCTGACGAGCAGAGGTTGACGAGCATAGTCAACCCTAGCACCGATAAAAAGCACACAGGTAGGCAATGTTTCAGAGGTCGGAAGGAAAGCTAAGCAGGTCAGAGCATGGATGTATGGTTCAAATACAAATATGAATTATTATTATTATTCTATAGTGCATGTCGAAACATCTTATCATGTCAAAACATCTCGATGAGTTTTCTGTAAAGTGCCATGACAGCAATATCCCACAAACAGCCAGGGAGTGAATGATCACTGTTATCTGGGGGATTGCAGCCAGGACGTAAGGAGAAACTCCTTTCTCTATTTCAATTGTGTCACAGGATCTTCACCGTCCACCTGAACAGGCACAGGCAGGACTTTGGTTTAGTATATTATCCAAACAATGCAACGCTCCCCCAAGCTACACTGGAGTCTCAGCATAGACTGTGAGCTCAAAGTCCCTCCAGGTTTGCAAGAGTCAGTAATGGTCTTTGGGCACAATGGGATTTACCTCTTCCCGTTCAAGACCTGGAATCACGCAGTCTCAGCTGATGCTCCAAAGCAGTACTGGAGCGGTCTTGCACTGTGGGAGGTGCCGTCCTTCAGATGAGACGTTAAACCGAGGTCCCATCTGCCTGTTCAGGTGGATGTTAAAGATCCCGCGGGGCTATTCAAAAGGAAAAGGGAGTTTCTCTCTGCCGGTGTCCTGGCTGACAATCTCCCAAATAAAATTGGTCACTTGCTCCACGAATGTTTGTGGGACATGACTGTGCATAAACTGACCGTTGCGTTCACCCACAGTAAATCCTGTGAAGCACTTTGTGACATCCTCCCGACGTGATAAGGCACTGTACTAAATGCGAGGATTATTATTATTAATTTTGATTTGTCCGATGACAATCTGCAGCAGTGGGGCATTGATGAGCATTATTGCACATTGCCTGGAGGTGGCGCTGCGCCACTGGTGGACTCTCACTCACACAGAAACACACACACAACGATACCCCAGTAACCACACACCGCGGTGTGCGCAGTGTACCGGGGGCTCCTCGGGGCCGAACCCACCCCGGGGTGACCCTCCTGGCCATGGAATGTCAGTACCGGCCCCCCCTCTGTGCCGGTCTCCAGTCCGGGTCCTGACCAGGAGGGGCCGCAGTGTCCCGGGGCACTCACTGACCAGTCACTGGGGGCCGGGAATCCTCCCCCTCAGCTCCTGGTAACCCCACAGCCAAAGCCCTAACTAACGGGGAGGGGGGTCCTCGCTGGACAAGCAGCGGGAAAGCTGCCGGACAGTGATATCAATGGCCGAGCGGTGTGGGTTTAGCGGGTTACACTCCAGCAGTTACCCCAACACACACTCTGGGGCCCCCCCAAACCTCGGCTCTCGCCAACCTGCGCCTAATACTCTCCGGAATTAGGTGTAAGCGTGTGTAGTTGGGATGCATGGAATTCTCAGCTTGGAGCTGGTTTGGACACTCTTAACACTTTGGAGGCCTTTGGCTACCATTTCCGCCTTCCAGAAAATTAAGTTGCTGTCCCTGTCCTCCACCCCTCCTGATCCCAACAACAACACATTACATTTGTATAGTGCCTTTCTCGTCGGGAGGACGTCTCAAGGTGCCAACTTGGGCCCAGCTCGGGTCCAAATTCCCGACTGTTAATGCAAATGTACTTGCAGAACTGGGGGCCATCAAATTAATAACAGAATGAATAAATAAAAGTGCTAAGAGAGGATGCAACTGTTTGAGAAACACCAGGCTGGGAACAAACAGTGAATCTGGACTTATTTCTTTTAAGTCGAGTTTGCACACCCGAGATTCAACGAGCCCCGCTGCTTGCACCATCACAGCAATAACCCTGTATGTGTCTGAAAGGTTGGTTCAATCGCAAATATATATCTTTAATACATATTAATGTAATAGTATCAGACACATTGTAAAATGCCAGAAAATAATTTCACCCTTTAAGGTTTTTATTCATCTGCAGGTTATGTGAATACTGCTTGCATGTACTTATATCAGCGCCTTGGGACGTCCTCCCGATGTGAAAGCGCTATACAAATGTAATCTTGTTGTTGTTGTTGGTTGTTCCATCTGCAGTCAGTCCGAATAATAATAATACTTGCATTTGATAATAGAGCCTTATCACGTCTTTGAGACCTCTCAAAGTGCATCACAGAATATAACAACAACAACTTGGATTTATATAGCGCCCTCCACGCCGGACGGCGTGGGCGAAACATAGCAGCCAGTTGTGTAGAGTAGTGTCCCACAAACAGTTGTGGATTGAGTGACTCTATTATTTATTTATTTCTGAGGGATTATTACCCCCGGAAAGCGATCTGCCAATCAACGAACAACCGGGTTCCCACTTACTGCAGGTAAACAGAGGCGTGTGGAGTAAGGAAACTTGCCTAAGGTTTTGCCCTGCCCGGGAATCGAACGCACGAGGCAAGCACTCCAACTACTATGCTACAGGACTCCTATTATATATCTTTGTTCAATCTATTGAAATAGTGTGTATTCAAGCTGTGCATTAAATATTTTTAATGTGCATGTTGAATACATACAAACAATGGTGGACATCTGAACTGCTATTTGAATGAAGGAGTGAATCGCGACATTAACAAGTGATTAGCCTCAGCCCCGCCCCACAGACACAGTCCCATCTCACCCGAAAGAAAGGTACATTGATTTTTGTTTAGCCGCAACAGCAAGGGAAGGAAGTACAAAAAAACAGCCAGGCTGGTGAAGAAAGACCAGTAGGTATGACAGCATATGGAGCAGCACAGTACCCCTGTAATAATCCCTCCAAAAAAAAGAAATAAATTATAAATTGGTCATTTTCAATCCCTGACTGTTTGTGGGACGCTGCTGTGTGCAATTGGCTGCCGTGTTTCGCCCACAAATATACAGTCAATTCACTTTACAGCATATTCTGTAAAGCGCTTTGAGACCTCTATAGCAAAGCGCTATATCAAATGCAAGGATAATAATAATGAATAATTCTTGCCTTTGGTATAACACCTTATTATGTTGAGTCCTGTAGCTCAGTGGTTAGAGCTCTCACCTCGCAAGTGAGAGACTTGAGCTCGATTCCCGGCAGGGTGAAACGTTGGACAAGTTTCCTTACTCCACACCTATGTTTACCTTGCGGTAAGTAGGAACGCGTTTGTTAGTCGATTGGCGGATCGCTTTTCTGGGGGTAATAATTCCTTCCAAAAAAAAATGTATAATTTGGTCACTCAATCCACGACTGTTTGTGGGACACTGCTGTGCACAATTGGCTGCCGCTTTTCACCCACAAATATACAGTCAATTCACTTTGCAGTACATTCTCTGAAGCTTTTCAAATGTCTCAAAGTGGTGATAAGGCGCTGTATCAAATGCAAGAATTATTATAATAATAATAATAATCCTTGCATTTGATATAGTGCTTTATCACGTCTTCTCGACGTCTCAAAGCGCTTCACAGAATGTGCTGTAAAGTGAATTAACTGTATATTTGTGGGCGAAACGCGGCAGCCAATTGTGCACAGCAGTGTCCCTTATCTATGATATGGTAGATTTCATATCATCTTAAAGTGCTTCACAGGATTTTACTGTAAAGTGTAGTGACGTTGCCTTACTTCCTCCCTTTCCTCCTTCAAGGCCGGTCTCAAGACCTTTCTCTTTGACCGAGCCTTCAGCTCCCCTCTCGACTCTCTACCCCCTCCTCGCTCCTTCCCTCCCCTCACCCTGACCATTTCCCCCCTCCTCACTCCCTCCCTTCCCTCCCCTCACCCTGATCATTTCCCCCCTCCTCGCTCCCTCCCTCCCTCCCCTCACCCTGACCATTTCCCCCCTCCTCGCTCCCTCCCTTCCCTCCCCTCACCCTGACCATTTCCCCCCTCCTCGCTCCCTCCCTTCCCTCCCCTCACCCTGACCATTTCCCCCCTCCTCGGGTCCTGACCCAACTGTCCAGCGCCTTGGGACGTCCTCCCGACATGAAAGGCGCTCTATAAATGGAATCTCGTTGTTGTTGTGTGTTTTTATGGGCGAATGCGGCAGTCGATGTCCCACAAACAGCAGTGAAAAGATAATAATTGAATGAGCAGAAGGTCCATGACCCTTACCAATACTCCAGGGATCGAAACCAGACGCTTCATAAAGTGTCTGTGTTTACAGAAAGTTCAACTCAGTGTCCACCAAGGACAAGTCTCCGATGACAAGGTTAGACTATTGCTTGGACTTTCCACACACTGCGCCCTTCCTCAGTATGCTAGACTTGGATTTTGACTACTGGCAAGCGGTTGTTGAAGAACAGAATTGATTTAGTTTGTTTTGGTCAGCCGGGGGACTGAAATCCTGACATGGAGCTTAAACACACAATGTGTGACTGAGATGCAAGAGTGCTACCAACTGAGCGCCAGTTCATGCACAGTATTTTTTGTGGTCAGCTGGTAGTCTGACACATGTGGAAACCCATCACTATACTTGAGAGTTAGACTCCAGCAGTTACCCCAACGCATACCCTGGAGTCCCCCAAGCCTTCGATCTTGCCAACCTGTGCCTAATACTTTCCGGAATTAGGTACTCTTAAGCATTGTTAAGGGGTTTTCGGATGTGACAGACCCCAGCTAGCCAAAAAAAAAAACCTTGATATGGGTGTTTTACACTTGCAGAAACCTATCATCGTGCTTAAGAGTATCCAAACCAAACTGAGAATTCCACGTATCCCACCTACACATGGAAATCCTAGAATAGATTGTTGTAAAGCATGAACAAAACACAAAACACTGCAGATGATGGAATCTGAAACAAGAACAGAGAGAGCTGGGAAAGCTCAGCAGGTCAGGCAGCATCTATGAAGAGAGGAAAGTGAGTCAATGTTTCGGGTCCACGTTCTGATGAAGGGTCGTGGACCCGAAACGTTGACTCACTTTCCTTTCTCCATAGATGCTGCCTGACCTGCTGAGCTTTCCCAGCTCTCTCTGTTTTTGTTGATAAACATCCTGCTTACCTAATTTCTGGAAAGTATAGGCACTGGTTGGCGAAAGCCAAGGCTTGGGGACCTCAGAGTATGCATTAAGGTAACTGCTGCGTTGAGACCCTCCTTTTTGACCGTGCCTTCAGCCGCCCTCCTACCTCTCTGCCCTCCCTCATCCCAACCCTGCCCCGCCACGCTCGGGTCCTGATCCCCGACTGTTCAGCACCTTGAGACGTCCTCTGGACGTGAAAGGCATTTTACAAATGTAATTTTTTGATGTTGCTGTTGTTGCTGTCATCAGTTAGAGCACAAGCAAGAGGACCTGGGTTCGATTTCCGGGTTTCTTACTCCAAATGCCTCTGTTTATCTAACAATAAGTCGGAACCCGGTTGTTAGACGATTGGCAGATTGCTTTTCCGGGGGTAATAATTCCCTCAAGATAAATAAAAATAATAAGTGTTGAGTCATGTTGGGAGGGAGAGGTTTTAAGAGGGGAGGGAAAGATAAAGGAGAAAATGGGGTGGAAAACAGGGATGATGGGTTAAACAGTCTTTAATGATGCAAAACAAAGGAGAGCAGCAGAGGCAGACCAGAGAGGAAAGGTGTGTCTGGTATCCAGATGATAATAATAATATAGATGATGCGCTAATGGTCACGGAAAAGGGAGAAGGTAAGCTGTTATTGGAGATGGGAACTGCTCTTATGGTCTGAAGCAGTTGAAATCAATATTGAGGCCAGAGGGCTGCGAGGTCTCTGGCAGATAGATGAGGTGCTCTTTGGTTCATTGTAACAGCATAGGAGAGTTGAAATGGCAAGAAACCGGAAGCTCAGGGTTGTGCTTGTGGACCGAATGGAGGTGTTCGGCAAATCGGTCCCCAATCTGTGTTTGGTCTCCCCAATATGGAGGAGACCACATCGTGAGCAGTGAATGCAGTAAACTACACTGGTGGACGTACACATAAATCGCTGTCTCACTTGAAAGCCTTGTTTGGGCCCCTCCCTGGACAGTGGTACGGGAGGCGGTCAAATGGCAGGTATTGCATCTCCTGTGCTGGCAATGCAGGAGATGCAATACCTGCCATTTGTGGAGTCCTGTAGCTCAGTGGTTAGAGCACTCGCTTTGCAAGTGAGAGACCTGAGTTCAATTCCAGGCAGAGGGCGAAACCTCGGGCAAGTTTCCTTACTCCACACAGAGCCTAATAATAATCCCTCCAAAACCAAAAACAATAATAAATTGGTCATTTTCAATCTACGACTGTTTGTGGGACATTGCTGTGCGCAATTGGCTGCCGCGTTCGCCCACAAATATACAGTCAATTCACTTTACAGTGTGTTCTGTGAAGCGCTTTGGGACGTCCTCCCGACGTGAAAAGCGCTATATCAAATGCAAGGATTATTATTATTATTATTATTATTATTATTATTATTATTAAGGGGCAGGTGCCGAGGGGAGGAGAGCCGGTGTGAGTGGTGACGGAGGAGTAAACCAGGGAGTCACGGAGGGAGCGGTCCCTGCGATTGACGGCCGCGTTTCGCCCACAAAAAATACAGTCACTGCACTTTACGGTATATCCTGCGAAGCGCTTTGAGGCGCCCGGATGGTGTGATGGGGCGGTGGGAGGTGCGGGGGCTGTTGCGGGGTCCCACCAGCAGTGCAGTGCGGTGCGGTGGGGGCGGGGCCGGGGGGGGATGGGGGCGGGGCCTCGGCTGACCCACGTCAGACCAATCAGTCGGTTGGGGCGGCCGTTGCCGTGGCAGCGCCTGCTGACGTCAGCGGGCGGGTGGGGCGCCCGCTCCCTGCGCCTCATTGGAGGAAACCCCGTGCCGAGCCCTGCCTTGCCGACCTCGAGCCGTTGCGTCCCGCGAGCTGCCGAGGCGTCAGCTTCCCCCGAGCCGCTGCCGCGAGCCCTCCCGCCCGCGTGACTGACACACAGACTCGCGCGAGCCAGTCAGCGAACCAACCGTCCACCCGCCGCCCCGGTCAGTCCCGCTCTCTCCCGCTCTCATTTTCTCCATTCATTGTGTGTGTACCTGTGTTTGACGGTGGGGGACCGTCGCTCCGTTCTCCGCCGCTCTCGTTTCATTCATTGTATCTGTGTCGGGGGTCGGGTGGCGGCGCGCGGGCGGGCGGGCGGGGGGTCTGAGGCGCTGATCGGTGAGCCGGAGGCTGAGGAGAGGAAAATGGAGGAGAGGCTGCGGCCTAGGGCCCGCACCTCCGCTGGTCCCCCCCCACCCCCCCCCCGGGCTCCGGTTGGAGTCGCCTCACTCGCTGTGTGTGTGAGAGAGAGAGCGGTCACTCGCTGCGTGTGGGCCCCGGCGCTCGGGAGGGAGGGTTGGCCGGTTGGGGTGAGGAGGAGGGCTCGGTGTGGGCCGTCTCGCTGCTCCGGGGAGAGGGCTGGGGCTGGCGGGCGCTTTCCTTACCCTCGGAGCAGACGGCGGGCGGGCGGGCGGGCGGGTGTGTCAGGGCGGGGGCGGCCACACCGCAAGGAAAAGAGAGAGAGAGAGAGGAGAGGCGGAGGGAAAGGGGTGGAGAAGTGTTTCACGGGAGGTGGACGAGGGTGAGCAGGTACCGGGCGGCTCCCTCTCACTGGCCCGCCCGCCCGGGGGAGAGAGGGCAGATGGGGGCAGAGGGGAGAAGGCTGGAGAGAAGGAGACCGAGAGGGGGCTGTGAGGAGACATTTTTTTTCATTTGTTCCCTTTGTCTTTGGTCAGAAAAATACACGAACGTCTGAAACCCAGGAATACGGTACTTGAGTGGGTTTCGCTGTTCTCCCGTTCCCCCCTCTCTCCCTCTCCCCCCCTCCTCTCTCCCCCCTCTCTTCCCCCCCTCCTCTCTCTCCCCTCTCTCCCTCTCCCCTCTCCCCTCTCTCTCCCTTTGCCTGACTTGCCCACGCGGTTTCTCTGTTGGATCCAAGGATATTTCAATGCGTTTTCTGTATTAAATCCTTGTTTTATCCCCTGTTCTCTCTCTCTCTCTCTCTCTGGCTCGTAGTGTGTAGTTGCGTCTTCTGACCGAGTCGGGTGGGAAGGAAAGAAGAGGAGGAAAAGAAGAAGAAGAAGATAATAATAATAAATCATGGATAAGAACGAGCTGGTGCAAAAGGCGAAGCTGGCCGAGCAGGCCGAGCGCTACGATGACATGGCGGCCTCCATGAAGGCGGTGACCGAGCAAGGCCTGGAGCTGTCCAACGAGGAGAGGAACCTGCTGTCGGTGGCCTACAAGAACGTGGTGGGCGCCCGGCGCTCCTCCTGGAGGGTCATCTCCAGCATCGAGCAGAAGACCGAGGGCAGCGAGAAGAAGCAGCAGATGGCCCGCGAATACCGGGAGAAGATCGAGGCCGAGCTGAGGGACATCTGCAATGATGTGCTGGTAAGAGACAGACGGGGAGGGACGGGTCGCCTTCCAGTAGACGTGTGCCTTCAAGGCGTTGGTGATCGGTTAGGTCCATGTTGTATAGGAAGTGGGTTGGTTGATGGTCGGATCCTTTATTCGTTATTTTATTCTTAAACTGATCCGTTTACTATCCGGACACCTACTTCCCCCTCTGCATTGAAATTCACAATTGTCACGGTTGTGCGGAATTCCTAATCTGGAGAGAGAGACTTTATCATCATCCTCCGAGAATGTGTGTCTTTTTAAAAAAAAAAGCTGGGCCAGGCGTGTCTGAATTTTATTTTCAGTTTTGTGAGGATCTTTCCTTTATTGTCTGTTTTGGAAACCGTTGAAAGCCGTTGTTCATTATTACATTCCCTCCCCCCCCCCCCCCCCCCCTCGTCTTGTTTTTGCCCCTTTTTCCCCCAATTTAAAAATATAATGAAATCTGTCATTTTAAAGGATTATTTTCCTTTCGCGAGGCTGGCGGGTGAGAATTCTTTCAGTGCCTTTTGTTTGCCCGGGTTTGGTTTAACCTGGTTTCTGCCAATTCGATCATTTGAAGCCTTTTTGAAACAAAAAAAAATTGAGATCTGTTGCGGTTGAAAGGATTTTTTTAGTTATGTGAACCAGACGTTGGCAGTTTTTTTTCTCTGGGCGTTGCCGGTAATTAATTTTCAGTCTACTAACGGTCTTGGCCGCCGAGTGCTTCCAGCGATTTTTTTATTATTTTGCTCGTAGAGCAGCTTCGGACTCGAGAAAGTTTTTTTTTTTGAAAAATCGATCTCTCTCCCCGCCCCATTGATAACAATTTCAAATCGTATAAATAATCTAATCCAATTAAATATGAATGCAAAAATATGTAATTCGGCATTTGACCTCTTTCTTTCTCCCGGAGAGAGCTTTTTTTTAAAATAAAAAAGGCATTGATTATTTGTCCAGGCGGCCTCGCTCTGTCTTGGGTGTGTCTTTGATGAAGGGCGCTGACATTTTTTTTTGGTGACACCACTGTGTAGATAAGAAAGATCCATCCCTACGTCTAAAAGAATTATTGCAAATCAGCAGCTGATGGGCTGATTAATCGCTGCTCTGTATATCCGGGGTAGGTTTGTATCTTTAATTCAGGTTTCAGGTGAACTTTTCCATGTATGGTTTATGGTGCAACAGAGGGGGGTGGGGAAGAATTCTTGTTCAGTGAGCTCACTTCCTGCAGCTTTCTCTGCCTTCGTTGTAAAAGGGGTTAGGGCTGCCACAGCTGTGTAAAATCCTTGTTCTCACCTTTAAATCCGTCCACAGCTTGGCCCCACCCTACCTCCGGCGCCTCCTACAACCTTATTCACCTGGTCATTACTTCATTCAGCTAACACTAGCTAGCATGCTTTGTGTTACCTGCCCTGTCCCTTCCGCATGGGCAGGCGATCTTTAATACATTCTGTCACTGCTGTTCCAGAACTCCACCCCAAAGTCCCCCAGACTCATTCCTACCCCAATCCCTAGTGTTCATAACCTGCCTCGAGGTTTACCTTTTTGTCCCTTTCTAGACCCCACCCTTGGCTGTCAAGCCAGCAGTGTGTACTGCTTTGAGACTCTTCCAGACATACGAGTGCTATCTAAATGTAAAACGTATTGTAATATTGGTATTTTTGAAGACTCAATTGAGCCAGGTTCTTTGTCCTCAATTTTGTTTGTCAATGCTGAGCTGTTAACCTGCAAATCCGCCCAGGCACCTCATCTTCAGGAGCATCTCCTACCCGACTCCGATTTCCCTCACTCAATCAGCTTGCTCATCCTTCCTTCCCTCTTTGTGCAACCATTGGTGGCCTTCCCTTCAGTTTTGATGTCCAAACCTCTGGAGCTCCTTCCGAGCACGACACCCTCTCATTGCCCGTTGTCTCTTTTTAAGGTGCTGGAAAGACAGCTTTGGACCCAAGCTTGGGTTCGGGAGGGTGGAGGGCAGTGCGGGAAGCGGGGAGATCGAAAGCATGGTTTAAGAGGAGGGTCTTGAGATGGGTGTTGAAGATGGCAAGGGAGGGGGCGAGGCAGAGGGACTGGGATGGAATTCCAGAGGGTGTGGGCAGAGTGGCAGAAGGCCTGCCCGCCAATAGTGGGACGAGTGAGGTGGGGGACGTGAAGCAGGTCAGAGCCCACTGAGCGGAGGGAGCGAGCAGGATGGGAGGGGGTTAGGAGGTCGCAGAGGTCGGGGGGAGCAAGACCATAGAGGGCTTTGAAGGTGAGGACCAGGATCTTGGACTGTACCCTCTGTGTGATGGGAAGCCAGTGGAGTAGGGCGAGGATGGGGGTGATAGGGTCACGGAGCCGGTGCGGGAGAGGACACGGGCTGCAGAGTTCTGGATGATCTGCCGCCTGTGGAGGGAGGAGTTGGGGGCCGATAAGCAGTGAGTTTGCATAGTCGAGCCTCGATGTAATGAAGGTGTGTGTGGGGGTCTCGGGGGCTGTGGTGTGAGACAGTGGCGGAGTCGGGCGATGTTGCGGAGGTGGGGAAGGCAGAGCGGGTCATGGAGCAGATGTGGGGTAGAAAGGATAGTTAAGGGTCAAACAAGACCCCAAGGTTCGGGACTGGCTCAGTGAGGGGGAGTGAGCCCCAGGGATGGTGATGCTGTCAGCGCCTGAGGTGAGGAGGCGCTGACGGGAGCCAATCAGGAGCCTCAGTCTTGTTGACATTCCACTGTAGAAAGTTTGCTCTCATCCAGGACTTGATGTCTGACAGACATTCTGACAGGACAGCAGTGGGTCCTGGGGTCAACAGTGGAGGCAGAGAGAGAGAGTTGGGTGTCATCCACATACTTGTGGAAGTTGACCCAATGTCTGCGGATGATGTCACCAAGAGAGAACGTATAGATATTGAAGAGGAGGGTATGGAAAAGTTGTGATCCTCACATCCAGTCTCTGACCAAGATTGCTTTTCTTCAACGTCACCATGCCTACCTCTGCCAACATCTCACACCAAATGCCATCCAAATCCCTTATTCGTGCCTTCATGACCTCCCAGCTAGACTATTTTTCAATGCATTCCTCACTGGTCTACCTAACTCCATCATCAATAAACTCCGCCACCTGCATTCTTGCCTGCACCAAACTCCACATGTTCATCACCCCAGTCCTTGTTAGCCTCCTGCTGGGAGACAATGTGCTAAGGATCAATTTCAAGATCTCATTTTCACCTACTAATCCTTTTATGACTTGGAACCACCTTATCTCTGATGTCCTACCCAACTCCTCTGTTTGCCCCCTCCACTCAGTCAACTTGGTGCACTACTGGTGCCAACAAGGTTTCAGATTCTACTCCGGAACTCCTCCACCACTCCCATCTCGCGCTCTCTACCCGTCTTTAAATACAGTTTAAAATCCTACCTCTTCAACTGCGCCTACAATCAACTTCCCATCTACTTAGTGTCTTATCGTTGGCCACCACTCATGTCATCCTACGTGGAGGGTCATTTGTAAATGCAAACTATTTTTGTACTGATTGATTTGCTCTAAGGGGTAGCTAATCATAATTAATCATGGGTGTGTGATGGATCTTGTTTTTCTGTAATTACCAGTACAGGGTTAGTTGTTAATGCAGGTCATGTGAGCTTCCAGTTCTTAAAATGAGCACATTTGCTCACCTCTGCATTATCTGCCTTCTGCGTCCGAGTCAGCGCTGCAGCAGTGCCTTCCCACCTGCCTTAATTTGACAGATTATTTTCTGATGTATGAACTCAATCAATAGGCAAATTACTGTTTGCTCCTGTGGAATTTGAGCTCCGTGTATCAGAACCGTAAGAGTTCTGTGATTTACCATCAGAACAAAATAATTTCAAGTGTGTTTTATAATCAACAACACTAAAATTGCTTCCTATGCCATATCTCTGGAATAGCAGAAGTGAGAGACGTGATGGCCCATTGCAACTATTGAGATACATTCCGGAAAAAGACTGGCAGGGTACAAAAACAACAAATGACATTTGTATCGTGACTTTTACATTGGCAGTCAAGAATTTGGACCCGAGTTGGGTTCAGGAGAGATGGAGGGTGGGGAGAAGAGGGTGACCTGAAGTCTCAGTCAAAGAGGTGAGTCTTGAAGGAGACAAGGGAGGGATGGAGTATCATTGAGTGGGGCAGAGAGACTGAAGACCTGACTGGGGATGGGGGGGGCAGGGCAGAGATGAAAGCAGAACTAGCTGCTGGATAGAAATGAACTGTAGTTTGTTCAACAGCAACAATAACAAGATTACATTTGTATAGTTCAGTCCACCACTTGCAAAACAGTCCTGATGGGATAATAGGAATGTGCAATTTAAAGTCTTGAAGTTACATTTGAGTTGGTAAATTGTGTGAATACCTAATGAAAATCTAGCTGCTGTTGCTAAATGAAGACTAGCTTTTATTTTTAAAATATCTCAGAAGGGTTTTATTAGCCTAAGAGGTATGTTTTGAGACTGGCCTTGAAAGACTGGAGGGAAGGAGTCAGAAGAACTCTGTGATATTGTGGGGGGGTAGGGGGCAGAACGCAGCAGCCAAGGTGGGTGAAGGGTGGGGGGGGCACAAAACAGGTCAGTGCCATTGCTTCCCTTTCAACAATTAGGACTTCCTGCAGGACTGAGCGTTGCTTTTTGAGTTCTTGTCTAATTTTCATCTTCACTTTTCTCACATCTCTTTGTAATGTGAGAAAAGCAAATTAGATTGATTTCTTTTAGGCATTAATATCGTGGGATACATGCATGTGACTTCCAGGATGATGGAAGGCGAACTGAATGGGCAGATGGTCTTCTTTCATAACATTTCATTCTTCTGCAGTGGTACCATACCATAGGTGATCTCTTCTATCTCAGTCAAGTGGGAATTCTCTGTGAACCCAGATACTGAATGTCAGCAGGTGTCGCCACAGTCCAGTCTTCAGAGTTGGCTGGATGGTGTGGTTTTGTTTTATAATGATATATTAATAATAATCCTTGCATTTGATATAGCGCCTTATCACATCTTCATGGCGTCTCAAGAGTGCTTCACAGATTATACTGTAAAGTGAATTGACTATTTTGTGGAAGATACACAGCAGCCAATTGTGCACAGCAGCGTCCCACAAACAGTCGTGGATTGAAGTGACCAATTTATTATTTTTTTAGGGAATTATTACCCCAGGAAAAGCAATCCGCCAATCGACTAACAACCAGGTTCCTACTTTTTAAAAAAAAAAAGTTTTCCCTCCATTATTCAGGGCAATTGCTGCTGTCCTTGTTGAGATCACTAATTTCGTGCAGATTGAGTCTGGGATCATCGAGGTTTATATGGTTGTTACACATTGTCATCTTAGTTGGAATGAATTCTCTTTACCAACCAAATGGAGTCCTGTAGCTCAGTGGTTAGAGCACTCGCTTTGCAAGCGAGAGACCTGAGTTCAATTCCAGGCAGAGGGCCAAACCTTGGGCAAGTTTCCTTACTCCACACAGAGCCTAATAATAATTCCTCCAAAACCAAAAACAATAATAAATTGGTCATTTTCAATCTACGACTGTTTGTGGGACATTGCTGTGCGCAATTGGCTGCCGCGTTCGCCCACAAATATACAGTCAATTCACTTTACAGTCTATTCTGTGAAGCGCTTTGGGACGTCCTCCCGACGTGAAAAGCACTATATCAAATGCAAGGATTATTATTATATTAGGATTATTAAATGAGCTTTTACTGAGAACTTTAATGTTACACTTGTAATATTACACCGTATTACCTGTTTTTCCTGTACTACGTATTGCTACTATTTAGTGTTTGAGACTACCAATAGAAGGTGCCTCACCACATCTAAATTGGACTTTTCTGGTTATGTAGAAACTGACATCATTGTTTCCTACAAATGATGTGAATGAATGGATCAGGAGAGGAAGTTTGGAAGGGTGTTATGGGTGAGAGGGGACATCCAGGCATCTGATATCATCATTTGCTCATGTCAAAATACTGTTAGATCTTTAAATATTTTTTATCAACAAAATAGCGTTTTGTTTACAAAGGCAATATGCTCCTGAGTTATTTTGCAATCAGGTTTTTTAGGTACAACATTTCCTGGTATACATGTGAGACTCTTCATTCCACTTTTAACAATTTGCCTTGACTAACTCAAGAGCACCATAACTGAATTATTGATGTGATTAGTTGCTTCATAGGATTGGTTTATTTGGTAGTAGTAACCTGTTTTACTGTTAGTGGATAGACCTATTGAAGGTGAGCTGGATTTTCGATCTTCGTCTACTTTTGTTTTCCTTTTAGTATAATAACGATCCTTGCCCTTAATATAGTGCCTTATTGCGTTGCTGAGATGTCTTAAATCACTTCACAGAATATACTGTAAGGTGAATTGACTCTTACTTTGTGGGGAAATATATAATATTTTGTATGTTATCCTTTCACGCCCACTATTCTACCTTTTGTCAGAGCCTTTTATCCAAGGGTCCTGTATGTTCCAACAAAATTAGACTACAGTAGAGGAATTGCTCCTAATATAGCAATAAAGTTCTTTAGTGGGAATGTTTCTCACCAGGAAGGCTGCTCTAGTAGTCCAGGTGCCTGTGGCAACGATATACTCTGGTGTAATTTGACCAGAGATGCTTATGCAAAAAGTATGTACATTGCACTTAACAACACCACCAAGATTACATTTGTATAGAGCCTTTCACATCGGGAGGACGTCCCAAGGCGCTGGACGATGTACAGCATTTCAGACCTGAAGGGGAGGGGGGTGACAGATGGCATGGTCGGAGGCTACGGAGGGGGCGAGGCGGAGTGACTGGGGGATGGAATTCCAGAGGTTGGGGACAGAGTGGCTGAAGGCTGTCCCGCCAATGGTGGGGCGGGGGACGTGGAGCAGCCAGAGCGGCTGAGTGGAGGGAGCGGGCGGGTTGGTAGGGGGTTAGGAGGTCGCAGAGATAGGGTGGGGGGAGGCCATGGAGGGCTTTGTAGGTGAGGACCAGGATCTTGAACTGGATCCTCTGAAGGATAGAGAGCCAATGGAGTCGGACGAGAGTGGGGGAGATGGGGTCACGGAGTTTGGTGCGGGAGAGGACACGGGCGGCAGAGTTCTGGATTATCTGCAGCTGTGGAGGGAGGGGTTGGGAAGGCCGACAAGTAGGGAGTTTGCATAGTCGAGTCTGGAGGTGATGAAGGTATGAACAAGAGTTTCAGAGGCCTGAGGGGTGAGGCAGTGGCGGAGTCGGGCGACGTTACGGAGGTGAGGGAAGGCAGAGTGGGTCATGACTTGAATGTGGGGGAGAAAATACAGATGAGGGTTGAACAAGACGCCCAGGTTCCTGACTGGCTGGTGAGTTGTAGTGTGCAACCATGGAGGTCATGGTTGCACACTACAAACGAATGACATGGTAGGTGCAACAAACATTCTTCTGACTTATAAAATGTAACTTGATTTTCTGCATGCACATTTTCAATGCAGGTTCTTTCCTAACTTGCTGAACAAACTAATCCCTTTTCCAGATTGAATTCCAAGATATGCTTTTGGAAATTTTAGGGCTGTTCCAGTAAACCCACTGCTTAGAATGAACTGTTTGACTACCTAGCATTGCTGAGAGGGGGGTGGAGGGAAGAGGAGGAAATGTGTGTGAGAGGGAAGCATTGTTGTGTGTATAGGTGTGTGAAGCGAAGGTTGTGACTTGTGGGAGGTCTGAAAAGGGAGCGTTGTGGGGGGAGTGAAAGGGGAGCATTGTGAAGTGTCTGCGTGGGAGGGGTTGCCAGGGATGAAGGGAACACGGGTGTGTAGTTTGCGGGCGGAATTGATGTAGATGTAAGTGAACGTGACTGTTGGGGGGGTGGGTGAAATGTGGGTGAGTGTGTTGTGGGAAACACATAGGGTGGGATGGCCAACTATAAGGGCTATGGCAGATGATAAGCTGTGATTTCTATTGGTTACACCTCTGACAGATGAAGAAGAATGAGAAAGGTTTGGAGTGTTAAATGCTTGAGTGAAGTGACACGGAAATGGGCCATTCAGGCTCAAGTATTCTATGTTGATGTTCATACTCCACTTGAGTTCTCACCTCTCATTCACTTCATGTACATCTTTCTAATGCCTGATGTATCCCGTTTTCTCTTGACGCAGGATTTGAATATGACAAGTTTGGTCTTACCATAGCCCTTCTCTTTATAGGGTGTTTGAGCATATTGTGTAGCAATATGTTTATCAGCCCAGCCACTGTCACTCTCAGGACAAAACAACCAGGGCTTATTTAGTGCCTGCTACAGCACTACAATAGTGTCTTGAATGTGCACACCTTTGTTTTAGAGTTTATTTGTAAATCCAGATTAACTGTATAAACTCAGATCACAAATATAACGGGTCATCATTTTGTTTCTATGCCTTTCTGTCGTGGAGTCCTGTAGCTTAGTGGTTGGAGCACTCACCTCGCAAGCGAGAGGGCCCGGGTTCGATTCCCATGCAGGGCGAAATGTTAGGCAAGTTTCCATACTCCACACATCTCTGTTTGCCGAGCAGTAAGTAGGAACTTGGCTGTTAGCCGATTGGCAGATCTCATTCTGGGGATGGTAATCCCCTCAAAAACAATAATAATTTGGTCACTCAATTCACGGCTGTTTGTTGGACACTGCTGTGCGCAATTGGCTGCCATGTTTCACCCACAAAATGTACAGTGTATCCACTTTACAGTATATTCTGTGAAGCACTTGGAGGCGTCTCGAAGAAGTGATAAGGCGCTATATCCAATGCAAGGATTATTGTTACCATATTGTCTCTGAAGTGCTGGGAGCAAATGCGTTTAAAGAGAACACAAATGTATTTATAGTAGTACCTACCAACTTTTTTTTTGCATCATTTTGACCACTATTTGTAGTTTGGGCAGGGTTAACAGCAGGATAGACAGATCAATAGCCATTAAACCACAACTTCTATCAGTCCAGCTCCATCAAGTAAAATAATTTGGAGGTGGCAAAGCACTATGTGCCAGATGGAAGATGTTTTTTGGTATTGCAGATACTAGTTTTTTAGCCACAACTGGATTTCTTTTTGCCATAAGCACCACATTAGGGCTCTGGTTCATTTAGTAGCACTCTGTGGGTCATTTTCTTAAGAGTTGTTTTTTTGCTCCCCTTTAAACTCATGTGATAGCTTTCTTTTCACTGAATGCAACTGATAGGAACTGTAGTGGTATTGAGCTTTTCAGAGGTTTTTTTACAGTTGTTTTCAAGTTCTGATTGATGTGAATTCAAATGTGAATTCTGCATTAGCTTTCAAACATGTAGTATTGTTGTCTAAGGTGTAAATCAGGTGTTTAGTTTGCTAACTGTGTCTGTGCTTCTATTTAACAGGGACTTCTGGACAAATACTTGATAGCCAATGCTACTAGTGCAGAAAGCAAAGTTTTCTACTTGAAAATGAAGGGAGATTACTATCGTTATTTAGCTGAGGTGGCAGCTGGAGAGGACAAGAAAGGTATGCTAAAACACCAAATTATATTTAATTATGTATTTTGTTACCCCTACGTCTTCAACCTTCTCTTTATCTACCCTTACCTCTCGCATGTACCCCATCTCTGCATCCTCTGCTGTAATACTTTTATTGGTCTTCCAGGTGTTTTGACACGTGGAAACCCATCACCATGCTTAAAAGTATCCATGCTACACAGTGGAGTATTTGTTTTGAACATTGCCAGGCACCCTGTGAAATATCTGCCCCAACCTCCTTAATTCCAGTGTGTAGGAACATAAGAATTGCTGGGCGAAGGAAGACCAAGATCCACCTGGTTCGCCTTCAGACATAAATCGTATCTAATTTGTGCTTGAAAGAGTTGATACTTTCTGCTTCCCCGTCTTCCTCGGGAGCCTGTTCCATATATAACAGTCACAAATTCTTAAATAATTGCCGACTTATCCATGAACCCAATATTTGACCATCCTAATCCTCTGCTAATCCAAAACCTCTGATTATCCAGTGCCCTGGGACGCCGTCCAGTGTGGAGAGTGCTGTATAAATCCAAGTTGTTGGGACGTCTTTCCAATATGAAGTGTGCTATACAAGGGTAATTTGTTGTAACTGACCCAAGCTCCACATACCTTCCTATGTATCGAATCGGAGTAGGTCATGAGCTTTTGTCCAAAATCCAGTGGATGCACTCAGCTCCGGTGGGTTTTCCCACCCTTGCTCATCTGGACTCCCCAGCTCCTCCCTACGCACAGTACAGACCATCCAGTTGGAGTCCAGTGGGAATCCAGTGTGGAGTCCTTTAGCGTTGTGGTTAGAGCACTCACTTTGCAAGCATGAGGATCTGAGTTCAATTCCCAGGCAGGGCGAAACCTTAGGTAAATTTCCTTATTCCACACAACAACAAAAACAACTTGCATTTATGTAGTGCTCTTCACACAGGGTAGCAATTCACCTAACAGTGGCAGATCCTGACCCAGGGGATGGGGGCTGGCAGTAAGCATAATAATAATAACCCTTGCATTTGATATAGCGCTTTTCACGTCTGGAGGACATCCCAAAGCGCTTCACAGAACACACTGTAAAGTGAATTGACTGTATATTTGTGGGCGAACGCGGCAGCCAATTGCGCACAGCAATGTCCCACAAACAGTCGTAGATTGAAAATGACCAATTTATTATTGTTTTGGGTTTTGGAGGGATTATTATGGTCAAAGAGGAAGGTTTTCAGGTGGGACTTGAAAAGGGGGAGAGAGGCGGCAAGGTGGAGGGATTGAGGGGTAGTGTTCCAGAGTTTTGGGGCATAGTGACTGAAAGCGCGACCTCCGATGGTGGGGCGGAGGGTGAGAGGGATGAGCAGGAGGCCAGTGCCCCACTCCACAAAGTCAGTCAATCCGCAACTGTTTGTGGGACACTGCTGTGAGCAATTGGCTGCTGCGTTTCACCCATGAAATACACAATCAATCCACTTTACAATATGTACGGCACTATATCAAATATAAGGATTATATTATACCCAAAATTCTGTAGCTTGTGACATTTCATACCAAAGCTTTGTGATCCTATGATGCACACACGCTCGCTCTCTCACTTCACTCACCTCCACCAGATCAAATTTAACATCCTTGAACTCGCATTTAACATTTAAATCCCTATGTGGCCTTGTGCAACCCTACTACCCTGATTGCTCCATCTGCTCAGCGAACACGAGCCTAATCCATGTCCCCGCTCAGCCAGGGGTGGCCAAGCTTTCAGCCACTGCCCCACCATCCCTAGAGGGCCTCAGCCCTTCCCTTCTTGGCCTGAAAACCTGTCTGAAGACCTTTCTTTCCAGTCGCGCTTTTGGTCGTCTCTTTCTCACTCACTCCTCTCTCTCTCCCCTGACTCTGTGAAGCACTGATGGAGTCTTACTGTACAGAAGGAGATGGGACCTATACAACGTGGATGGGTTACACCTGAACAGGGCTGCGACCAATGTCCTCACGGGGAGGTTAACTTGTGCTGTGGGGGTGCGTTTAAACTAATTTTGAGGGGAGAAGGGAATCAAAATGTAGCATCAGAGAAGACAAACAAGTTACGCAGAGGGCTGGGAGAGAAGAATTACAATGTAATAAGGAGTCCAGGAAAAGGAGGGATTAGATGGCGGAGAAATGCAGAGCAGACTCAGTCGTTCTTGGAGTGCATGTGCGTAAATGCAGTGTGTGTGACAAATAAGCTTGGTGAGCTGCAGGCTCAAGTTGTCTCATTGGGTTATGATGTAGTGGCAATAACGGAGACCTGTAGTGCAGTTGATGTATAGTTTATATGGATTTTCAAAAGGCGTTAAAGTGCCACATAAGAGACTTGTAGCAAAATCGAAGCCCCCGATATTAAAGGGACAGTGACAGCGGATACAGAACTGTCTGAGAGACAGAAAGCAGAGAGTGGTGGTGAACGGTTGTTTTTCTGACTGGAGGGAAGTGTGCAGTGGTGTCCCCCCGGGGGTCAGTATTGGGGCCACTGCTGTTTGTGATCTATATAAATGACCTGGACCTGGACTTGGGTATATGGAGCACAATTCCCAAGTTTGCAGGTGACACTAAGCTGGAAACAGTAGTAAACAGTGAGGGGATAGTAACCGACTGCAAGAGGATAGAGACAGACTGGTAACACGGGCAGACACGTGGCAGATGGAGTTTAATGTGGAGAAATGTGAAGTGATGCACTTTGAGAGGAAGAATGAGGAGAGGCAATATAAGCTGATGGTACAGTCTTAATGGGGGTGAAGGGACAGAGAGACCTGGGGGTCATATAGTAAATCTCTGAAGGTGGCCGGACAGGCAGATACAGCTGTTAAAGAGCATCCGGGATACTCGGCTTTATAAATAGGGCATAGAATACACAAGTCAGGAAGTTATGATGAACCTTTATGTAAAACACTGGTGAGGCCTCAGCGAGAGACTGGGTTCAGTTCTGGGCCCCACACTGTAGGAAGGATGTCAAGGCATTGGAGAGGGTGCAAAGGAGATTGACCAGAATGGTACCAGGAATGAGGGACCTCAGTTATCAGGAGAGGTAGAGAAGCTCGGATTATTCTCCTCGGAGCAGAGAAGGTTAAGAGGAGACTTAATAGAAGTTTTCAAAATAATGAGGGGATTCGATAGGGTGAACGAGGAGAAACTATTCCCACTGGCGGTGGGTCAGTAACCCGAGGACACCCATTTAAAATAGCTGTTAAAGAAACGGAGGGGAGGGGAGGAGAAATGTGTTCACACAGCGAGTTGTTGGGATCTGGAATGTATTGCCTGAAAGGCCGGTGGAGGCCGATTCGATAATGGCTTTTAAGAGAGCGGTAGCTAATTATTTGGTGAGGACAAGTTTGCAGGGCTTTGGGGAGAGAGTGTGGGAGTGGGGTTGATCAGGGCTATTGGGAGAGAGCGGGAATAGGATTGAATTGGGTAGCTCTTTTCAAAGAGTAGGCTGAATAGCCTCCTTCTGTGCTCTATAATTCTATGTTTCTTTGAAGGAGGCCATTTGGGCCCATCGTGTTTGTGCTGACAATCTGAAACCAGTACCCAACTAGCCCCTCTATTGTCCCCCTGGCCCTGCAAATATTTCCTTCCACCAGCCTTTCAGTCAGTGCTTTCCAGATCATTAATCGTTACATTACAAAAAAAAATTCCCTCCTGGTTCTTTTGCCAATTGTCTTAATGTTACATCTGTGTCCTCTGGTTACTGACCCATCAGCTGTCAGGCCTTCAGCTTCTCTGCTCCCACACTTTGGAACTCCATCTCGCAGTCCCCTTGCCTTGTCCCCTCCCTTGCCTCCTTCAGTGTACATCTCAAGTCCTTCCACATTGACTGCGCCTTTAGCCACCTTCCTGCCCTCCACCCTCCCCCCCCCCCCCGCCCGGTCCCAAACCCCAGCTCTGGCCCAAATCCCTGACTGTCCAGCGTCTTGGGACTTCCTCCTGACTTGAAAGGCATTATACAAATGTAATGTTTTGTTTTTCTGCTCTGCTCAATGGAGAAGGATCTCAGCCGCTCTCGTCTCTCCAAGTAACTGAAGTCCTTCATCCCTGGGACCATTCTAGTAAATCTTCTTTGCTCCCTCTCCAAGGCCTTGACATCCTTCCTAAAGTGTGGTGCCCAGAATTAGACACAATACTCCAGCAGAGACCTAGAGGTTTAACATAACTTTCTTGCTTTTATATTCTTTTATTTATAAAGCCTGGTTCCCATATGCTTTGCTAACATCTTCATCAACATGTCCTGCCACTTTCAAAGACCTGTGTATGTGAAACCCCAAGTCTCTGCTCCTATACCCCCTTTAAAACTGTACTATTTAGTGTATATTGCCTCTCTTCATTCTTCCTCCCAAAATGTATCACTCCAGACTTCTGCATTAAATTTCATCTGCCACATGTCTGCCCATTTCACCAGTCTGTCAGCGCCTTGGGACGTCCTCCCGACGTGAAAGGCGCTCTATAAATGGAATCTTGTTGTTGTTGTTGTCTTCCTGCACTCTGCTACCATCTTCCTCGTTGTTTGCATTTGCTACATTTTCAACTTAAACTTCCTCCAAACGTGAAGAGCACTCCCTATGAAAGTTAAATTGTCGCTTTTGTGAATTGGTGCAGAGTTGTAACTTGTGAAGTTTATTTCTAAAATTGTCTTATTTCCTTTTTTTGGCTTTAGCTACAGTTGAGCACTCGCAACAGGCGTACCAGGAGGCATTTGAGATCAGTAAGAAAGAGATGCAACCAACACACCCGATCCGCCTGGGACTGGCCCTTAACTTTCCGTCTTTTATTATGAAATCCTTAACTCCCCGGAGCAGGCTTGTGCTCTCGCAAAGACTGTGAGTAGAATCCAAATTGATCAGTGGGTGAGGTGGGAGGGAGTTTATGGTTTTTGTGTGTGATTATGTTCATGCATCTCTCTTCTCCTATAAAGGCTTTTTGATGATGAAAGTTAAATTGTCGCTTTTGTGAATTGGTGCAGAGTTGTAACTTGTGAAGTTTATTTCTAAAATTGTCTTATTTCCTTTTTTTGGCTTTAGCTACAGTTGAGCACTCGCAACAGGCGTACCAGGAGGCATTTGAGATCAGTAAGAAAGAGATGCAACCAACACACCCGATCCGCCTGGGACTGGCCCTTAACTTTCCGTCTTTTATTATGAAATCCTTAACTCCCCGGAGCAGGCTTGTGCTCTCGCAAAGACTGTGAGTAGAATCCAAATTGATCAGTGGGTGAGGTGGGAGGGAGTTTATGGTTTTTGTGTGTGATTATGTTCATGCATCTCTCTTCTCCTATAAAGGCTTTTGATGAAGCAATTGCAGAGCTTGATACGCTGAACGAAGATTCCTATAAAGACAGCACATTAATAATGCAATTATTGCGAGACAACTTGACAGTAAGTATTTCTACAGAGAAGATATTGATTCAAGAGTGGGACACTTCCTCTGGTGAATGTTGGCTTACTTTGGGTGGTGGTTTTCATCAAGCAATCAGTGCATTATGGTGTGTATTAGATGCAGGTCACAGCCTGACATGGGATTGTATTACCAACACTCCAGAACAGCATAACTGTTCACAATTTACCCTTTCAAGATTGTAAGCGAATGCGTTTTTAGAGGAGACCTAGATTAGCTAGTTTGGCTTCCATGGCTGTGGAGGCTGTGCATACAGCGACAGCACCCTCTGTAACTCCAGCCCACAGTCTCATTGCCTTGCTTCCTCCCTTGCCTCCTTCAAGGCCTGCCTCAAGACCTTCCTTTTTGCCTCCTTTTGCCTTCGGTCACCCTCCTTCCTTATCCTCCCTGTCCTCCACCCCTCCTGATCCCAGCTCAAGTCCAAATCCCTGAATGTCAAATGCCTTGGGGTGTCCTCCCAACATTGAGGACCCTGTGTATGTAATTTATTGTTGCATACATGAGGCTTTACACAGCATTTTAAAAATATGATTGCTAATATGTAGAGGCAGGGACATTTCCCATGGTTTGTAATTAAAGAAGCTGTAACCTAAACACTTAATAATCTGCAGATGATGCACTTTGTAATGAATTCAACTTGAATTTAATGCATACTACGCACATGTGCTGGAGAAATGGTGCATTAGCAATTGAACACTTGTCCGGACTGCATTGTCAGCTGTGGAGTCCTGTAGCGTAGTGGTTAGAGCACTCGCCTCGCAAGATGTACCGGGTTCGATTCCCAGGCAGGGTGAAACCGTAGGCAAGTTTCCTTACTCCACGCGCCTCTGTTTACTTAGTGTATAGGAACCCGGTTGTTAGTCGATTGATGGTTCGCTTTCTCGAATCATTCCAAGAGATATAATTGGTCACTGAATCCACAATTGCTTGTGAGACACTGCTGTGCACAATTGGCAGCAACATTTTGACCATAAAATATACAGTCAATTCACTTTCCACTGGATTCTGTGAAACGCTTATCAACGACGTGACAATCAATGACGTATCAAATGCGAGGATTACTATTATTAACAGAATGGGTGATAAATGGAATTTTATCTACTTCTAGTTGTGGACTTCAGACAACCAAGGAGAAGAAGCTGATGCGGGTGAAGGAGGAGAGAACTAAACGTCCACCGACCGCCTCGTTCTGTCTGCTTCATTCCTGTATCTTCACCATCAAGACTATTTGTAATCTGCTGTCCCACTAGTTTCTATTTTAGGTCTTTGAAAAGCTTCTGTCACTTCTGTTGAGTCTCTGTGTTTCCCATGTGGTTTGTGTTTGATAGTAGGGGAGAGGAGCCAATTCATATTGGGAACTCTTGTTTGTACTGTACCTTCCAGGTGGCCAATGTAAATTCAGGGTGGAATTTTTATACAGGTTTTAAATGTTTGGTTAGTACTCCTTGTAGCTTTGGCTTACCACAAGGCTAATGTCAAACACTTGTACTAACAAAAAGGAATGCCCCATAAATTTAGCATACATTAATGGCATAGATTCAAAGTGAATCGTGCAATTCCCTAGAGCTCTAAATTGTTGATCGAATGCGCACCATCCATTACATTTCTCAGGATTTTTTGGGGGGGGTGAGGGCAGAGGAGGATTAACATTCCATGAATTGCAAGGTTCACCATTGCTCACGTTTTCATTTTGCTACACAAATGACATCTGGACATTTTATTTGTATTTAAAAGAAATTATTGTCGATGTAAGAACAAATGTACAAGCAGACATGCAGTAAAATTAAAACGCTTGATAACTTTGATAATGTACGTTTAAAAGGTGAAGACCTTCTCATGTGTCATCTGGAAACGACTTTTGTTTTTTTTGGCTTTGTGCTCTTGATAATTGCCTAACACGCATGTGGCTGTGAAATAGTTAATGGGGAAGTAATGAGATATATTGCTGTATGGCTAGCTGCATTCATGTCTTCTGGACTTTTCATAAGGACACAAGCATAATTGTTATCAAGAAAAAAATGTGTAAAGTTGATGTAAGTGGAATAAAATGTTTTATGAATGGATTTTTTTTAAACTTCAATTTGACTTCCTAAAAAATTGTATGCTGATGTATGTCTACCTTGTGTCTGAAGTGAAATGGAGATCCAGAGCTAGTCTAGATGTATGTGATTGGAAACTCTGGAAGGTGTCTGATCAGCAATGAAGGAGTCATTGCTTTTCAGATTAATGTCAATCTACAGTGGTCGTCTGATCACAGGTCTCGTTAACCTATTCCTGTGACTGTTGGGCAAAATGGGGCTTAATTTCCATGTTAGTTGTAAATAGTACATTGTCAGAATTCACTATTTGAATCACTTTAGTGTTAAACAAAAGTGAGACTAAATATTATGCATTACCTTCAACAAAAAGACCCTTGAAGTGAAATCCTTTGCATTCAGTGGACATTTTATTATTAGCTTTATAGTGGAATTTCCCCCAGTGTCCTGGTTAAATACAGTTAAGTAGCTGGTAGTGGCCTGTAATGGCAACTCCAATGTTATGAGAAATGGTTATCCTCGGAAATGTTAGTATCTTAGTTATTCACTTATTCATTATTATTGATAGAACCCATGCAGAAATGATAATTGACAGAATAAATGTATGGATCACGAGCAAAATCAAAGACCAAAAATGACAAATTACAACAGTTGAGGTAGTGAAGAAATTACTAGTTACTGGAAAAACAAAATGCTTTAAAGGGGTTTGAGAACTGTGGTATGGACCAACAGTTGTGCTACATTGACAGCAAAATCTGTACTGTCTTGTCATTGGGAGAATAAATGAATAAAAAAGCAAGAATAAATGTACCAAAAGCAAAATTAAAATCTGGAATAGTATGAAGAACAGAAACAATTAGTTTCCAAATTGTGTTGTGTTCTTGTGTGTGCATGCTGTCTTTACATCCCTCTCTTCCTTTCCTCCTACCCTGGAAAAAAATCAGGCCTAGGGGTACAAGTGACTGATATTCTGATAACAAATCGCATTTCCTCAATTTTAGCAGCATTGGTGGGAAAATATGGAAATCTTGACGTTTCCACTAAATACTGTTGAACCTCAAATATTCTCTGTTGACCGTTCGCAAGACTCAGTAGGGGCAAGACGGGAGTTTATTGGATAATGTGTGTTGGGTAAAGTGTGCCAAGATGGACAAAAAGGATTGATGTCAAGATGATATTTATCTTTAGTGGTGCTTGCATTAGATTTGTGGAAAGATACTGCTAATTGTGTATTCAACCTGAAGCATTGCTGCCTGAGGCTGTGTATTTCATAACTTTGCCTTTTATTTTCTATTTTAAGATGTTAAGATAAGTGAACCCATTTGATTGCAATAGTCTGGCCAATTTATCTGCTTTAATGGTGATCCAAATTTGTTGTTCCAATGGCCTGAAATCGCTTTCTAATTGGTTCAAACATGTTTCCCCCAAGGTATGTGCTACATTGAATAATAATAAATAAATAATAATAATTTGGTCCCTCAATCCACGACTGTTTGTGAGACACTGCTGTACGCAATTGGCTGCTGTGTTTTATGCACACAATATAGAGTCAATTCATTTCACAGTATATTCTGTGAAGTGCTTTGAACTGTCTTGAAGACGTGATAAGGTACTTTATCAAATCCATGGATATTATTATGGTGCCTTTCACATCAGAAGGACGTCACAAAGCCTTTTCCAGTTTGGAACCTGAATACCTGAACAAAACAGCGTTTCTGCTCTATTTGTCGACGCAAACCAAAAATACGCTCCTGAACAGATAGAACCTTTGACGTAAACAGCATTTTATTAGTGCCCTGGGGTTGCGCACCAACTGTATGTTCCACGCAGTGACACGAACCGTAGCCACAGCAGCACAGCATAATAATTCCTATCACGTTGTCAGCAGGACCTGAGGGCAGAAGCACCAAGCTAACGCTACAGGCAGCTGCACTCACTAGAGATTTCGCTGTCCCCATCCTGTTCAGACTGTCCAAAGGAAGCAAATCTGCCAAGTCCTGAGATAATAATAATACAATATATAGTGCTTTTCACGTCGTCTAGACGTCTCAAAGCACTTCACGGAATATACTGTCAAGTGAATTGACTATATTTGTGGGCAAAATGAGCCAGCCAATTATGCACAACAAAATACATCTGTATAGCACCTTTCACGTCAGGAAGACGTCCTAAGGCGCTGGACAGTCAGGGATCCGCACCCGAGCTGGTGATTGGAATCAAGAGGGGTGGAGGGAGGGTAGGAGGCTGACTGAAGGCATAGGCGAAGAGCAGGGTCTTGAGACTGGTCTTAAAGAAGGCAAGGGAGGGGTGAGGCAGAGGGACTATGGGATGGAGTTCCAGAGGGTGGGGCAGACAGGCTGAAGGCCGGCCCGCTGACGGTGGAGCGGGCAATGCGGGGGAGGTGAAGCAGACCGGAATCCACTGAGCGGAGGGAGTGTCCCACAGTCATGGATTGATTGCCTAAATTATTATTTATTGAAGGGATTATTACCTTCGCCTGTGAGGCGCGCGCTCTAACCGCTACACTAAAGGACAAGGACAAGAACTCATTCAAATCACTGTGAGATGGGAATCAGTGGAGCCAAGCGAGGATGGGGTGATGGGTTTGTCACCTGAGCTGAGTTGGGGGCTGAAGTTCCTTCATCCAAACCAACCTTATGATCATCACATGGCACAGTGCCCTCTATTGACAGGTACTCTCCCCTCTCCATCAGTGGTGACCCAGAGCCTGCCCTTTGGGAACCCGAGGTGATTGGGGTTGGAGCGGGGGAGGCGGTATAAAGCTATTTGGTGGAACGGTGGAAGCAGAAAGTGTTGATTCTTTCAAAAGCAAATTAGATTTATTTTAGGAAATAGTATCTGGGGATACAGTACATAGTTTGGGACATTTCAAGTGGACGTGACTGCCAGGATGGTGGCGAACTAGATAGACCATGGTCTTTTTTGTCCATTGCCTCAGGATGTCCTGTATATAAGCAGGAGGCCCAAGCCCACAATAATAATTCTTTGTATTTCATACAGCGCCTTATCACGTCTTTGAGACGTTTCAAAGCACTTTACAGAATATACTGTAAAGTGAATTGACTGTATTTTATGGGCAAAACGCGGCAGCAAATTGTGCTCAGCAGCGTCCCACAAACAATCGTGGATTGAGTGACCAAATTATTTATTTTATTACCCATGGAAAGTGATCCGCCAATCGACTAACAACCAGGTTCCTACTTACTGCTCGGTAAGCAAGGCGTGTGGAGTAAGGTTTTGCCCTGCCTGAGAATTGAACCTGGGTCCTCTTGCACACGAGGCGAGTGCTCTAACTACACTACAGGACTCCATAAAGGTGGGGCAAGAGAGTGGAGATGTTGTCATATGTGAAAAGGTACTAAATAAGTCCAAGTTAATGTGTGTTGAAAGCAAAGCAGGTTCAAGTCCAAAATGTGAGGTTGTGTAGAACTGCAACCAGCCATCCAGTTTGGCAGGCCAGTGTAGATTCAGGCCAAATATCAGTCTTTCATGCAATGAGTGTGTGTTGGGGTAACTGCTGGAGTTTAATCAGTTAAAACCAAATAGCTTGCCATTTAGAGCGTTGCCTGACAAGCTTTCCTGCTGCTTGTCCAGCTAGGACCACCCTCTCCGTGAGGGCTTTGGCTGAAGGGTTACCAGGAGCTGAGGGGGAGGACTCCCTGCCCCCAGCAATTAATACCAATAGTAAAGTCAAACAGCACAGTTCAGCAAACACAAACTCTTTTCAAATAAACACAGCTGCACTCCATGTTATTACTCACGTCCGACCATACCTCACCCTCAACACAGCTGAAACCCTCATCCACGACTTTGTTACCTCCTGCCTCTACTACTCCAAAGCCTTCCTCGCTGGACTCCCCAACTCCACTACCCATAGACTACAACTGATTCAGAACTCCACTGTCCATATTCTCACCCACCACAAAACACTACATCAACCACACCAGTTCTCACCAGGCTCCACTCGCTCTCTATCACAGAATAGATTAATATCATGATCTTCTCACTTGTCTACAAATCCCTTCACACCCTGACACCTCCCTACCTCTCGAACCTGCTTCTTCCCCACTCCACCACCCACTGCCTCCGCTCGACTGGCTCTGGCCTCGTGCTTGCCCCTCATCCCCTCCGCTCCACCATAAGCAGCCGTGTTTTCATCCACTGCGCTCCAAAGCTTTGGAACTCTCTCCCGCAATCCCTCCGCCTTGCCCCCTCCTTCCCCTCTTTTAGATCACAACTGACGACCTTCCTCTTTTACCGTGCTTATGGTCACCACCTGCCTCCCCCAGCTTAGCGTCACTGTTAAGCGCTCTGAGACGCTGCCCGGTGTGAGCCCAGGTCTCTCGCTTGCAAGGCGAGTGCTCTAATCACTGAGCTACACGACTTCACTAATTAACTAATTTAAGAGAGCTGGTAAATGGGGAGGTTTGGAGGAAGGTTTTTCACACATTATAGTTAGGATTGCCCTGTCAGGAGCGGTGGTTCAAGCAGATTCCATATATTAGTGGTGTCCTGTAGCTCAATGGTTACAGTGCTCGCCTCACAAGCAAGAGACCTGGGTTCGATTCCTGGGCAGGGTTGAACCTTAGGCAAGTTTCCTTACTCCACACACCTCGGTTTACCAGCAGTGAGTAGGAATCCAGTTGTAGTTGATTGGAGGTTTGCTTTCTGGAGGTAAAAATCCCTCAAACTAATATAATTTGGTCACTCAATCCACGACTGTTTGTGGGACGCTGCTGTGCGTAATTGGCTGCCACGTTTCACCCACAAAATATACTGAAGCGCTTTGAGAAGTCTCAATGACGTGATAAGGCACTATATCAAATGCAAGGATTATTATTATCACATTAAGAAGGTTAGCAAATGGGAAGGTTAGAAGAATTATTTTTCACACGTAACAGTTAGGATACAGAACGCCATGCCAGGAGCAGTGGTTGAAGCAGAATGCATATTAGCCTTCAAAAGAGAAATCAATTCCTAAAAATTGTGAGGCGTTGCTGGACTTCCTCAAATCCAAAGTTGAAGGGATCTTCTCAGCTGCATCTGCCCATCCGTCTGCTACTCCTTCCCCATCTCCCCTTCTCCCCCAGGTCCCTACCCATCCCTCCCCTCCACACCTTTGAACCTATCTCCCACTCCTCTCTCATCACCACTATAACCCACATGAAACAGACCACCTGCTCCCTCGATCCCATCCCTACCCCTCTCCTTAACTCCCAGTTCCACCTCCTTGCTTCTCTACTCACAGACATCATAAACCTCTCCCTGTCCTCTGGTACCGTTCCCACTCCTTTAAAAATGACCCTTATCACTCATATCCTTAAACAACCCTCCCTGGATCCATTCCTGCTCTGAAACTATGGCCCCATCTCCAACCTCCCTTTCTTTTCCAAGGTCCTGGAATAAGTCATTTGTTCCCAAATTCGCTCCTTCCTCTCTTGCCACTCCCTTCCCTCCAATCGGGTTTCCGAGCCACTCACAGCACAGAAACAGCCCTGGTCAAATGACATTTTGTCCATCTGCGACCAGGGCTCCCTCTGCCTCCACGTCCTCCTTGACTTTTCTGCTGCCTTCAACACCATTGACCACTCTATCCCCATCCACCACCTATGCTCTCACCTCAACCTTCGCAGCTCTGTCCTTGATTGTTTCAGATCGTACCTCTCACACCGCCTGCACTTCATCTTCACAAACGGCTTCTCCTCCAGCCCCCGAACCGTCTTGTGTGGCGTTCCTCAGGGTTCTGTCCTTGGTCCCCTCCTCTTCAACATCTATATACTCCCTTTTAGTGACATGGGGTCAACTTCCACATGTATGTGGATGACATCCAACTCTCTCTCTCTGCCTCCACCCTTGACTCCAGGACCCACTGCTGTCCTGACAGAATGTCTGTCAGACGTGAAGTCCTGAATGAGAGCGAACTTTCTTCAGTTGAATGTCAACAAGACCGAGGCTCCTGATTGACTCCCGTCAGCACCTCCTCACCTCAGTCGCTGACAGCATCACCATTCATGGGGCTCACTCCACCTTGCCAAGCCAGTCCCGAACCTTGGGGTCTTGTTTGACCCTCAACTAT